CTAGCTGACAAACCACTCACTTCTTACTCCTCAACCAACCCTGTTGAAAATGACATGTTAGAATGTCACATAAGAGATGTCTGTTTTTAAAATGATTTGAGCTCTGCCCGATGATGATTTTCCATCCTTGTTCTGAACTGAGTGATTGACACATACCATCTCTGGGCTCATATGCCAGGTTGGCATAGCTTGGAGCTGAGGGCACAAACTAAATGAAACAGAACCAAACGACTCGTCCACTCATCTAGCCTTGAAATATGTATTTTTTGTAGATCTACATATATGCAAATGTTTAACCATCAATTTACGTCTCATTTTTACAGTATTACGAGATGTCCTACGGCCTTAATATTGAAATGCACAAACAGGTAAGTACAACCCCCTTCCATTGTCATCTCTCCCCCTCTCCCTCCCTCCCTTTCTAGTCAGCCTGGGTCTAGAGGAGTAATGTATGCTTGTGAACTGGCCTCCAGCACAAAATGCTAATCCACACTTGATGGACCCATGGCACTGTGCTGCTGCTGCATTAATAGGATCTGCAAACACAATTCTTATTTCTAGACAGACAAGAGAAGAGGATAGATGTGCCCTTCCTTCCTAAAGCAGCCGGAACATCCTCTTTTGTCTCCTCAAATATCCTCTCTATTACTGCTGCTGACTTTACCCTCCTCCTCCCTCGATCCCTCTTTATAACCTCCTCCTATGTCTCTCTCTCTCCCTCATACCCCCCCCCCTTCTCTATAACTATCTCTCTATACTCTTCTGTCTCTATCCCCTTCTCTTTCTCATACTCTCTCTCTCCTTCTCTGCCCCTCTCTGTTTCTTTTCCTCCCTCTCTCCTGCAGGTATACAGTCCATACCGAATTTCCCTTTAAATCAGGTCACTGCCTTCAGAGCGTCTGCTCTCTCCCTTCGTTTCACCATCTCAATCGCTCTGATTTTGACAAGCCACACCAATCACCCTCCTTCCTTCCTTCCTTCCTTCCTTCTCGCTCTCTTTCTAGCTCTCCCTCTAGCTCTCCCTTCTCCTCCTCATGCATCCTGCCTCATTGGCTGTCATTTCCTCAAACGCACAAGAGCCTCCCCCGCCTCCTCCCCCCTCCCCCCTCCTCCTCCTCTTCTGTTCATTTCCCTCTCCCATTTTGTTCTCCCCTCTTTATCCTCTTTCCCTTGCTCTCTCTCTTGTTCTCCCACCACCCTGCCCTTCTCTCCAATCTCCCTGGCTCCCTCTCTCCTGAAGATGACATTTAGTAGTTGGCATTCTCCAACAAGAAATCATTGTGTTTCCCTGGGGAGGGCGCTGATGGATTTATGGAGGAGAGTGGTGAAGGGTGGGCGCTGCCTGTCTGCACAATAGAGGGAAGAGGTGGAGGTAAGGGGGGGGGGGAGAAGACGAGGGGGAGAGGAAGAAGAGTGTGAAGGAGGATGTGGGTGGGAGTTCACCACAGCATCAATAAATCACTTAGTAGAGAATGGTGTGTGGCTGGCTGGCCGGCCGGAGCGAGAGGAGAGAGGGAAACGGTACAGCAGAGCCTTGCTGTCAGCAAGACTAATGACCCCCAGTCATAATGATGTTGTCATCATGATCTCTGCATTCATATCATTACTGGCCTTAACCGGCTTGTTGGGGGCCACCGCTAAATGAATGAAGGGAGGTAGGAAGGGAGATGGGGAGAGCTGTGTGGATCAGAGAGGCAAACGCCCATGGCTAAGCCCACTGACCCCCAGCAGGTAGGCATGCACACACAGATGCTGGCCATGAATATTTTAGCCGGGCTCCCTGGCAGTGTTTGGATTTGCATGGACCAGATGTGAGGTGCTGAAATATTTACCACACTGGCCCTTGCAGCCAGACCTGCTCAGGTTTGGGGGTGTGTGTGTTGCTTTGATGAGCACACACAAACACATAGTGTCCTCCCTCACACACACTCTCCCCCTCTCTTTCTGCAGACGGAGATCGCCAAGCGCCTGAATGTGATCTGTGCCCAGCTCATCCCTTTCCTGTCACAGGAGGTGAGACACACACACACGGTCATGCATATTAACACATCAGTAACACATTCAGTATCTCTCTGACATCCACCCACAGACTCTGGCGTGCACATGCATGCTCCTAGTAACCAAGAACTCACAGTATAACATTCAGACATACCGCTAGGGAGCAGGCACACACATTAAAACAAATGCTGTAACACAGAGTAAAAACATTAATACAAGTCCCATGATGGTAGTGACTGCCCATTAACTGCTTATCACTTATTAACCATCATTTATTCACATTACTTTTAATAAAATAATTATTTCATTCCAAGTCATCATCTAATCTCTATATGCTGTCTGACAAAATCACTATTTTAGTAGTTCTTCAAAGTAAATAAAGCATACTTTTATGACAGAAAAAAAACGAACAAAATGGAATTCAAATAATTAAACCGTTGTCGGTCAATAAGTTGTTAAAAAACTGAAACATTTCGGTTAATCACTTAGCACTAGCTTCAAAGTAAAAAAGTTATTCCTTCAAGACTTGGTCCTCCTAAACATTTGGAACCAAAATTATTTTCCAATCATTTCATTCTGAACAGAACTATAATATTTTTTGTTCCGACCAGCAAAATAATGTTCTCAACCGGTTCGAACCAAAAAAAAAGTACTGGCTTATATCATTCCTTTTTTGTTCCTTTTGAAACCTATGAAATATACACTTTCTTACATTTAGCTCGTCATTTAAATGACTTCACCAATCAGTGCGGATAGAGCAGACTACTGTGGCGCGGGTGAACGATTTAATCTGTATAGGAAAGTCCTTGAGAGCAAATTGTATTTTGCCGTAACAGCATGGTTTAATCATAATAAAAGACAACTACACACACTGTGCTGCCAGTCAGTGTAGGGCGCAACATGCAACTGACATTTTGAGAGTGAGGAAAGAGGATCGAGGAAGCTTGCCTTGAAGTACACAGTTTTCATGGGCCTTGTTTCGTGTGCACCTGCCGACTTGACATTGTGTTTTATTTTTCCCGAGTGGGAGCTGTGGTGCTTGGGGAAGAGGGAGTGCAGGACCTGCTGCCTTGGCGGCCTGCTTGGCGGCCTGGTTGGCGGCTGTAGCTTCTTTCTTGACGTTCATGTGGTTCTCACAAAGCTCACATGCTAGATCCAGTGGGATGCATTGTGCTGAGGATGCATTGTGCAAACACTCTTATTTATTTTACATCTGTACACCGTGAGTGTTGCTTTACCACTCTCTCTCCATCACTGATGTGGAGTACAGCTCCGCTGGTATGTTGTATTGCGGAGAGTGGGGCAGCTCCCGCGTTTTCACTGTTCTGAGCAGGCTAGTCTTCTTTGCAATCAACTTGTCTGCCAGGGAAATTGATGTGAAGAAGTTGTCCATGGTCACGTTTCTGCCTTTACCCATGTAAGGCTCCACGAGTCTCAAAACCGCAGTCTAAGACAGTCGCTCACCCGCTGGCCTGGTTTTATTTTCCCCTGAAATGGAAAGCCATTGAGCCAAGTACTAGGTTTCGCCATCACTGGCTAACCAACCTTAACTGAAGTCACATGCACCATTATCAGTTTCCAACTGGTTTATATCACCCATTCATCCATTGATGACAGAATAGCATGTTGTAATTTTACGTTTATGTTACTAGTTTTTGCTTAGTAGCCAAAGCAATGTTGCCGCACGAGTGGTCATGTGCTGAATGCATGGACAGCACAGATATTCTTGGAAAAAGAGCTGCACTTCTTGGATTTTGAGAGTTATTTGACAAAGGTAAGTGTCATAGAAACGGCAGAATATGCTCTTTCAGATACTATATAGAAATCACAATGTTTTACCTGCATGTGACTCTGAAGGAGGATTTGATAAAGTGATGCTCCTTTCCCTTCATCTATCAATTACAAGATGCACCCATCTCTTCATGTACAATTTGACAACTCATAGGCCTAATATTGTCACTCATCAGATTATTGTCAATGTAATCTTGTCTATAGACTAACTCTTATTATGTGTGAAATGAGTTTAGGTGTAGTTTCGAGGGGCCGGCTGTGAAGCTGACTGGCATCGTTTGTTTCCCACTCATCAACTTGGATAGAGTCAAGGATATGTTTTGCATTATTCTAAAGGCCTGCTGCAACACATAGCATGTTTTCGTTTCCCTTACAATACATTTGATCAGTAATAGAGTTACAGTAAATAAAACAGTCCTGTAACAGGTCCTTTTTACAAAGTAAAAGAGAATGGTATCAACCTGCAAGCCATGCGGTCATACAATTACGCCTAATTTAAATTTGATTGTGAAGTAACTTGCACAAGTATCGCCCATCCATCCATTTGTCATTCATTCAGAGGTCAGGCATCATTTGCTTTGCTGGATAGACTCAATGATATGTTTTGCATTATTCAAAAGGCATACTGCAACATGTAGCATGTTTTCATTTACCTTACAATAAATTCAATTAGTAATAGAGTTACAGTAAATAAAACAGTCCCATAACAGCTTATTTTTACAAGGTAAAACGTAAAAAAGAATGGTATCAACCCGCAAGGCGTGCAGTCAAATTATTTGCTGCTGATAAATAGGCATAAAACAAACTCATCATTACACTATTGTCTTTCTAAATTAAATCAACCTCTTCACCCTCCTCATCATTCAGTTAGGTCTTTAAATTCAATTGTGAAGTAAGGTGCACAGTTATCGCCCATTCATCCATTTTGTCATTCATTCAGTGAGGAGAGGGAGACGCATTAGCGCCTGGCTGGGTACCAACGTCCTACAGTTAGGAATAGGTGTGGGGGAAAAAAGGCTCTAAATACGTTTTTGTTTTTGATTTCAAAATTCTGACAAATGAGCAGTGTAAAATACAAATATTTAGGAAGTCAGGGAAGGAGCAAGACATAGCTTTTTTGGGGGGGCAGTATTTTATTCATTTACAAAATCAAACGTGGGTGGCCGTTGGCCTATGGCGGTTCTAGTGTTAACCGGTTCCCATGCTGTTCTGGAACAGTATAGATCACTTTCGTTTTTTGCTCGGGTTCTGTTCCTAAATTAATTTAGTTATTTTCTGGTTTTCGGTTCTGTTCCCTGGACCATTTCCAACCCTTGCTATATATACCACATGCTGTAATGGTGCTCTTTGAAGTTGTATATATTTTTATTGAATGTATTTGAATTTTGTTAAAATGCACACTTATCTTCAAGTTTCCCCTCTCCCCATCTCACTGTTACCTTGGCTTGTCCCACAGCACCAACAACAGGTGGTCCAGGCCATGGAGCGCGCCAAGCAGGTGACTATGGGGGAGTTAAATGCGTCGATAGGGGTACGTGGACTCCCTCCTCTACCTCATACAGTGTGTACCTCCATCCTCTCATACGTCTCTATTTTGGTTATTTTGTTTGTGCTCTGTGGGTAGCCAATTCCCCCTCCTCCCAGCATGCACACAGGCACATACATTCACGCACGCACGCACACACACACACACACACACACACACACACACACACACACACACACACACACACACACACACACACACACACACACACACACACACACACACACACAGACAAATTGGTCACTTAGTGCGGGTTTGACTGGAACAGGCTGAGATGAGTCTGCTAGGAAATGGAGAGGGAGAAGAGAAAGAGGGATGAAAAATGACACTGCTGTGTGCCAAGCGACAACTCAATGGCCTCACCAAACCAGAGGACTTTCAAATGACACCAATTTTTACAGTCTGAGAAAGGTTCTCCCCCCAATGTATTTTAGTGTTATGTGAAGAAATACAATTATTTTAATTAACTGAAAATAATACAATTATTTGAGAGATTATGATTTTCTTGGCATTTTTACATCACATCTTTTTAACAATCATGCACTCCATGGCTTGAGTTTGTGGCAGTCTTCTCTCTCTTAGGGAGACTCTCCTCCCCTCCACTCTCCCTCCATCTTGCAGGAGCCCATGCATGGTGCCATCCATCACTGGAGACACACCTCTCTCTGTATACCTCTCTCCCTTCAGCCCCTGTCCAGCCCCCATCCAGTCCACCACTAACCCAGTAGACCAACTCAACCCCTGCATTGTCCCCCCCCCCCCCCTCCTTTTCTCTCCTCCCTTCAGCAACAGCTGCAGGCGCAGCACCTCTCCCAGCACGTGGCCCAGGGTCTGCAGGGTCTGCACAGTATGCAAATGGGGCCCCATCCTGGGGGCCTCCCTCACCCTGGCCTGGCGCTGGGCGGAGGGTCTGGCCTCTTGGCTTTGTCTGGGGCCCTGGGGGCCCAGCTGGCTGCCAAGGAGGGCCACGAGAGGGCCCACCTGGAGGCTGCCGCTGCTGCAGCCGCCGCAGAGCACCACAGAGGTATGGGCTGGGACGGGGACAGGATGGGGACAGGATAGGGAGCAGGATGGGGAGCAGGATAGGGACAGGATGGGGACAGGATGGGGACAGGACGGGGACAGGATGGGGAGCAGGATAGAGAAGGACGGGGCTGGTAGGGATGGATTAGACTGAAAAAGAATGTGATGTGTAGGGTTTGGTCTTGGCTTGGCTAGATTGTTGGAGCTGGTTGGGTTGGGCTAATAATGTGTGAAATTCATAGTGATATGCTAAAGAAAGAGACATTTCATGAAAAGACCATGTGTGTGAGAATGGTGATAGTCAAGTTGTATTGTGTTTGCTCTGTTTTGGCTGGCTGCGGGGACGCGGGGCGATGCTGCCCATCATGGACGTAGACCGTGAGGCTGGACCGGTGAGAACGCTACACCCAAGTTCCCTACACCCAAGTACACTGCAATATTGTACAGTTCACCATATTACACTTCACATCGACGCTCTATCTCCCTCATGGACACTGAGCCCCAGTCGATGATGTGTGATTTGTCCATCACATTTAGCCGTGGTGGTTATGAAGTTGACATGGTTTATACAGTTCCTCTCACCTCATTATCGCCTTCTCCTCTCTTCCTCCTCCCTCCCTTAGAGCTCTATGTCCAACGGGGATAAGGGTCGTTCAGCAGACTACCTCAGCAACGGGAAGAAGAGGAGGGCAGATGAGAAGGAGTTCATGACAGACTATGTTAGTATGCTGCCACGCTGAGAAGTTGATTAGCAATTGTGTGTGTTTGTGTCACATTCATTCAGTAATTAGGTGTGTGTGTGTGTGTGTGTGTGTGTGTGTGTGCGTGCACATTTTTTTACTAATACCCCACATCCTGATTGCAGGGCAGTGACGCAGATAAGAGTGATGATAATTTGGTGGTGGATGAGGTGAGTTGGCCTATCTTTGCATCTCGGTTCAGATACCCTAAATCACTCTGATAATTGACTGATTCAGATTGATGCGAGAAACACTGTGGGGCCATGGCTGGTAGACTAACCCCCCCACCCATCTCTGTGCCCCCTCGTCCCCCCTCCAGGACCCCTCGTCCCCCCGCAGTGTCCACTCCTACTCGTCCAGAGAAAACGGCCTGGACAAGTTGCCCCCGTCCCGTAAAGACGCCCCTCCCCAGGCCAGCCCCGCGTCCCTGGCCTCCTCCAGCAGCCAAGCCTCCCCCTCCCGCAGCAAGGACCGGGAGCCACCGGTATGCTCAGGATCAGTCCATTACATGCCTTTATTGTGAGACACACACACACACAGCTTCATACAGTTATGCTCAGGGTCAGATGAGTGCTTGTACAGTGAGGGGAAAAACGTATTTGATCCCCTGCTGATTTTGTACGTTTGCCCACTGACAAAGACATGATCAGTCTATACTTTTAATGGTAGGTTTATTTGAACAGTGAGAGACAGAATAACAACAAAAAAGAAAAAGAAAAACACATGTCAAAAATGTTATAAATTGATTTGCATTTTAATGAGGGAAATAAGTATTTGACCCCTCTGCAAAACATGACTTAGTACTTGGTGGTAATCACAGAGGTCAGACGTTTCTTGTAGTTGGCCACCAGGTTTGCACACATCTCAGGAGGGATTTTGTCCCACTCCTCTTTGCAGATCTTCTCCAAGTCATTAAGGTTTCGAGCCTGACGTTTGGCAACTCGAACCTTCAGCTCCCTCCACAGATTTTCTATGGGATTAAGGTCTGGAGACAGGCTAGGCCACTCCAGGACCTTAATGTGCTTCTTCTTGAGCCTCTCCTTTGTTGCCTTGGCCGTGTGTTTTTGGGTCATTGTCATGCTGGAATACCCATCCACGACCCATTTTCAATGCCCTGGCTGAGGGAAGGAGGTTCTCACCCAATATTTGACGGTACATGGCCCCGTCCATCGTCCCTTTGATGCGGTGAAGTTGTCCTGTCCCCTTAGCAGAAAAACACCCCCAAAGCATAATGTTTCCACCTCCATGTTTGATGGTGGGGATGGTGTTCTTGGGGTCATAGGCAGCATTCCTCCTCCTCCAAACACGGCGAGTTGAGTTGATGCCAAAGAGCTCTATTTTGGTCTCATCTGACCACAACACTTTCACCCAGTTCTCCTCTGAATCATTCAGATGTTCATTGGCAAACTTCAGACGGGCCTGTATATGTGCTTTCTTGAGCAGGGGGACCTTGCGGGCGCTGCAGGATTTCAGTCCTTCACGGCGTAGTGTGTTACCAATTGTTTTCTTGGTGACTATGGTCCCAGCTGCCTTGAGATCATTGACAAGATCCTCCCATGTAGTTCTGGGCTGATTCCTCACCGTTCTCATGATCATTGCAACTCCACGAGGTGAGATCTTGCATGGAGCCCCAGGCCGAGGGAGATTGACAGTTATTTTGTGTTTCTTCCATTTGCGAATAATCGCACCAACTGTTGTCATCTTCTCACCAAGCTTCTTGGCGATGGTCTTGTAGCCATTCCAGCCTTGTGTAGGTCTACAATCTTGTCCCTGACATCCTTGGAGAGCTCTTTGGTCTTGGCCATGGTGTAGAGTTTGGAATCTGATTGATTGCTTCTGTGGACAGGTGTCTTTTATACAGGTAACAAACTGAGATTAGGAGTACTCCCTTTAAGAGTGTGCTCTAATCTCAGCTCGTTACCTGTATAAAAGACACCTGGGAGCCAGAAATCTTTCTGATTGAGAGGGGGTAAAATACTTATTTCCCTCATTAAAATGCAAATCAATTTATAACATTTTTGACATGCGTTTTTCTGGATTTTGTTGTTGTTATTCTGTCTCTCACTGTTCAAATAAACCTACCATTAACATTATAGACTGATCATTTTTTTGTCAGTGGGCAAACTTACAAAATCAGCAGGGGATTAAATACTTTTTTCCCTCACTGTATGTATGGTGAGGCATGCTCAGCCCACATACTTAGTTCCAGTGATGGTCCTTCCATTCAGCCTCATTCTGTGTCAAGGATGCTCACATCCCATGTGACCCTAGCCTTACTGAATTACTGCATTTCTACACACCCACACTTTGACATGACCTCGCTTCAGAATAGATAGATCCTAGATACATAGAACAGCAGTGATACAGAAGCCATCTGTTAAATATTCCATTCCAAATGGTTTCTCCATGTGTCCTTCATGTAACTCCACAGCATTAGCACCTAGTGTCTCTCTGGTAACTGTGGTGTGATGAAAGGATATCTCACATTCACATCACACTATCTCTCCTCTCACACTCTCTCTCGTTCTCTTTCACACTTCTCTCTCTACCTCCCTCCTCCATCTCTCTCTACCTCCCTCCTCTCCCCACCTCTCTCTCTACCTACCTCCTCCTCTCCCCATCTCTCTCTACCCTCCCTCCTCCTCTCCCCATCTCTCTCTCTTCCTCCTCTCTCTCTCTCTCTCTCTCTCTCTCTCTCTCTCTCTCTCTCTCTCTCTCTCTCTCTCTCTCTCTCTCTCTCTCTCTCTCTCTCTCTCTCTCTCTCTCTCTCTCTCTCTCTCTCTCTCTCTCTCTCTCTCACACACACACACACACAGAGGGAGAAGTCCAGTACCCCAGGTATGAAGCCAGGCACCCCCCACGGTTCCCAGGACTCCTCCACCCCCGGCCCCAGTGCCCCCCCACAGTTCCGCCCCGTCCCTGGCAAACCTGGCATTGACCCTCTGGGTAAGACCAACCACAAGACCATCATGGATCACATGTGTATTGCAGTTTTCACTAGGTTTTTTAAGTGCCTTCAATACCAGCCTTGATCATTGATTATCAGATGATTTTATCTGAAGCAGCCTACAGTTTCCATCTACATTCAGTATTTGAGTCCATGCATGAATCAAAATGGTAAGCCCTGTTCTAACCAGCTGAGCTATACAAACTGCCCTTGACGTGGGTTAACTGATGTGCCTGCTGCTGCCTGTGATTGTGAGAGAAGTGGATTTTCAGCAGGGAGATTAAGAGAGGTGACGGACTGTGACGCTGAACTCTTTCATCATTAGGCTGTTTCAGTCTATTGCAATGCATCAAACTCCCCTCCCAGCAGCTCCCATTCAGTAGTCAAGTGGCTCCATACTGCTGTGTGGCAGACCAGCCAGCAGAGTGCAGTAGTGCTCTGGTGATGTTCTCGCTACTGTGGCAGAGAGCAATGTGTTTGACCCTGTTTGATGTGGAACCCTACATAGAGGGTCAGAGCTGGCTCCCAGGCTGGCTGTTTACACAGGGTCTCCTCTGTCTTATCTAACAGTGTTAACTCTATCAGCCACACTAATTGGAATGGTAATCATGGCCTTTCCCAAGACAATTAATACACCCAAGATAGGTAATAGAATGAGAATAGAAAAATTAAACTGGATCAATTCAACCTGATCAACTTTTTTCGTACTGGTCCCCCATAACCCTGGCGTTGCAAGCGTCATGCTCTACCAACTGAGCCAAACTGACACTTATTTGTTTTTGTCGTTGATTATTGGAACAAAGCAATACAAACTTATCTTTGTGCCTCCTCTCCATCTCTGTATTCATAGTTCTAAGGTGAACATCAGCTACTGGTCTCTGTTGGATTCTAGCTTTCTAGGTTAATTTGCTTTGTCGCTTTCTGCATTATCGAATCTTAATTTCCTCCCCAATTTTGATCTTGTCTCATCGCTGCAACTCGAGTCATTCATCCTCCAAAACATGACCTGCCAAACCGCACTTCTTAACACCCGCCCGCTTAACCCGGAAGCCAGCCACACCAATTTGTTGGAGGAAACGCTGTTCAACAGCCTGCCGGCACATGGCCCGCCACAAGGAGTCGCTAGACTAACCCGGATGAAGCTGGGCCAATTGTGCGCCGCCCTATGGGACTCCCGATCACGGCCGGTTGTGATACAGGCCGGGATTGAACCCGGGTCTGTAGTGATGCCTCTAGCACAGCGATGCAGTGCCTTAGACCGGGAGGCCCCTGATTCTTAATCTTATCTTCTCTCTCCCTCCCGCCCCCTTTCTCCTCTCACCATCAGCTCTGGGTCTGAGGAATCCTCTGGCGGTGCAGGGAGCGTACCCCCCCGGGGCGTTTGGCCTGCCCCCTCCAGGGGTGAACGGGGAGCTGGCGGGGGCAGCAGCAGCCTATGGGGCGGGGCTTCACCTGGTCTCCCCCCAGATGAACGGCTCTGCAGCCGCCGCCGCTGCAGCCGGATATGGACGATCACCAGTGGTGAGAGGGGGATGGGGTAGTGATGATAAACGGAAAGAGAGGGAAGCGGAATATATACAGTTGAAGTCAGAAGTTTACATACACTTAAGTTGGAGTGATTAAAACTTGTTTTTCAACCACTCCACAAATTTCTTGTTAACAAACTATAGTTTTGGCAAGTCGGTTAGGACATCTACTTTGTGCATGACACAAGTAATTTTGCCAACAATTGTTTACAGACAGATTATTTCACTTATAATTCACTGTATCACAATTCCAGTGGGTCAGAAGTTTACATACACTAAGTTGACTGTGCCTTTAAACAGCTTGGAAAATGATGTAATGGCTTTAGAAGCTTCTGATAGGCTAATTGACATCATTTGAGTCAATTGGAGGTGTACCTGTGGATGTATTTCAAGGCCTACCTTCAAACCCAGTGCCTCTTTGCTTGACATCATGGGAAAATCAAAAGAAATCAGCCAAGACCTCAGAAAATAAATTGTAGACCTCCACAAGTCTGGTTCATCCTTGGGAGCAATTTCCAAATGCCTGAAGGTGCCACGTTCATCTGTACAAACAATAGTACGCAAGTATAAACACCATGGGACCACGCAGCCATCATACCGCTCAGGAAGGAGGCGCGTTCTGTCTCCTAGAGATGAACGTACTTTGGTGCGAAAAGTGCAAATCAATCCCAGAACAACCGCAAAGGACCTTGTGAAGATGCTGGAGGAAACGGGTACAAAAGGATCTATATCCACAGTAAAACGAGTCCTATATCGACATAACCTGAAAGGCCGCTCAGCAAGGAAGAAGCCACTGCTCCAAAACCGCCATAAAAAAACAGACTACAGTTTGCAACTGCACATTGGGACAAAGATCGTACTTTTTGGAGAAATGTCCTCTCGTCTGATGAAACAAAAATAGAACTGTTTGCCCATAATGACCATAGTTATGTTTGGAGGAAAAAGGGGGTTGCTTGCAAGCTGAAGAACACCATCCTAACCGTGAAGCACGGGGGTGGCAGCATCATGCTGTGGGGGTGCTTTGCTGCAGGAGGGACTGGTGCACTTCACAAAATAGATGGCATCATGAGGAAGGAAAATTATATTGAAGCAACATCTCAAGACATCAGTCAGGAAGTTAAAGCTTGGTTGCAAATGGGTCTTCCAAATGGACAATGACCCCAAGCATTCTTCCAAAGGTGTGGCAAAATGGTTTAAGGACAACAAAATCAAGGTATTGGAGTGGCCATCACAAAGCCCTGACCTCAATCCTATAGAAAATGTGTGGGCAGAACTGGAAAAGCGTGTGCGAGCAAGGAAGCCTAGAAACCTGACTCAGTTACACCAGCTCTGTCAGGAGGAATGGGCCAAAATTCACCCAACTTATTGTGGGAAGCTTGTGGAAGGATACCCGAAACGTTTGACCCAAGTTAAACAATTTTAAAGGCAATGCTACCAAATACTAATTGAGTGTATGTAAACTTCTGACCCACTGGGAATGTGATGAAAGAAATAAAAGCTGAAATAAATCATTCTCTCTACTATTATTCTGACATTTCACATTCTTAAAATAAAGTGGTGATCCTAACTGACCTAAGACAGGGATTTTTTACCAGGATTAAATGTCAGCAATTGTGAAAAACTGAGTTTAAATGTATTTGGCTAAGGTGTATGTAAACTTCCGACTTCAACTGTATCTGTGTACACGCACTTGCACACTGAGTAGGCTTTTATTGACAATCCAATTGTATGACCTCATAAACCAGTCATATCTCTTCATGGTATGGACTTAGTATTCACTGTGGGAAAACAGTAGAAATCTACTGTGGTTTTGAGAAGGCTTTCTGGGACTGCTCTGTCAGATGCCTGAGCTAACATTCTTTGTCCTTGTACTCCAGGTGGGCTATGAGTCTCCTCACCCCCACATGAGGGTCCCAGGGTTACCCGCCAGCCTGCAGTCCGCTGCCTCAGGGAAACCGTGAGTACTGTTCTCTCTGCCTCTGCTACCACAGCCTCTTATACGGTCATCACACCCTCTTATTCTCTGACCACAGCACAATTTTACTATTATGTCTTCATACTCATTTGTTGCTATTGTAGGCTTTTATTGTCTTGAGGGTAACCTCAAGTTTCAGCCTTGTTAAATGCACAGTCCAGTCAAAAAACTTGATTTTCCTGTGTTTTATATATATTTTCACATTATGAGGTTGGAATAATCAGGGGTGTGGACTCCAGTCACATGACTTGGACTCGATTCTGACTCCAGTCACAAATTTGAAGACTTGAGACTCGATTTGATAGAAAATAAAATTACTTGACTTGGAGCCTCAAGACTAGGGACTCGTCTTTGACTTGAGACTGATGACTTGAAATTCTGGCCAGGTTTTGTCACTCATTTTGTGGCACGGAGTCTCTGTGGATTACTCTCCTCGCAGCCAGAGACAGTAGCTGCTGCATCGATTACGCAAACTCTGCCCTCTGATTGGACCAGCTAACTGTTAATCAACACAGGTCAGGCGAGGCAGCGCAGTGGTTCTCAAAGTGAGATGGTTTTGGTGGGTCGCGAGTGTGAAACTGAATGGGAAAAAAAATATATTTTAATAGGCTACCATTTGTATTTTCTATCTTTGTCCATTTGATCTGATTTATAATATAGGCCTACGGTATTGCACTAAATTGTCTCAAAAACATCTCATCTGTGTTTCAGAACCAAAAAATTGCACGTCTTGATTGTTGACCAATGACCAGTCATCAGCATAGGCACGCAAAGGCGAGTGCGCATAACCAGAGATTAGTGACCAGAAAGCTCTTGCTTACTTTTCTCTGGTTGGCAAAAACAAAATATGTTTATATTATTTATAGAAAATACAGTTTAGAAATCTACTACTGAGGCATCTTTGCCAGAACAATAATAAGCTACCTGGCGATTTCATTGATCATTTTCATATTTCAGATAGGCCTAGTTTGGGTGGCTACTGGCTATATGTCTAAAGGTAGCTGTAACATTGCACTTCCTTCAATATTATGGGACGAAGATGTAACATATTCTGGCGAATTAATTATGGTATTTGTGAGGAAGAAGGGCTACCCAGTTGGCAATGAGCATTCTGCGGGCAGGTGGCCCTCCAAAGTGATACCACGAGGCGCAGACAGACCATGCGTTCCACCCTATTACAGTTAGGCCATATGATTCTGCTTGCTCTGGACAGAGAAGTGACACAATATCCCTAGTTAATATTGGCAGCTAACATGAATGACTTTCAGATAAACTGCATTTTACACCTGCATTTGTAATTCTATATCTTGCGTTTTGTAAATGCATTGCCATTTATGACTCCAATGACAGGCTACATTTGCGCGCACTGCTTTTTGGGGGTCGCGGGTCAAAAAGTTTAGGACAGCTATAGGGTCGGGTGCAGCGCAAACATCAAATTGTAGGGAGAGAAGGTTGCCATAAACATCTAGCTCCAAATATTATTTGGTGACAATATTAACCTCTTAAGGATCGGAACCTTTTTTTCAATTTGCGCCTAAAATGACATACCCAAATCTAACTGCCTGTAGCACAGGACCTGAAGCAAGGATATGCATATTCTTGATACCGTTTGAAAGGAAACACTTTGAAGTTTGTGGAAATGGGAAATTAATGTAGGAGAATATAACACATTATATCTGGTAAAAGATAAGCAGCAGTGTGTGTGTGCAAATTTTCAGATCGATCCAGTGAAGCATTGCAATACTGGACTATTTTGTATCAAGTCTGCCCAAATGTGTCAAATTGGTCAATTAATACATTTTCAAGTACATAACTATAGAGAACATACATTTTGTATTACCATATCATTTTTGTAAGTTTACACACTCCCAGGAATGTCATACATGATGGATCATTAGCTTATACACCAACTTTCACACAGCTAGATGGCCGGGCGGGGTGGGTGTGGAGCCAGAGACAGCATGGGTTTAAACTGTAGAACCCAATTCCTACATTTGAATATAAAAATTGATTTGATCAAACAAAACAATGCTACGTTTTATCTCTGGGACCCTTAGGATGACAAATCAGAGTAAGATTACTGAATGGAAGTACATTATTTACCTTCAGAGGTGAATGTATCAAACCAGTTGCCGTGATACGTTTTTTATTGTTGTGCACTCTCCTCAAACAATAGCATGGTCTTTTTTCACTGTAATAGCTACTGTGAATTGGACAGTGCATTTAGATTAACAAGAATTTAAGCTTTCTGCCCATATAAAACATGTCTATATCCTGGAAAGTTTGCTAATCACATTAGCGCACGTTAGCTCAACCGTCCCGTATACGGGATCCAGTAGAGGTTAACTGGTTACTTTGCACGCTCACCGGCAATGGAGCATCAAATCAAATCAAATGTTATTTGCCACATGTGCCGAATACAACAGGTGTAGACCTTACAGTGAAATGCTTACTTACAAGCCCTTAACCAACAATGCAGTTAAAGATTATTATTTTTTTAAGTGTTAAGAAATAGATAAGTAAAAACATTTGAAAATAGCAAATAATTAAAGAGCAGCAGTAAAATAACAATAGCGGGGCTATATACAGGGGGTACCGGTTCAGAGTCAATGTGCGGGGGCACCGGCTAGTTGAGGTAGTTGAAGTAATATGTACATGTGGGTAGAGTTAAAGTCACTATGCATAAATAATAAACAGAGTAGCAGCAGCGTAAAAGAGGGTGGTGGGGTGGGCAATGCAAATAGTCCGGGGTAGCCATGAGTAGCTGTTCAGGAGTCTTATGGCTTGGGGGTAGAAGCTGTTAAGAAGCCTTTTGGACCTAGACTTGGCGCTCCGGTACCGCTTGCCGTGACAGAGAGAACAGTCTATGACTAGGGTGGCTTAGAGTCTTTGACAATTTTTAGGGCCTTCCTCTGACACCGCCTGGTATAGAGGTCCTGGATGGCAGGAAGCTTGGCCCCAGTGATGTACTGGGCCGTACGCACTACCCTCTGAGGACCCATGCCAAATCTTTTCAGTCTCCTGAGGGGGAATAGGCTTTGTCATGCCCTCTTCACGACTGTCTTGGCGTGTTTGGACCATGATAGTTTGTTGGTGATGTGGACACCAAGGAACTTGAAGCTCTCAACCTGTTCCACTACAGCCCCGTCGATGAGAATGGGGGCGTGCTCGGTCCTCCTCTTTTTCCTGTAGTCCACAATCATCTCCTTTGTCTTGATCACATTGAGGGAGAGGTTGTTTTTCAACAATTACTAGCATAGGCCTAGCTACTGGTCTTATGGTATGTCAAAATTGCTTGAAATTGATCATTTACTTATGAAGCTTACATTTGGAATTTGTTGTTAAACTTAATTCTTACATATCAAAATGTGTTAGACAAAATAATGAAAAGGGCTGTCTGGTAGCCTCAACAAATAGACAAATATTTGTAGTTGAACAAGTCATTGTATGTATAGATTTTTTTTATTTCTACTTGACATGAGACTTGCCTTAAATAAACTTGTCTTGACTTGACTGACTCTTAGAATGCACGACTTGACTCGAGACTCGACCCGTTCTACTTGGGACACGATTTGAGACTCTTGTGACTCGAGACTTGCTTGTGACTCGAATAATAGTGATTTGGTCCAACTCTGGGAATAATATTGTAAAAATTATGATAATGCCCTTTTCGTGTAAGAGCTGTTTGAAAAGATCACCTGATGTTTTTGGTCTGCCTGGTGCCATCATCAGGCGGTAAATTAGTTAATAGACCAATAAGAAAGAGCGTTCCAAACCTCTCTGCCAATAACAGCTAGTTTTGAATTTTCCCCTCCCCACTCAGACCACTCCCAGAAATTACTCTTTGCTAAGAAGCTATTTTTGTTTCTTTTTGACAATTATAATTGAAAACAATCACAGTAAGGTACTTAATTGTTACCCAGAAATGATTTGATATCGAAATAAAAATGACTGCATTGGATCTTTTTAAAGTAACAACTACTGTAGAACAGCACATTTCACTGCACCTATCCAGTGTATGTGACAATAAAATGTATTTATTTATTTTCTTCTTCTCCTCCCACCTTCCTTCCTCTGTATTCTCACTCTCCAGTGCCTACTCTTTCCATGTAAGTGCGGATGGACAGATGCAGCCGGTGCCTTTCCCTCCAGATGCCCTGCTGGGCCCGGGCATCCCGCGGCACGCCCGTCAGATCCACACTCTGAACCATGGAGAGGTGGTGTGTGCCGTTACCATTAGTACTTCCACACGCCACGTCTACACCGGCGGGAAGGGCTGTGTCAAGGTGTGGGACATCAGCCAGCCTGGAAGCAAAAGTGCCATGGCCCAGCTCGACTGTCTGGTGAGTGGACACACACACACACACACTGTGCATAGAGACACAAACGCACTGACACCAAAGAGATAGCAGAGGACGGAGAGAGTAAAGGAAGGACGCACTCAAACAGTGGTCATGAAGGGACAACTTAAAATGATACAGAGACGGGCAGTTTAAAAAAAATGCTTTCCAGTGTACATGAAAAATGTATGTACCAAGTTGTCTTGAAGGGAATGTTCCTGGGTGGAAATGTTTTACTCTGGTGGTACTGCTGAGGCTGCACTCCTTAGAGGACTTCATTATTCTGCTGTCATATTATTAATACACTGCTCAAAAAAATAAAGGGAACACTTAAACAACACAATTTAACTCCAAGTCAATCACACTTCTGTGAAATCAAACTGTCCACTTAGGAAGCAACACTGATTGACAATACATTCCACATGCTGTTGTGCAAATGGAATAGACAACAGGTGGAAATTATAGGCAATTAGCAAGACACCCCCAATAAAGGACTGGTTTTGCAGGTGGTGACCACAGACCACTTCTCAGTTCCTATGCTTCCTGGCTGATGTTTTGGTCACTTTTGAATGCTGGCGGTGCTTTCACTCTAGTGGTAGCATGAGACGGAGTCTACAACCCACACAAGTGGCTCAGGTAGTGCAGCTCATCCAGGATGGCACATCAATGCGAGCTGTGGCAAAAAGGTTTGCTGTGTCTGTCAGCGTAGTGTCCAGAGCATGGAGGTGCTACCAGGAGACAGGCCAGTACATCAGGAGACGTGGAGGAGGCCGTAGGAGGGCAACAACCCAGCAGCAGGACTGCTACCTCCGCCTTTGTGCAAGGAGGAGCAGGCGGAGCACTGCCAGAGCCCTGCAAAATGACCTCCAGCAGGCCACAAATGTGCATGTGTCTGCTCAAACGGTCAGAAACAGACTCCATGAGTGTGGTATGAGGGCCCGACGTCCACAGGTGGGGGTTGTGCTTACAGCCCGACAGCGTGCAGGACGTTTGGCATTTGCCAGAGAACACAAGATTGGCAAATTCGCCACTGGCGCCCTGTGCTCTTCACAGATGAAAGCAGGTTCACACGGAGCACATGTGACAGACGTGACAGAGTCTGGAGACGCCGTGGAGAACGTTCTGCTGCCTGCAACATCCTCCAGCATGACCGGTTTGGCGGTGAGTCAGTCATGGTGTGGGGTGGCATTTCTTTGGGGGGCCGCACAGCCCTCCATGTGCTCGCCAGAGGTAGCCTGACTGCCATTAGGTACCGAGATGAGATCCTCAGACCCCTTGTGAGACCATATGCTGGTGCGGTTGGCCCTGGGTTCCTCCTAATGCAAGACGTGTGTCAGCAGTTCCTGCAAGAGGAAGGCATTGATGCTATGGACTGGCCCGCCCGTTCCCCAGACCTGAATCCAATTGAGCACATCTGGGACATCATGTCTCGCTCCATCCACCAACGCCACGTTGCACCACAGACTGTCCAGGATGCTTTAGTCCAGGTCTGGGAGGAGATCCCTCAGGAGACCATCCGCCACCTCATCAGGAGCATGCCCAGGCGTTGTAGGGAGGTCATACAGACACGTGGAGGCCACACACACTACTGAGCCTCATTTTGACTTGTTTTAAGGACATTACATCAAAGTTGGATCAGCCTGTAGTGTGGTTTTCCACTTTAATTTTGAGGGTGACTCCAAATCCAGACCTCCATGGGTTGATACATTTGATTTCCATTGATCATTTTTGTGTGATTTTGTTGTCAGCACATTCAACTATGTAAAGAAAAAAGTATTTAATAAGATTATTTCATTCATTCAGATCTAGGATGTGTTATTTTAGTGTTCCCTTTATTTTTTTGAGCAGTGTAGTTGTGAATTTTATGTTGCTCACCTCACACAGTCACATTTGCACCCTATAATTACTGGAGTTATTTTCTGTTACCCAATCAGAATAGGGATAACTACATCCGCTCCTGCAAACTCCTCCCCGATGGGCGGACCCTCATCGTTGGAGGCGAGGCCAGCACACTGTCAATCTGGGACTTGGCCACACCCACTCCCCGCATCAAGGCGGAGTTGACGTCGTCTGCCCCGGCCTGCTACGCTCTGGCCATCTCCCCCGACAACAAGGTCTGCTTCTCCTGCTGCAGCGACGGAAACATCGTAGTCTGGGACTTGCACAACCAGACCCTGGTTAGGTAAGGAGAGGAGAGGAGGAGGAGAGGGGGATAACGAGGAAGATGAGGAGAGGGGGGAGAGGAGTAGGTTAGGAGGGGTAGAGGGGGGAAATATTGTGGTCTTGGACCTTCACAACCAGACCCTGGTCAGGTTAGGAGAGGTGAGGAGGTTAGGAGGGGTAGAGGGGGAAAATATCATAGTCTGGGACCTGCACAACCAGACCCTGGTCAGGTAAGGAGAGGAGTAGAGGGGGAGGGTAGGGCAGGAAAGGAGAGTAGAGGTGAAGAGGAGGAGGATAGGGCAGGAGAGGAGAGGAGGAGAAGGAGAGAGCATGGCCATGGGCTATATGACTATGGATCACATCTGAATGGCTGGGGGTTGATGTTGAATGTGTCTGTGCTCCCCAGGCAGTTCCAGGGCCACACTGACGGGGCCAGCTGTATTGACATCTCCAACGATGGGACCAAACTGTGGACGGGGGGGCTGGACAACACAGTACGCTGCTGGGACCTGAGAGAGGGACGACAGCTGCAGCAGCACGACTTCACCTCACAGGTACTGACACCAGCTGAGACTAGATCAGGGCCAGTATCCACAAAGTGTCTCAGAGTAGAAAATTGGTTCTAAGTGCTGAGAATATACACTTGACTCCTACTCTTATGGGTGAAAATAAAAGCTATGCATGAAGCCTCTTTAGTCATAAGAGGCCCACCTAGACGACAGATATTTAGGACACCTCATGAGCTGTCCTAACCAGGTAAGAGTTACCAGCAGGTGCCTTGATAATAGAAAAATGCAGCGAGTCAGTGGTTCCTGCGCCACATGCAATTGCTTTGGAGTTGTTGAAACAATGTTTTGATATGATCAATCCATATACAATCTAGGCCTACCTGCAACAGTAGGCCTATCTCTTGTGCTTTTGACAATGATTTCACAAGGCCTATTTCACAAGATATACCTAAATACTTATAACTAATAAATAATCACATTTTTCTTTAGATGATTTAATTAAACTATGTACATGTTATTTCAAGTTATCCCTTTGGAGCTCAATTTCACATTGTAAAAAAAAAAAAGCCTACATTGGGCATGCCTAGAAATTGGCATCTAAGGCTTATGTTAACTTTGTTTGTGTTCGATGAAAATGATAGACCTTTCAAATGTTTTATGCAACATTATCAGCAAGTGACTTGATGCCTACTGTGCCAAAGCGATTTAGTTGTGTGTTTAATATAATGGTAATATTATAAAAATTCCACTTTTAACAACCATCAGTTGGTTTAAAAAAAAAAGGTTATGCATGCCAACGTACGGTGCCGTGACAGTATTTCCCCTCGTTCTGATTTTCTCTATTTTTAAATATTTTGGAAACTAAAGGTTATTAGATCTTCAATCAAAACCTAATATTAGATAAAGGGTACCTGGGTGAACAAATAACAACCAATTGCATAACTTTGTTTATTAAATACATTTAAAAAGTATCAACACCCAATGCCCCTGTGTGAAAAAGTTATTGCACCTTTACACTCAATAACTGGTTGTGCCACCTTTAGCTGCAATGACTGCAACCAAACGTTTCCTGTAGTTGATCAGTCTCTCACATCCATGTGGAGGAATTTTGGTCCACTCTTCCATGCAGAACTGCTTTAACATTTCAATCTGGTTTAGGTCTGGACTTTGACTAGGCAATTCCAGAACTTTAAATGTGTGGCTTTTCAGCCATTCCGATGTAGACTTGCTTTTGTGTTTTGAATCATTGTCTTGCTGCATGACCCAGCTGCGCTTAAGCTTAACCATGAATTCTACTCTGTATCAATTCTCTGATACAGAGCAGAATTCATGGTTCTTTCAATGATGGCAAGTCGTCCAGGTCCTGAGGCAGCAAAGCATCCCCAAACCATAACACTACCACCACGCTGGACCCATGTCATCCAAAAAGTTAAAATGTTGAATCATCTGTCCATAGAACATTCTTCTAGGAGTCTTGACGATCTTCCAGGTGCTTTTTGGCGTTTTGGACAACATGGGTCTGGTGAAAACCAAACACTGAATTCCATAGTAAGAACCTCCATACCAATGGTCAAGCATGGTGGTGGTATTGTGATGGTTTGGGGACCTGGAAGACTTGCCATCATTGAAGAAACCAGGAATTCTAGGCTATAGTCACATTCACCGTATAAGTTTTGAAACATGCTATAGAGTTCACAGCTGGCGATGCCTTATCGCGATTGGTTATTCCCAATAATTTGCAACCATGTCAATGAGCGTCATCACTATCTTTCCTTTGCAGTAACTGTTGTGATTACCAGCTGAGATAAACCTTTGTGTTGATTTTACTCCTGGCTCAGAGTTTGTCTGAGCAGTGTCTTAACATCATCCTAAAACCTACTTTGAGCTGGGAGTGTTTTTTAGTGTTGAAAACGGTTTCAACAGGATTCCTAAGACTTTTTCTGAGATGCTATGTGGATACGGCCCCAGTAATGTATTTCACTTGTTAATATATATATGGAGTGGCTGCGGTTCCGGATTTTCTGCAACCCGATTTGCCGTAGCTAAAGATTTCTGCGCATGTGCAGGATGTTTTTTACGTACTGCTGCCAACTCCTCTGCCTCAGTAGTGATTGGAAGTTCAGCTCTTTTTACTGACTCTTTTTTTACTGAACTCATTCAATCAAAATAACAAATCTTTCGACTCATTTGATTCAGTAATGCCAAGAGCACGCAGGACCCCCTACCGGCAAACAATGAACTAAAAACTTGAATCATGATTCTACAAGCTTCTTGTTCACCAAAGGGGGCTTATTGTAGCTGACATTTGTGACTGATACTTCTAAAAGTGTGCTTCAAACAATGTACATACAATTATTTATTGATGGCTTTGAAACAAGTTCTAGTTGTGGCCACAAAGGACTAGATTGTGAATGACTCTTGGCGGAATGCTCTCTGCTTGACTGCCGCGAGGGAGATTAGCACAATATAGTTTGAACTGCAGCAGCCCCCCGAAACGATTCGTTCTTGAGTTCCAGTGTTGAGCAGAGGCATGTGTTTGTTTTGGTTCTACAAAGCTGTGTCCATCGATAACATTCGCTAATCAATTGCATTCAATTATCAGTTCTAAACAATTATTTTTCTTTGTCAAACTGTTTTCACAGCCACAGCCTAATATATAAGACCTGTCGCTCCATTCTGTATCACTTCACACATGATGCTGCTGATGGTCTTTGTCAGATGAGCTCCATTCAGTCGTGTAATGAGCTTTCTCTCTCTCTCATCCTCTCCCTCCCGCCAGATCTTTTCTTTGGGCTACTGTCCTACAGGAGAGTGGCTGGCAGTGGGTATGGAGAGCAGTAATGTAGAAGTGCTGCATGTCTCCAAACCAGACAAGTACCAGCTGCACCTCCACGAGAGCTGTGTGCTGTCACTCAAGTTTGCCTACTGTGGTACGTACCACACTCCTAATTGTTCCATTCAAATGTTTTCTTGTGTAATCTTGAGGACAAAATACAATTTTAGCCATTTAGCAGACGCTCTTATCCAGAGTGACATACAATTTAGTGCATTCGTCTTAAGAAAGCTAGGTGGGACAACCACATATATCTCAGTCATAGTAAGTACATTTTCCTTCAATAAAGGAGCTATGAGCAAAGGGCCAGTAGGAAAATAAGAAAAAGGGAGGGAGGGGGGGGGATTGGGATTATTTAAAATACTATTTGAATGGGTAGGGTTAGCCTGAAATTACACTCTCACAAAGCATAAGTCTCTTTCTCCTTGTATGCAACAAACTAGCCATCCCTGTCTGTCATGCTGCATCTCCTCTGCCCAGAGTATATCTCTTCATCTCCCATTGTGTGTGTCTTTGGTTCTGCAGGTAAATGGTTTGTGAGCACAGGCAAAGATAACCTTCTGAACGCATGGCGGACACCCTATGGATCAAGCATATTCCAGGTAGGTCCCCACTTTGATTTACTAACTGGTTTGTCTCTTACACTTTGTCGCTAGTGAAATGCTATTTCAAGTGCATTTGTTGGGTTTCTAGTTATTTAAGCCATTTATACTATTTATTATATAAATCCCTTTTGTGTAATGATGGTATTGTCTCTGTGATTATGGTTGGTTTGTGTAATGATGGTATTGTCTCTGTAAATATGGTTGGTTTGTGTAATGATGGTATTGTCTCTGTGATTATGGTCGGTTTGTGTAATGATGGTATTGTCTCTGTGATTATGGTCGGTTTGTGTAATGATGGTATTGTCTCTGTGATTATGGTCGGTTTGTGTAATGATGGTATTGTCTCTGTGATTATGGTCGGTTTGTGTAATGATGGTATTGTCTCTGTGAATATGGTTGGTTTGTGTAATGATGGTATTGTCTCTGTGATTATGGTTGGTTTGTGTAATGATGGTATTGTCTCTGTGAATATGGTTGGTTTGTGTAATGATGGTATTGTCTCTGTGAATATGGTCGGTTTGTGTAATGATGGTATTGTCTCTGTGAATATGGTCGGTTTGTGTAATGATGGTATTGTCTCTGTGAATATGGTCGGTTTGTGTAATGATGGTATTGTCTCTGTGAATATGGTTGGTTTGTGTAATGATGGTATTGTCTCTGTGAATATGGTCGGTTTGTGTAATGATGGTATTGTCTCTGTGATTATGGTTGGTTTGTGTAATGATGGTATTGTCTCTGTGATTATGGTCGGTTTGTGTAATGATGGTATTGTCTCTGTGAAATATGGTTGGTTTGTGTGTAACTGGAGTCTTCTTTTTGTTTCTCCAGTCAAAGGAGACGTCTTCGGTGCTCAGCTGTGACATCTCTCCTGATGACCAGTTCATTGTGACGGGCTCGGGTGACAAGAAGGCCACTGTGTATGAAGTCATCTACTGAGGAGGGAGTGCTCTGATTGGATAAAGTGGGGGTGATGCTCCCCTGGCGCACCAATGACTGTAAAGAGTGGTGGGCGTCGTGGAGACAAGACACACATTGTACTTTGTTGTTTTATTTACTTTTGTAAAGGATGCAGATGAGGGCGTGGATATCTGGAACTTTGACCTTAAAAAAAAATGCTCAGAAAAAGCTGGTAGTCTAGCGACACAAAAAGTGGGATTCCTCCAAAGAACTCTTTGTTTTTTCCCCACCTTTTTTTTTTTCATTTTTTTTAACAAAATGAAACCTCTGTAGTGAACAAAAAATTAGCAAAAATAAATGCATTATTTTTTTAGCCTTAGAATTCTTGACGAGCGGTAGGACCATGGTGTGTGCACAGAGGGAGATAAGGGGGTTGTAAGTGCTGGAGGGGGGAGGGGGGGGAGTGGAGGGGGGAGGGGGGGGGGGGGGTGACCACAGTTTTGTGTGTAGCCTAGCCCAGTCCCTGCTCTGCTCGTATCACTGTGAATGTCTGTACTCATCTAGCAGATGGTATGGCGGACAGACAGTTTGCTGTGAGATTCCAATGACTAAACGTGGTTAGATTCAGCAGCAATATGATTGTATTGTAATACATGATAAAAGGACAGAACACTATCCAGGATATGAAACGAAAATATGTGTTCACAGTATTCTGCAATTTCAGGGAAATGGCTACTTACTACATCAACACTCAACAATGACATGTTTTCTATTGTATTTGTTAGGGCACATAGACAGGTATTTTCACTACTGCATCGTGACCTTTGAACTCGGTATATATCAACTGTAAATAAAGCTCTAAAGGCAAAAAAGGACATGGGTCGGATTTGCTTAGAGCCGGGGAGAAAAGTGGTATGATTCATTTGTACATTGTAGTTTTGAGTATCTCTTTAAGTGCATATTCCCAAGAGAAACAGGACTGTGACTAACCACCATACAGGGCTGATGGGTCTGGAAAGGTTGGTAAGATGTCTGCAGCCACACAGCTCAGTGGGAGCTTTGATAGGAGTCTGGCTGACTGTCTGCTGCTTTTAATGTCATTGTGTCCTCAACTGGAAGTGAGCCCAAGGAGGACCTGCCTCCAACTTCAGTGTCCTCTCAACCCTTCCCTACACACACCCTGTGTACTCTCACTCTCTCTATAGAGTACAGCTCTGCTCAGAACAAAGCCTCAACCATGAGTAGGACTTATATCCAAAGGTGGACATGTTCCAGGAGTGGGCAGTTCTGCCTGTGTACAGATGGATAATGATAACACAATGTGTTCAAAGCTACTGAGTGCCCCCTGTAAATCTGAACGGTCTGAAGAGTACATGTTGAGAGAGTATACCAGCTATGTCATGGAGGCCCCCCAGGGCCATGTCTTCTAATGGACTCTCATTAGGAGTGGGATGAAGTGGCCATGGCCTAGACAACATTTACCTGGAGGAGCTGGGGATTATGGGATGGTGGAGGTACCACATTCTCTCTAGCTGGGGAGCTGGTGTGTACTGACCAAGGAATGGACCTGTGGGGCAGGTGAAAGATGGGAGGGTCTGGGGGAATGATGTGGGCAAGAGTAGATCTAGGTGATGTAATGAGACCAATAAAATATTTTGTATGGTTCTTGGTGTTTTCATACTGTACTGCACGTCTCCAACATTCAAAACTGCATTCTTTAAGAAAAATAAATACTCAAATGGTCAGCGGCACTTGAAAAAGATGAACACTTTATTTTTCTTTTCATATGGGAAATTTGTCAGGAAGGAAAACAATGCTTATTTTTTTTTGTTCCTTGGCATTAAATGTAACTAAGCTCTAGAGCTCCATTCAATCCGTAGCGCTGAAGACCTGTGCTACAGTGCGGTATAAATTTAAAGGCAATGTTCCCACTTTTGCGCAGACTTCATTCACAGTAAACACTGCATATGTCGGCTCGATCGAAAATGACCTTTAAATTTCAATTGCGCTACGGCTTGAATAGAGCACTTAAAACAAAAGAGAAAGGAACAGAGAAAGCAGGGGCTGTGAAGGTTTTAGTGACCACGTTTACATGCACTCCAATATCCCATTATTATTCTGGATACTCAAGTATTGTTTTTGAGTTGACACACAAACATCATATCCCGTTTACAATAACCGAAAAAGGCTTGTATCCCGGTTATGAGAAACCCGGATAAGATGCCTGGGATATGCTAATCTTAGACGGGCTACTGTGGTATATAAACATCTTATCCTGTTTACTGTTGTTTTTCGCGGTCTGCACAGGCTCCATCGTAGTATTTCTTGTACAACATATTGGAAATTTGTCAGGAAGGAAAACAATGCGTTTTTTTTGTTTGTTCCTTGGCTTTAAAAGTAACAAAATAAGAGCTCTATTCAAACCGTAGCACTGAAGACCTGTGCTACAGTGCGGTAGAAATTTAAAGGCAATGTTCCCACTTTCGCGGAGACTTCATTCACGGGAAACACTGCATATGACCTTTAAATGTAAATCGCTCTACGGCTTGAATGGAGCACTTAAAACAAAAGTAATTAACTGTAGGAACAGAGAAAGCAGGGGCTGTGAAGGTTTTAGTGACCACATCCTGTGGCATATAAACATCTTATCCCGTTTTCCTGTTTTTCGCAGTCTGCACAGGCTCAGTTTCACATATCATGGGTGTTGTGTGATGTTTTCATCTGATTGTCAAACAAATCACTTCAAAAAGTAGGCTACCTCTGCAGTTCTTTCCACCATAATTCCATAATTTATTTTGCTGATATTCCGTACATGAACGTATAGCTTACTGGCTACTTTCACCCCTAATTTAGACAAGTTTCTGCTTATTTCTGACATTTGGTAGGCCAGATTATAATTTCTGACATTTGGTAAGCCATTTGTTTGTCAACTAGTTAGAAGAGAAGCTGCATGAATCTGTCATAACTTGTTGCCACAGAATACTAAATAAAGTAGTGCTCACCAGAATAATGTCTTACTTACATCAATAGAATGAATACATTAGTAATCTAGTTAACACCGGTAAAGTTGTCTTTCGTTTAGGGACCGGGGAGAAAACGCAATAACTCAAACAGTGGAACGATTGGTCCTGTGCAAAATGTCTAAATGTCATCAGTTTGACAAGTTTTAAGGAATTGAAAAGCTGAGAAAATGAGGAAACGCGTTTCTAAAAAGAATTCAGTTCGTCTTGGCTGCATATTTTATGTGGTTGAAATACTGTCTGCTTGCATAAGTGTCAAAGATAACACTACACGTGCATTTGCATTTTCTCAAGAGATATTTCTCACTCCTGTTCCTTACAAAATTAACATTTGTTATATCATTTTACTGCAAGAAATGCATAATTCTGCAGGAGTTAATATATTATGCTACATGTGAGAGGTCATAGGCCTACAGTCAGTGTCCAGATTTCAGTTGCTATTCCATTTAACCCATATGAACTTAAATGAGGAATATTCTGTTTATTCATGGTTACAGGGATACTCGTGAGTGGGCTATCAAAGGTGCATGTAAACAGCTTATCCCAAATAAGACCTTAAGCGGGATATGAGCTACTATCCGGAATATATGTATGCATGTAAACGTGGTCAGTGAGCTGAGAGACTGTCGCCCGCAATTACATCTGGTAAATATGTGTGACCAATAAAATGTGATTTGATTTTGGGTTGAAAGAGACTGTCTATGGCTGACAGGCAGTGAGAGTGGGAGGCAGGCATCATATACTGTAGACTTCCCAATGTCTCTTCACCTTTCCCCAACACAGCCACATGACCTAACACCTGCTGCTGTATACTAACTGACTACAGACTGAACAGAAACACTGAAATAGCATTACACACTAATGACTGAAAACATACATAAGTACGGTTATCACTTCTGCTTGAAACGGGAACAAAAGCAGGAGTCAGAACAAGCCTTCCCCAAAATGGTGGGCCAGTTTCAGAACCCCTGTGTTGTTGTGAAAGGGTAGTACAGTCCACTGCCTGTCACCATCACCAAGGAGGACACATCAGATTTAAAAAAAGAATAAACAAAGACATAAATATATTTCCCTCAACCCCCTTGTGTGTTCCACTAGGTCGTGGAGTGTGTGTATCACTTCCTCTTGCTCTCCAAGGCCAAAGTACAGGCGTAGGCAAACATAGCTTTCTCTTAAAACATAAAGCAACCATTACTGCAACAAAACGACTATTAAAAGTAGCTTGAGCGTGACTTAAAACAAATCTACACATTAAGCTCTGTGACAAGTTCTATTGAAGCAGGGTTTTGCAATATACATGGATATCATCAATTTCCTTATTTGCTACACGTTGAAGCATGTAGTATTAAACAGGGAAGTTAAATGAGCATTAAGTTGTGAGCGGTGTCAGGAGAACAATCCATTGGTACGCATTAAGATGAACAGCACAGCACAGCACAGCACAGTGTTGCTCCTGTCTGTTTAGTGTTTGTGGCACAGGGGCCCGCTGAGACTCAGATTGACTCTGCTCCTCATTAAACGTGGCCTTTGTGAGACGAAAATAAAATAGATATTAGGGGAGTGAGACGGGGAGCGCTGCTATGAATATTTAATTGGGTGCAAGGCTGTGTGTGTGTGTGTGTATCTCTTTGTGTTGTGGGTATATCTCTGGGGCAGAGCTCCAGCACTTCTCCAGCCCGGCTCACAGTGCTAGCTCTCCCAAGCTCCTGACACACTTGGCTGGGGAGCTGTGGCGCAGCGTTGGCATCATTAAGGGTTCCACTGTCTGACTAATGAATCGATTGTCTGGTATTAGTGCTCCTCGCTGCAGCTCCCAGAGTGGCACGCTCCTCCTCTGGGGTTTCCCTTCTGCTGAGCTCTTAATCGGAAAACAGCACTAATTACCCTCCTCCTTTTCTCACTCTCTCCTTCCTTCTTTCGTTATCTCTAGCCCTCTGTCTTCCTCTAACTCTCCCTTGCTCTCTACACATCTCTCCCTCTTTCTACCCTGCCTCATCCTCAGGGCTATGGTGGGGGTGTAGGTGCTGGGATGAGCAGCTAGCTGAGATTGGGTGAAGGAGGAGGAGGAGGAGGGGTGTTGTAGTAGGGTCCTTTGGGAGCCGGAGCTGGGGAGCATTGCTACTGTACAAAAGAGCCATAGTAGCCCCCACCTGCCCTGCTGTAGGCCTGAAGTAGGTAACCCCCCCCCCCCCCCCCCCCCCCCCCCCCCCCCCCCCTTATTTCCTGTTCTCAGTAGACCACCTCATACACGGTGGCCTTCTTGTCTCCAGAACCAGTCACTATGTACTTATCATCCGGTGACACGTCACAACTCAGGACAGACGAGGACTCCTTGGACTGAGAGAGAGGAAGAGAGGAGAGCGGGAGGGGGGAAAGAGAGACGGAGAGAGGAAGAAAGAAGGGAAAAAGTTGTTACACATCAGTGACTCATCCATGAACTCTGACGTGGACCTGCCAAAGCCTGGTCATTATCAGCAGGTGTAATAACACTCAGCTGCACACAGCTACATGTCTTAAACAAGAGGGTGAAACTGAGTTTAAACAGAGAGAGAGACTGATAAGGAGTCACAGACAGTATGAGACAGACAGAGAGGTACAGTAAGAGACAGATGTGTGTTTACTCAGGAACACAGATCGGTCTGGGAAGGAACACACTTCCACAGTGGTGGGTGAGTGACAGTGATTAGGAGAGATCTCCCTGAGGGTCCCACATTGCACCACACATCCCTGCTCTACTCAGGAAGCTAATGTCTCACTCGCCTCTCATGTCTCTATAGTGCCGTTTATGCCTGGTTCTAACATGCGTCCTTTGTCCTGATCCTGTCCACATTCTGATTGTGCCCACATTTTTAGACAGGTGTAGTTGATTAAAAGACGCTTTGTGATCTGATTGTGGTCAGATCTTCCTGACTACTTCCGGAGGTTGGCTCCTCATAGCTTGTATCTGGATATCAATCAAGTGTAAACCAATCTTGATGGTAAAACCATTTAAATCATCATTATGCCGGTCTCTAAAATCATTGACAGGTAGCACCATGGACTTATGGCATCAATAATTGTCTTAAAATAAATACATTCATATTATTTTGAAAGAATATCTGTCAGTTAATCTGCATACAGGAGCCCCGTTTATATCTGGTTCTAACATGCGTTCTTTGTCCTAAACGTGTCCACATTTTTAGACAGGTGTAGACAATTAAAAGATGCATTGTAAACTGATTGTGATCAGGTCTTCCTGACCATCTCCTGAGGTAGTCAGACACACGTTGTGGACAGTGAAACCAACATTATCCCGCCCTCTAAAATCATTGACATGTGGCACCATTGACTTATGGCATCAACGTGTCTTAAAATAAATAAATACATATTATTTTGAAAGAATATCTGGACAAAGGACGCATGTTAGCACCAGGTATAAACCAGGCTTATCTCTATGTTGGTCCACTACAGAGTTGGCTCCTTATAGCTCAAAATGCCCTAATAACGCTAGCGTGTATTATCAGAGGAGGCTGGTGGGAGGAGCTATAGGAGGACAGGCTCATTGTATTGGCTGGAATGGATTATTGGAACAGTATGAATCATATGGAAACCACATGTTTGACTCCATTCCATACATTACAATCCAGGCATTACAATGAGCCCGTCCTTTTATAGCTCCTCCCACCAGCCTCACTGATTACCGCCTAGATGTATTAATTGAATCAAAATAGGGCACAAAATAAAATGTTTTTGTTTGGACACAATAATCAGAATAGTCAATAATATATTATGGTCTTTCTGATGTATTATTGACCATTCTCTACTTTACAAGGGTTTTAGATCCCCACAGTAATGGTAATTGCTACACAATACATGTTTCATAACAGACAATGGTGCCTGTAACTTTTCTTCTTCTTCATGTCTGACAGGCAGAGTGATGTCAACCCAGGTTCTTAAACAATCCACCCAAAACCACCAATTCCTATGATTTACAGGGTTAAATAACTCAAATATGTGAGAACAATATTTTTGTTGACAAATGTTTCATTTTGTCGTTATAACAAGGTTGGTAGCAACATGTGAAAATCGTTGTGGAAATCTGTTTCAGATCAAGTCGACTACAAAACCCACAATGCAATGCTCTCTCTGGGCGGCTGGCGAGCTAGGTATCAACTTGTCTGCAAACGTAGCTACACACAAATATAGCAAAGTCAATATTAGCATGTGAAGTAGCTAGCTACCTGTAAAATCGCCTAAACAAACTGCAATTTAGGAGTCTACAATCTCAACCATGTTCAACTTGCAGTTCGTCTCAGTCTACCTCAGAGCGCAGGGTGCAGACGTTGCTATGGTAACAACGGCCCTTTCCAACAGACACACAAGGTGCATTGTGTGCAGGGTTGCCAGGTCTAGCTAAATTCTACAGCGAATGACAACTCAAACCCGATCACAAGGCCTGAAAACGAGCCCAATTGATCACAAGGCCTGAAAATGAGCCCAATTATTATTATTTTTCGCAGCAAGAGAGGAGTTGCCACATTTATCCAATAGATGTATATTAGCTAGCTAGTGCAGTTGGTTGTTCTCACGTCACGACGTGCGCGCGTCCTGCGCTCCTCTCAGACTCAGCTGCCTGCTATACTGCTCTTTCAACACACTGTGAATCCCAAACCAACCCCTCGCCCCTACCAACTCGCTCACAGGGCCCTCTGTGTCACGTGTTGCTGACGAAACTCTGAGCGTGACTGCCAGAGAGTGGGGAGGGGATCAATAAACCTTTTTTATTTACGTCATTTAGCAGACGCTCTTATCCAGAGCGACTTACATGAGCAATTAGGGTTAAGTGCCTTGCTCAAGGGCACATCAACAGATTTTTCACCTAGTCGGCTCGGGGATTAGAACCAGCGACCTTTCGGTTACTGGCACAACGCTCTTAACCACTAAGCTACCTGCCGCCCATTTTTGGGACACACTCCTAATTTGAATGATGCAATTCATGTTCTACTTTTAAATAATAAAACAAGCATTAAATTCAAATTAACAAATCTCAACAGTTGTTTTGCAAGATATAGACCTCAGTAACAGCTAATAACATTTAATTTGGGAGGTATTTCATTTGTCAAGTCTCGAAATCCAACAAACAAATGCACTTGGTATATAATTAAGCACCACTCTCCATTGTGCAAACTCAAAAAATAACATGGTGCTTTATGGGATTAAATTTAGCTCTGAAGCCTTATGGGATTAAACTTCACTCTGAAACTGTCAGCGTTGCTGGCTCGGTCAAAGTGGTTATCGTAGGGTCTAATTAGCCCCTACCTACACCCGCCATCATTTTCACTCCCCCAGCTTTGGGACACTTGTGCATACAGTGGAGACACGCGGGAACGCGCAAATGGAGGGCCAAGGGGAAGAGGTTGATTTGGGATTCAGTGTCACACACCTCTCCGGCCCTCCCTCCCCACCACTCAATCAGCAACAGCCTGCCTCACTGCCTGATAGTCACCAGCAGCAGGTCGCACTGTCACAGTGAAATTCATATAAATATACAGTCCCAGTCAAAAGTTTGGATACACCTACTTATTCTAGGGGTTTTCTTTATTTTTACTATTTTCTACATTGTAGAATAGTAGTGAAGACATCAAAACTATGAAATAACACATATGGAATCATGTAGTAACCAAAAAAGTGTTAAACAAATCAAAATATATTTTCTATTTGAGATTCTTCAAAGTAGCCACCCTTTGCCTTGATGACAGCTTTGCACACTCTTGGCATTCTCTCAACCAGCTTCATGAGGTAGTCAAATGGAATTCATTTCAGTTTACAGGTGTGCCTTGTTAAAAGTTAATTTGTGGAATTTATTTCCTTCTTAATGCGTTTGATCTGGCCACGGACCCCACTTTGAGAACCCCTGTTCTAGACAAGTATGCCCATACCATCTATTGGCTGACTTGGCGGTCTGGAGTGCAGGTAATTGTTTTACATTTACATTTTAGTCATTTAGCAGACACTCTTATCCAGAGCGACTTACATTAGTGCATAATTTTTTTTTTAAAGCGTTATGAAATGTGATATTGTCTTATCCCCTATCTCCAGTGATGAGAACCTTATAGGTATGACAAGTTCCTAAACGATTTCCTGATTTCACAGACGGACGACTTAGAAGTGAAATCATGGTGAAAATAGTTATTTTACCCACTCATAGAACATAGACTATCCTCAAACTGACAGGAGTTTCATGTTTCACAGCTTTCAGAACCACAGAAACACAGGGAGCTGACTCTCTCTCCGACTCTCTCTACATTAACTGAATAAAAAATCCCTACTACTGTACCTCCATTCTCTGTCTCCACCAGGCTCAGGCTCTGTCTGTCTGCATCAGACCTCTCATCCTATCCCCAGATGGTTCCCTAGCCCTGCTCCTCTCTCAACCCATCCCTCCTTTGAACCTCTACCTCTCCCTCCTCCCACTTCTCTCCCTCCACTCTCCCTCCTCTCTCAATCTCATCCTCCTCCCTGCATCCCCTCCCTCCTCCACATGACAGGTTCATGTCACCAGGGCTGTCAATCAGCAGGTCACTTGTGAGAGAGGCCTTGTTGACTGACAGACACGCTCACAATACAGAGAGAGAGACAGGGAGGAGGGAGAGAGGAGGGAGAGGTACAAGGGGATGAGGTAGTGATGAGTGAGAGTAATTGGAGGGAGGAGAGAGGGGGGTATGTGTGTACATGAGAGAGAGAACGAGAGAGAGCGAGAGAGAACAAGAGAGAGAGAGAGAGAGAGAGAGAGAGAGAGAGAGAGAGAGAGAGAGAGAGAGAGAGAGAGAGAGAGAGAGATGAATCAGGGGAGTAAAAGCGAGCAAGAGAAAGAAAGCAAGAGGAAGTAGCAGAATAATACCCTTTACAGACATAGAACGTGTCGATAGCGACAACTGATAATCTTTAAGACAATTTTAAAAAGTGCAGCATCAGAAGCGTCTGTACTTTTTCAGACAGTAGAATTCTGCTCCGGCATAGAATGTTCTGTATTGTTTCTCTGACGACAATAAATGTTCCTGATTGCTGTGTTGTTTTTATGCAGTTTTTTATGGTAGGGCAGCTAGATGTGTTTTCTTTCGACTAAATGTCTTGGTAAGTCACGGTATTTAACAAACGTAAAAACATTTTTTAGGAGAGAGTGGTCTGCGCGCAGGCAGGCAGGATGCGTGCAGGCAGCTCAAGATTATTTGATTGACAGTCCTGGTCACCTAATGATGGATGTTAATCCCACTTCAGAAGTGGCATTCCTTTACAGACAAGTAAAATGTCAGTTTAGTGGCGCTTCGAAACTATCTCCAGAGAAGGTTTCGTGTCTGCATTTAAAAAGCTGTAGTGTATGTACCCTTACAGACAAACAAACATGCCGTAGCCGAGGTGCTTTCAAGGTGTATCACAGTGTGAGAGAGACAGAGAGAGAGAGAGATGCGAGGGAGAGTGTGAGACGTCATGCAGAGGGAACTGAGAGGCATTTGGATAATAAAGCAGATAGCCTCTGTGCTCATCAGAGCCCTAGGGAGACACTAACCAAGGCTGCATATTCCTCCCTCCCTGCACTAGACTAGCAAACAGAGCCCTAGGGAGACACTAACACTAGACTGCAGATTCCTCCCTCCCTCCCTCCCACACACAACCCAATATCTCCCCTTTAACTGGTCTTCCTGTAGCTCATCATCACACTCATACATACCCAGCACAGACATAGCCTAAAGTGTGTGTGTGTTGCAGTCTGTTCTTTGTCTGATAAACCCCAGTAAATCACCTTGAATCATATCTGTGATAAACAACTTGTCTTTCAACCTCTGTCCCACCCTCACTCTCTCACAGTGGGAAACAGCTAACTTTCTGCAATTCTACACATTTCATTTTGCCAGAGAGAAATGTGCAGTTTTATAGCTAATCTCATGCTATTCTATACATTTTTGCCATGTTGCAGAGAGAAAATGTTGCTGTTCTAATCTCATGTTATTCTATACATTTTGCCATGGGGCAGAGAGGAAATGTTGCTGTTCTGAAGCTGATCTAATGCTATTCTACACATTTTGCCATGAGGATGAGAGAAAATGTTGCCGTTTTAAAGCTAATTTCCTGTAATTCTACACATTTTGCCACCAGTCTGAGAGAAAACTAGGGGTCCCCCAACACCCCAGGGGGCTGCGGGGGTTTGTGCTACGCCAGTGCTCTCTCTCTCTCTCACACACACACACACACACACACACACACACACACACACACACACACACACACACACACACACACACACACACACTCACACACTCACACACTCACACACTCACACACTCACACACTCACACCATCACACTGATGGGAACAGGAGAATATTAGAAGATTGGGCTATTGATTGGAGTTGGTCGTGGGATAGGGAAAAGGAATTGAGTTGGGGTGGGATAGGGTTAGTGTTGGGTTCACTGACGGTACAATACCATATGAGTATTAGCCATAGGGCTATACTGCCTCTCTCTCTCACCTGGAAAATACTGGCTCCATATGGAGTCCTCCATGCATTCAGCAGATTGTCCTTCCCTGTGCTCACAAACCACTTGCCTGAAACACACACACACACACACACACGTTATACTTCAGAGTTAGCTGATGTATGCAAGCACTATACATCTCATTAGGAGAGTGTGTGGTGTGTGAGTGCCAGTCAGAGTTCTGAGCTTGTACGTACCACAGGAGGCGAACTTGAGTGAGAGCACACAGCTCTCATGGAGGTGCAGCTGGTACTTGTCTGGTTTGGAGACATGCAGCACTTCTACATTACTGCTCTCCATACCCACTGCCAGCCACTCTCCTGTAGGACAGTAGCCCAAAGAAAAGATCTGGCGGGAGGGAGAGGATGAGAGAGAGAGAAAGCTCATTACACGACTGAATGGAGCTCATCTGACAAAGATCATCAGCAGCATCATGTGAGATATGATACAATAGAGAGGAGCATAGTGACTTGTCTGATAGAGGCTGATGTGTACAGTATCATATTAAGGTGCAGTCTTCTCAGAAAGACAGTACTGAGTTGGTCTTAGCTAGTGTCAGCTAGTCTTACAACGTCTCAGGTGCTTCATCAGTACCTGTGAGGTGAAGTCGTGCTGCTGCAGCTGTCGTCCCTCTCTCAGGTCCCAGCAGCGTACTGTGTTGTCCAGCCCCCCCGTCCACAGTTTGGTCCCATCGTTGGAGATGTCAATACAGCTGGCCCCGTCAGTGTGGCCCTGGAACTGCCTGGGGAGCACAGACACATTCAACATCAACCCCCAGCCATAGTCATATAGCCCACTGCCCTGCTCTCCCCCCTCCTCCCCTCCGCTCCACTCTCCTGCTCTACCCTCTCCCTCTACTCTCCTCTCCTCCCCCACCCTCCTCCCCTCCTCCTCTCCTCTGCTGCCCTCTCCTCCTCATCTACTCTCCTTTCCTGCCCTACCCTCCCCCTCTCCTCTCCTCATTCTCTTACCTGACCAGGGTCTGGTTGTGCAGGTCCCAGACTATGATATTTTCCCCCTCTACCCCTCCTAACCTCCTCACCTCTCCTAACCTGACCAGGGTCTGGTTGTGAAGGTCCATTACCACAATATTTCCCCCCTCTACCCCTCCTAACCTACTCCTCTCCCCACTCTCCTCATCTTCCTCGTTATCCCCCTCTCCTCCTCCTCTCCTCTCCTTACCTAACCAGGGTCTGGTTGTGCAAGTCCCAGACTACGATGTTTCCGTCGCTGCAGCAGGAGAAGCAGACCTTGTTGTCGGGGGAGATGGCCAGAGCGTAGCAGGCCGGGGCAGAAGACGTCAACTCCGCCTTGATTCGGGGAGTGGGTGTGGCCAAGTCCCAGATTGACAGTGTGCTGGCCTCGCCTCCAACGATGAGTGTCCGCCCATCAGGGAGAATCTTACATGAGCGGATGTAGTTATCCCTGTTCTGATTGGTGGAAAGAGAGAACATATGTATTGAACAGCTAAAACAAGCAATATGATTGGTTAAGCCTTTTAAAGTTTGTGTCCACTCACCAGACAGTCGAGCTGGGCCATGGCACTTTTGCTTCCAGGCTGGCTGATGTCCCACACCTTGACACAGCCCTTCCCGCCGGTGTAGACGTGGCGTGTGGAGGTGCTGATGGTAACGGCACACACCACCTCTCCATGGTTCAGAGTGTGGATCTGACGGGCGTGCCGCGGGATGCCCGGGCCCAGCAGGGCGTCCGGAGGGAAAGGCACCGGCTGCATCTGTCCATCCGCACTTACATGGAAAGAGTAGGCACTGGAGAGAGAGAGGAGGGAAAAAAAGAGGGAGGGAAGTAGGAGAGAATCGAATGAGTGCCAACCACTGAAATCGAAATCTGTATATTATTACAAACAGTAATGCAAAAGCATTGAAGACTGTCAACACCGCAATGGCAATAGCAATTGAGAAATATTCACCCAAACCTTGGCAATTGTTTTTTACACAATAGTCATTGGTAGAATGCAAAAGGGAAGATTGTATTACAGGGGCCAGAGTAAGAGTGCTATTTCCAATGGCCGATCAGTTAGGGCCAGGACGATACCAGTATAGCGATACTCGTTATTATCGTGGCAAGAAAACAAAACACAAAGCGGATTTAACTTCTTTAGGAAAACAGCCTTAATGTTGGAAACAAACATAATTATGTTGTCATCCAGAGTCACATTTATTTATTTTCCAAGCTATAACACACAATATTTTACATACAGCAGGTTTTTAAAGGACCAAAGATTTTGGTCTGTTTCTATTTTTATTTTTGACATGAAAATAAAATATTGTGATAATGGTATCGTCCCGGTCCTACGATCAATAGCATAGCGACGCCAAGGTTGTTGTGTAATTTTAGATCGAAATTGGGAGAGCTTGCTGCTTTGCTCCATCTAAAACAACAACAACGGTTATTTATGTTTGGATGGATGTGGATGGAGGAGAGGAGTGACGTACGGTTTTCCCCCGGAGGATCCACCAGGCAGTGAGGAGGACAGCCCTGGGGCCCTGAGGTGGGACCGAGGCTCATACGCCACCTGGAGAGCCTAGGAGGAGGACCAAGACATTAGGAGGCCCTCAAAATTGTCAAAGACTCCAGCCACCCTAGTCATAGACTGTTCTCTCTGCTACCGCACGGCAAGCGGTACCGGAGTGCCAAGTCTAGGTCCAAAAGACTTCTCAACAGCTTCTACCCCCAAGCCATAAGACTCCTGAACAGCTAATCATGGCTACCCAGACTATTTGCACTGCCCCCCCCACCCCCACCCTCCACCCCATCTTTTTACGCTGCTGCTACTCTGTTAATTATTTATGCATAGTCACTTTAACTCTACCCACATGTACATATTACTTCAACTACCTCAACTAGCCGGTGCCCCCGCACATTGACTCTGCACCGGTACCCCCCTGTATATATAGCCTCCCTACTGTTATTTTATTTTACTTCTGCTCTTTTTTTCTCAACACTTTTTTGTTGTTGTTTTCTTTTACTTTTTTATAAAAAAAATAATGCACTGTTGGTTAAGGGCTGTAAGTAAGCATTTCACTGTAATGTCTGCACCTGTTGTATTCGGCGCATGTGGCCAATAAAATTTGATTTGATTTGATTTGATTACTAAAATAATCATCCTGTGTTATTCTCAGTAAATCCTAATCTCATCAAATTGTGTGAAATCTTGACAATTCATCCAACACAAGCTTTCAAACCAGTTACTACTACAGAAACATTGTCAAAACAGAAGGTTTTGTTTTAAACCAGTGATGCATATCTTCCATCCTTCAGGGCCACAGTGTTTACAGACTTACTTTCTTTCCTTATAATTAGTAATTGATTCAGACCTGGGCAACCAGGTGGGTGCACTAACTGGTCAATTAGGTACATAATTGATCAATTAAGTGCCAGGAAAAGACGAAGACTATAGACAATGCTGACTTTGAGGTCTGGAGTTGTGGACACCTGTTTTAAACAGAGAGACCAGTGAGGCGCGGTAAATAACTCACCAAGGGGCTGCGGGTGTAGGCGCTGGCGACGGCGCTGATCTGGGGCGAGAGGGTTAGGGTGCCCCCGAAGCCCCCAGGACTGGCTAGCTCCCCATTGAGGCCTGCGTGTGACACCACCCCAAATTGAGCCGGGTACAAACTGGGGGGCACAGACAGAGGACTGCGGAGAGCTGGCGGGAGGGGGGTGAAGAGAGGGTGGGTGAGAACATTTTACGTCACTGAGGACCAGAGAGGTCGGAGAGGTGGGGTCTACGGAGAGTTGTGTTGATGATTTCTTATACTATAACATGTCTTTATTGCTTTAGGCAGACTGTGGCTCATAGACTGTACCACAGGAGCACATTATCACAGTAGGGGTGAGTTATAATGGTATTATGAGCAGAATAAAAGTATAATTATGGTATTACATGGCTATATGATCACAGTAGGGTAATAGGATGTTATAGCAGTGCTATAATAACAGGGGCACAGACAGAGGGTATGACAGACAGACAGGTGTGTCTGACTCACCCAGGGGGTCAGTGGAGGAGGCAGACCTGCTGACCAGGCGGAGGCAGGACGTACTGGGGCCGGCGGGGCCGGGGGTAAGAGCCTCATGGTGAGACGGGGACGGGGTGCTCGACTTAGACAACGAAGACCCAGACTTCTCCATCTAAAGAGAGGTAAAGAGATACAGTCATGATACACCGTCATACAGATAAGTAAGTGATGAGTACTTTAATTTGTTGATGTTGGGCACCATGATAATGCTTGACAATGAATGTATAATACCTGTGCTGGGTCCTTGGCCTTGCCCGGTGTGGGGCTGCGTGGTAGGGGGGAGGACGGGACCACCCCGGGACTCCTGGGGGACCCTGGTAACTCCTTCCTCAGGGTGGGGGCCCGGTCCAGACCGTTCCCATGAGGGGAGTGAGGGGGGCTGCCTGCAGGGGACGTGGGCTCCTGTTGACATAGACAGATAAGGGACTCCAGGTCACCCCAAAACCACTGAAGACCGCAGCTTCACATTAGCTGTAAAAAATTTCTAAAGCTGTAAGATTATAGACATTATAGATTACTATAGTGTCTGTATGGATTGAAGCACAAGTGTGTATGAGGCCTGTACGGTACCTCCCTGCCACAGCCACCTCAATAAAACCATTCCCATCTGCTCCCAGTGTGCTGCAGTCAGCACTTCTCCTGTAGCTGTGTTTGAGCAGTGCAGAACACACATCCACAGACTGTACTAGAACAATCACCAGAGACACTCCCTCTCACACACCCATTAAGAACATTTATCAAATTCTCAAATTGTTCTGTATGCAAAAATCACACAAGAGACTTTCCCGCTTTTGTGCATTGTGCTGCGTAGTACCAAATGCAGAAAGCTTGGATAAAACATATTTTGGTACACTGCATGAAGTATTTAAAGAATTTAAACATTCTGAGGGCATAAATAAAGGAAGCACCCTGCTGCTATCTGATGAGAGGAGGGGTGTCTGTGTGTGTAAGTGTGTGTGTGTGTGTGTGTGTGCCTGCTTAAGCATATATGTGTCTGTTCCAGAGCTGTGTTCAACAGGGAGAAACTTTACTCACTAGGAATGGAGCGAACATTTACATTTTTACATTTTAGTCATTTTTAGCAGACGCTCTTATCCAGAGCGACTTACAGTTAGTGAATACATTTTGAATTTTTTTTTATACTGGCCCCCCGTGGGAATCGAACCCACAACCCTGGCGTTGCAAATGCCATGCTCTATCAACTGAGCTACATCCCTGCCGGCCATTCCCTCCCCTACCCTGGACGACGCTGGGCCAATTGTGCGCCGCCCATGAGTCTCCCGGTCGCAGCAGGCTGCGACAGAGCCTGGATTCGAACCAGGATCTCTAGTGGCACAGTTGCCTTAGACCACTGCGCCACTCAGGAGACACGAACAGCAGCTAACTCACCATAATCTAAAGTGATTGGTGTCCTCGTTATGAAATTATCAATTTTACCCTGTACATTTAAAAATGACCATATACACTGATTGTTTAAAGCAAAACTACCAACACTATCGCTGATGGTGAACCTGAACAATCAATTATATTGTAAGCCCCGTTCAGCAGTTAGGCTATAACCAGATGAGAGTTGTGTATACGAGAGCGCGTTTTTATTCCGGTAAAAAACCATTTTCAACAGTGCATAGATAACAATAACCTTGCAAATTACATAGGTTGTAACTCAACTAATAAATCCTAATATCACCCAAGCCATTTTAGTATCTGAACGCTGAAGGTGCTGCGCAGATGTGCAAGATCAGCAACAGGCAGCCTACCTCGCGTTGGTCAGTGCGCGAAGCTGGGCACAGTGCGCAATTTGACTAGGCTACTAATATTGCCTGGGGTTATTCGGTATGCAAAATTACTTGTAGATCAATGACTCAACACTTTCACTTACACTGAAGGAGAGAGGACGCATTAGTTGTCACAAAAAATATGAGGTATTTTCAGAAGATAGATAATTTTTTATGTGACAAAATGTTTGTTTACTTTGTAATTTTTTCCTTTGGGGAGGGCTAGAGGTACACTACACAAACTCATACAATCTCATACTCCGTTCGCATTTTCCTGTTGGCTGCCATCAAAAAATAGGTACATAAATATAAAGTATTGATCATTTTGATCATATTACAGAATCAAAAAGTAAAAATAAACCCAGTATGCAAAGGAAAATAAAAACAAAAGTGAGTCTCCACCCCCAACCTCCCATCCCAGTCCCCCAACCCCTCCCATCCCAGTCCCCCAACCTCCCATCCCAGTCCCCCAACCTCCCATCCCATCCCAGTCCCCCAACCCCACCCATCCAACATGCCTCCAAAGAACAACCATGTCTTCCACCACTCCCCAACCAATATATATATAGTTTATTTGAATGTGTTGGGCTTTAACAGAGATGATTCTTTACAGAGTCAAGTGTATTTGTCCAGGCCTCAATTGTTGCTTGACTAACACCATTGATTCTGGCTGTGGATAATTCTAATGTTATAACTTCTAATAGTAACTGAATCCATATTTCTCTCTATACTCAGTCAGGGGGCGGAAGAATCATTTCTAAACATATTTAGGATGGGGCAAAATGCTAGTGCCTCCTACTTCTTTCCCTCTTCATTTTATCCGGGATCGCTTACGTTGCCTTATATATTTTTTAATCGCACTATGGATTTTAATCGCACTAAGGATGTTAGTCCATCTACTGAGGTCGAATTTAATTGATTTGAACATTCTGTTAAAGTTTCTAGCAATGGTTTTCTCTAAGGAAGGAAATATATTACACCCAAATATTTTAAATGGGAAACGATTTGGATTCCATAAGTAGAGATGAAGTCCTCCATCGGGGTCTTGAGAGGCAGTAGGTCTGATTTGGTTAGACTAATTTAATAGCGATGAAGCTGAATTTATCTATGATCTTCAATGCATTTGGGAGCGATTGAGATATATTGTCTAGATATAGTAAATTATCGTCCACGTATAATGAGATGAAGTGATCAGGGAAATTGGTGTTATTTACTTCGATTGACGAATTGCCTGGGCCAAGGGTTCCATGGATAATACAAATAGCAAAGGAGAAATCAGATCGCCTTGTCTGCTGCTTAAAGTGATTCTGAATGGATCAGAGCAGATATTGCCTGTTATAATTATGGCTGAGGAATTGGCATATTTAGTATTTTAATCATATTAATGAAATTGGAGCCAATTCCCATATGTTCCAAGATAGACCAGAGATATGACCGTTCTAGTTTATCAAAAGCTATGTCTGCATCAGGAGATAAAACAGCCCAAGGAGCTGTTGTTTCTGATAAAGCATTTAAGATATGTAATAGTCGACAGAGGTTATCCGAGGATAAACATTTTTTTAACAAACCCACTTTGGTCCATGTGGACCAATTTGGGTAAGTAAGTCACATGACGACAACATTTTGGAAAACGGTTTGATATCTGTGTTTATCAAGATAGGGAACGATAGTGAGAACACTGGGTGGCATCATTACCTTTCTTTTATAAAAGTGAAATTAGTGGTGTATTCACATCTCTCACAAATGAACCTTTGTGAACAGCTGTGTTAATCATTTCGAGCAATAGTGGACCTAATTGATTTCTAAATGTTAAATAGACCTCAGGGGGAATACCAACCCATACAGGCGATTTGCCTTTATTTATTCTATCCAATGCCCTTTTGAGTTCATTGAGAGAGATTTGGGGTCCCAGCGAGGTGGCTTCCTCTGTTGAGAGAAGAGGAGTTCTTAATTATGTTAGAAAGGACTTAGTCTGACATGGTGTGGATTTACAATCAGAGGTGTACAGTTCTTTATAGAAGCGGGATCATCTTTGATTCAGTCAGTCAATACGGAAAATTTCAAGAAATTTGAACGTTTCTTCAAGTGCAGTCGCAAAAAACATCAAGCGCTATGATGAAACTGGCTCTCATGAGGACCGCCACAGGAATGGAAGACCCAGAGAGTTACCACTGCTGCAGAGGATAAGTTCATTAGATTTACCAGCCTCAGAAATTGCAGCTCAAATAAATGCTTCACAGAGTTCAAGTCACAGACACATCTCAACATCAACTGTTCAGAGGGGATTGTGTGAATCAGGCCTTCATGGTCGAATTGCTGCAAAGAAACCACTACTAAAGGACACCAAAAGAAGAAGAGACCTGCTTGGGCCAAGAAACACGAGCAATGAACATTAGATCGGTGGAAATGTGTCTTTTGGTCTGGAGTCCAAATTTGAGATTTCTGGTTCCAACCGCTGTGTCTTTGTGAGATGTGGTGTGGGTGAATGGATGATCTCCGCATGTGTAGTTCCCACCGTAAAGCATGGAGGAGGAGGTGTTATGGTGTGGGGGTGCTTTGCTGGTGACACTGTCTGTGATTTTTTTTAGAATTCAAGGCACACTTAACCAGCATGGCAACCACAGCATTCTGCAGCGATACGCCATCCCATCTGGTTTGGGTTTAGTGGGACTATCATTTGTTTTTCAACAGGACAATGACCCAACACACCTCCAGGCTGTGTAAGGACTATTTGACCAAGAAGGAGAGTGATGGAGTGCTGCATCAGATGACCTGGCCTCCACAATTCCCCGACCTCAACCCAATTGAGATGGTTTGGGATGAGTCGGACAGCAGAGTGAAGGAAAAGCAGCTAACAAGTGCTAAGCATATGTGGGAACTCCTTCAAGACTGTTGGAAAAGCATTCCAGGTGAAGCTGGTTGAGAGATTGCCATGAGTGTGCAAAGCTGTCATCAAGGCAAAGGGTGGCTATTTGAAGAATCTCAAATATAAAATATATTTTGATTTGTTTAACACTTTTTTGGTTACTACATGATGTGTTATTTCATAGTGTTGATGTCTTCACTATTATTCTACAATGTAGAAAATAGTAAAAATAAAGAAAAACCCTTGAATGAGTAGGTGTGTCCAAACTTTTGACTGGTACTGTAATTCTAACAATATGGTGTTCAGAGTATCAAAAAACGTAGGATCATATGAATTTGGAGCGTATATATTAATAAAGGCAATTTTGACAAAGAACGTAATATGAGCAAATCATTTGAGTGAACTGGCAATTCGTAATGTTTGAATCGATTTTCTGACCGATGCATGCTACATTTGGATCAGTTTGGGTTCTGCGGACCGATGATGCACTTGTATCTTAAACATTTTAATCGGGGACCCATGCGTATCGGTGAATTGTTACATCCCTACTATGACTCATTGTTTGTTTTGCTCCAGCAGTTACATGGGGTTGGATGACGTTGCATGTAGTAGGTGCTGATCTAAGGCAGTTTAGCCTTTTCCCTCTGACGGGTTTGGTTAGAATTGGGAGAGGATAAGCTGATTCTAGATCTGTGCCTACGTGCGACTTGGTTATTCTTACCTCGTTAGAGACATCCACCACCAGGTTATCCTCACTCTTGTCCCCATCACTGTCCTATGAGACACAGAGGAGAGAAGGTCAGGCACACACTCTCTCTCACATAAACATCATTGCCCACCCTTCACTCCTTCCCTCTGTCAGGCGTACGCACAGACTAACACACACATGCACACACACTACACACACCCAGGCTTGCACCCATACACAGATATGCCCACCCCTCCCTCTCTCCCTCTGTCTGTTTGGCCATATCACTACTTTATTCCTCTCGCTCCCTCCCTCTCTTTTTCTCCCCCTCTCTCTCTGGGAATTGTGGTGACATGGATGGCACTTAGTCACCATGGCAACAGTGCGTTGATGTGATTATGGCCTGATATTTCCATTGACATCACGGTGGAGTGGCATCACCCCTTAATTATATTGAGCCAGATCAGGGCCATGGTGGAGAGGAGAGGAGACTATTCCTGGACATAGACAGATCGGAGCTAGGAGAAAAACGTCCTGGACATAGACAGACTGGAGCTAGGAGAAAAACATCCTGGACATAGACAGATCGGAGCTAGGAGAAAAACGTCCTGGACATAGACAGACCGGAGCTAGGAGAAAAACATCCTGGACATAGACAGATCGGAGCTAGGAGAAAAACGTCCTGGACATAGACAGACCGGAGCTAGGAGAAAAACATCCTGGACATAGACAGATCGGAGCTAGGAGAAAAACATCCTGGACATAGACAGACCGGAGCTAGGAGAAAAACATCCTGGACATAGACAGATCGGAACTAGGAGAAAAACATCCTGGACATAGACAGATCGGAGCTAGGAGAAAAACATCCTGGACATAGACAGATCGGAGCTAGGAGAAAAACATCCTGGACATAGACAGATCGGAGCTAGGAGAAAAACATCCTGGACATAGACAGATCGGAGCTAGGAGAAAAACATCCTGGACATAGACAGATCGGAGCTAGGAGAAAAACAACCATTACATAATGTAGTACAGAGAGGCTGATGATCAACAGAGCTCCCTGTCCTCCCTTCACGAGAGGCTACATTGATGTGATGTTTGAGGCAGTTCTCATAGAGGAGCTATGTCAATCAGAATACTCACTCCACAGAGAGAGATCATGTTCACTAGGGTAATCTATTTTGGCCATCGTCATTGCATGTCTTACACTTCCAAGCTAGCATAATGTCTGTGACCCCTGGTTGACCTGTGATGTCAGAGACTTGGGACTGATACAGCATTAATACTTCAGTGCGGGTTTAATTGAATGGGGTACGTACGTAGTGAGGTGGGAGGGGCTCCTTGTCATCACAGCGCCTCCTCTTGGTGTCGCCCCCTCCCTGAGAGGAGGAGTACCCTCCCGACGGGCCCTGGCGCTCCTCCACTGGCTGGCTGTCTGTCGACGACACAGACTTACTCTGCACACACACACAAACACACGCATAAAAGAGAGCCGACACACAGCAGGTAAGTCATACAGAAAATGCAATCAAACAACATATAAAAAGTGAATTAACTTCCTCCCTGACACAGAAAAGTTAATATGACTCAAATATGACTGATCATTTTACAAGAAGCCCATTTTCTGGCTATTTATACTAGAAAGAGCATGGTGGTAATCACCATAACAGAGGAATAAAACATCAAAGTGGAGTATTATTTCTGGGGTCTATGTGGGCCAACTCTATTCTCTTTCATCGGTTGACTCCTACGGAACGTTCTGTTCTTGCGAACTGTGGAGGACACAGGCAGGAAGCTGGTTGGACGGATGAGACCAGAACACACAAAGAACCACAGTTTTCTCAACAAACTCCCAGTCTTCTCCTCCATCTGTCCCCCCTCTCTTCTCTCCCTCTCTTTTTCTTTATTCCTCTCTATTTAAAATAAAAAAATGTAATATTGGCAGGACTTAACAAATACCAATTGATATGCATCTCTCCTTCCTTCCTCCCTCCCTTCCTCCGTCCATATTTTGGAGGATGTTATCACAAACCCGACCTCTTAAAGATTGGTCTTTAAGATCAGTACCGTTGGTAGGGGGGGTTATAAGATTACATATGGAATTGTTTTAAGATGGTCATACTATGGATCATTTAGCTGTTTGATTTAGAATTTTTGGTCCCCTTCAGGTATATAAAAAATATATAAATAAATTATTTGATAAAATATTGAATTTGGACTTTACTACTATAGCCCAGAGAAACACATTGAATAACAAATTCATAAATGGCTAAAAAAGACAGTCAAAAAATACTTTGTTTTATTCTTTTTTTTTGTGCCCTTTTTCTCCCCATCTTTGTGATATCCAATTGGTAGTTACAGTCTTGTCCCATCACTGCAACTACCGTACGGACTAGGGAGAGACCAAGATCGAATCCCATGCGTCCCCCGAAACACAACCCTGCCAAGCCGCACTGCTTCTTGACATACTGCTCGCTTAACTCGGAAGCCAGCCGCACCAATGTGATGGAGGAAACACCATGCAGCTGGCGACCGAAGTCAGCTTGCAGGCGCCCGGCCGCCACAAGGAGTCGCTAGAGCGCGATGGAACAAGGACATCCCAGCCAGCCAAAACCTCCCCTAACCCGGACGACGCTGGGCCAATTGTGCGCCGCCTCATGGGTCTCGCGATCGCTGCCTGCTGCGACACAGCCCGGGATCGAATCCGGATCTGTAGTGACGGATCCAGATCTGTTTATTTTTTTTAACACATTTAACCCCTTTTTATGGGTAGGCACAACACTACCTTCATACTTCCATACAGTTTTTAAAACCGGTATCGGTTATCTTCAGACAAGTCCTGTGACACTTGTGGGGGACGTAGAGCAAAACGGAGAGAATGAGAATCTCTCCCCTTTCAACAGTGGGGTCACATTATTTTGTAGCCCAAACGTTTCGGACACTACAAACAGAATTTGGCACATCAACGGTACCGACTTCAGTCAAGTCCCCTGATACTTATGGGGGTCGCAGAGCCAAACAGAGAACACCATTGTGTTCGTGAGAGTCTCCCCTTTCCATAGAGTGGTCATAACTGTTCGGACGCTACAGACGTTTTCGTGAGAAGATCGATTTTCTGGATGTCTCTTGGTCTGAAAAACACCGCTCTAGCTCTGCCACATTTCACCACAGATGCAGAAGTGCGACACTGGGGGATGTGGTGGATTGAGACGCATCCAATGCAAAAAAAACAGATACCTCTAGCTTAAACTGACCGATTTTGATGGGGATAAAATAAAATAAAGTAACTTAGACTGACGCACCAGTGCTTCAATGTGCGTCAATCGAGCATATTAAAAGATAAAAAGAAAGAAAGAAAAGGCTATTGCAAACTTCATTCATTTTCCCTTTCTTATAAAACAAAGAGTCAAAAGTTTCCCATTTTACTTACTCCCTTCACTATAGAGAATGCTCCCTATTTTATTTATTTATTCTCTCCTCTCCTCCCACTTTCTGTTGTTATCAGAGTGAGTGTGAGGGAGGGCAGCTGTCTAGTAGTCTATTGGTCTGTCTGTTCCCTCAGTTCCAACACACCAAGGTTATATTCAACCACAGAGTAAGAGATGACCATACTACTAGACCCATACCACCATAATATTGTCTACATAGAACTGACCAGTGTTCTATTGGGCATGGTTGCAAAGCTACCGGTCATTAACCAATGTTACCGGAATCTTCAGTAATTTTCGTAATTAACAGTAAATCCATGGCAACTTATCGTAACTTTGGTAATTTATATTTGAATAACTTTTAAAAAATGTATTCATATGGTATAAATTTTTTATTGTCCACATTGTCCATGAGTTTCTAGTAGATACATCATATGGTTCAAGAGAAAAATAGCCTAATTAATGAAAAATGCATCTAATCAACAATGGCATTATTTTCAATGACCTCTGCAACTCGTCCAACTATTGACTTTTTTCACAACTGCCACCAGTTTAACGCCAAAACATCGACAACAAATACATATTGACATTGTGAAATAAATAAGTGTGTAAAAAAAAGGTTACTTCATGCTGAAACCCTCATATTAAACACCAATGGTATTCACTAAGATGATGGTTTAAATTTAGGACAATGTTTTACAGCTTTGTCATTAGATTTTTGTTTTGTTTTCATCATCTTATTTAATTACTTCATATAGGTCAGAGATAATTACATATACCTGTGATAATCTGAAGTACCCAAAAGGGCCACTAGATGTCTTGTGATACATTATATAAAATCCTTGAAAGATACCAAAATTCTGTGAAATTCTGCCAAACTCCGAAAGTTTCCAGTAATATACCCTCTCTTTGTAACCCTACTATTGGGCCTTGGTTATGGAACAACAGCACGGTTCTACTGTTGTACTGTTCTACTGTTGTACTGTTCTACTGTTGTAAGGTTCTACTGTTGTACGGTTCTACTGTTGTACTTGCTTTACTAACTCTAGTGCTGGTCCTATTAATGGAAACTCTCCAACAAAACAGACCCTTTTAGAGTACCTCTGTAGCTCAATTGGTAGAGCATGGCGCTTGTAACGCCAGGGTAGTGGGTTCGTTCCCCGGGACCACCCATACGTAAAAATGTATGCACACATGACTGTAAGTCGCTTTGGATAAAAGCGTCTGCTTTTTTTTTCACATAAACACACACTCACTCACACATACATACACACGCACGAATGTATACGTGTGACATGCACGCACAAGCACACACACACACACACACAAACACAGAAGCATACACGCGGCATGCACACACACGCACGTGAGCATGCACGCACGCACACACACACACACGTTGGGGTTACTTACCCTGCTGGGTGCAGCCTCTGTGGAGGGAACAGAGACAGGGGAGGAGCAGTAGAGCGGAGGAGGGGTGAGCAGTAGAGCGGAGGAGGGGTGAGGGGTAGAGGGGAGGAGGGGTGAGGGGTAGAGGGGAGGAGGGGTGAGGGGTAGAGGGGAGGAGGGGTGAGCAGTAGAGCGGAGGGAGGGGTGAGGGTATGAGGGGAGGAGGGTGAGGGTAGAGGGGAGGAGGGGGAGGGGTAGAGGGGAGGAGGGTGAGGGGTTAGAGGGGTAGAGGGAGGGGAGGGAGGGGTGAGCAGTAGAGCGGAGGAGGGTGAGGGGTAGAGGGGAGGAGGGGTTAGAGGGGTAGAGGGGAGGAGGGGTGAGCAGTAGAGTGGAGGAGGGGTGAGGGGTAGAGGGGAGGAGGGGTAGAGGGGGATTGACGTCAGTATAGATAATAATAACAACAGCCCCACAGCATGCCAAGGTCAACCTGAAAAAGGCCTGTCCCAGTGCAATAAAAACACAAGCTTTGTATTGTACATGTTTCCAATCTGCAGCGCTGCCCTCTCTGTCTCTGTCTCCTCTCCTCTGAGACACAATGCTTTCCATCTTGCCATTCATTCATTCAGCACTCATCTGTCTGCTCAGTCTCTCTCTCATTCTTTTTCTACACCAGGGTCCTACAGGTTTAACATCTAGCCACCCTCCATCAATATACGGCCTTGCAGGCAACAGAGTGACATTTGTTAGTTGTTCTATGTTTAATGAGCGTTGTTCCTCAAGATGTTCCGCCACCCTTGAGTTCAATAAACTTCAACCAAGTGGTTATTTTGTATCAAAAGCTGAGATATTCCAGTACTACAGTTCTTCACCAGTGTCCTTCATGTGGAGGTCAGTCAGTGAGTCGTACCTCTTAGGTGCTCAGGGTCCAGGTGGTTGCGTTCATCCTTGGAGGCCAGGTGGGCTGAGACCCCCAGGGCTCCAGTGAGGGCCAGCAGACCTGAGCCTCCCCCCAGAGAGAGGCCTGACGGGTGGGGAGTCAGGGGAATACCTGGGGTGTGGTGAGACAGGTGCTGGAGCTGCTGCTGCTGTACACCAGGGAGACAGGGCAGGGGGAGGGGGAGGGGGGAGAAAGAGGAAAGAGAGAGGGAGAGAGAGAGAGGACAGGGAGAGAAAGATTGGAGAGAGAGTAGAGCAGAGAGAAGAAAATAGGACGGGGGAGAGATGGAGAGAGAGGGAGGACAGGAGGAGGGAGAGAGACCGGGAGTAGGAATAGAAAAATAGAGAAAAGATAGAGCAACAGAAAGAGAGAGAGAAAGAGTGGGGCAGAGAGATTAAGAGAGAGAGATAAATTAGTAGACAGAGGGAGAGAACAAAGCAGAGGGAAAAAAAGAGAAAGGATGGAGGGAGAGGAGAGGAGGGGGGTACAGACAGATAAAGAGAGGCTATTTTCCTTGGGTCTTATTACAGCTTGTTTGTGTGTGTGTGAGTGTGTTTGTGTGTGTGTGTGTGTGTGGGAGCTACAGTGGAGGGGCTTTCCGGTGAGAGCTTGTCTGAGCTCTGATCATATTACACTCTACTTACACCCCAGCACTTTAAACACTGCAGAGAGAGGTGTGCATGCCACTGCCTGTAGACTGTGTCTTTGTGTGTGTGTGTGTGTGTGTGTGTGTGTGTGTGTGTGATGATGTTGATAGTGTCGCTGTTGGGGGTGTGAGGGTTGTCATGGTGACAAGAGGTGACCAGAGGTGACTCACCCCGATAATGGCGTTGAGTTCGGCCATAGTGACCTGCTTGGCCCTCTCCACTGCCTGGACCACCTGCTGTTGATGCTACACACACACACAAACATTATTTATCCCGCTGTGTGCTGCTCATTACATATACATACACTATACACATACACTATACAGTCATGGTCAAAGGTTTTGAGATTGACACAAATATTAATTTTCACAAAGTCTGCTGCCTCAGTTTTTATGATGTAAATTTGCATATACTCCAGAATGTTATGAAGAGTGATCAGATGAATTGCAATTAATTGCAAAGTCCCTCTTAGCCATGAAAATGAACTTAATCCCCAAAAAACATTTCCACTGCATTTCAGCCCTGCCACAAAAGGACCAGCTGACATCATGTCAGTGATTCTCTCGTTAACACAGGTGAGAGTGTTGACGAGGACAAGGCTGGAGATCACTCTGTCAGGCTGACTGAGTTAGAATAACAGACTGGAAGCTTTAAAAGGAGGGTGGTGCTTGAAATCATTGTTCTTCCTCTGTTAACCATGGTTACCTGCAAGGAAACACGTGCCGTCATCATTGCTGCTTGTAAGATTGCACCTAAATCAACCATTTATCGGATCATCAAGAACTTCAAGGAGAGGTTCAATTGTTGTGAAGAAGGCGTCAGGGCGCCCAAGAATGTCCAGAAAGCACCAGGACCATCTCCTAAAGTTGATTCAGCTGCGGGATCGGGGCACCACCAGTGCAGAGCTTGCTCAGGAATGGCAGCAGGCAGGTGTGAGTGCATCTGCACGCACAGTGAGGCGAAGACTTTTGGAGGATGGCCTGGTGTCAAGAAGGGCAGCGAGGAAGCCACTTCTCTCCAGGAAAAACATCAGGGACAGACTGATATTCTGCAAAAGGTACAGGGATTGGACTGCTGAGGACTGGGGTAAAGTAATTTTCTCTGATGAATCCCCTTTCCGATTGTTTGGGGCATCCGGAAAAAAGCTTGTCCGGAGAAGACAAGGTGAGCGCTACCATCAGTCCTGTGTCATGACAACAGTAAAGCATCCTGAGACCATTCATGTGTGGGGTTGCTTCTCAGCCAAGGGAGTGGGCTCACTCACAATTTTTCCTAAGAACACAACCATGAATAAAGAATGGTACCAACACATCCTCCGAGAGCATCCATCCAACTTCTCCCAACCGTCGAAGAACAGTTTGGTGACGAACAATGCCTTTTCCAGCATGATGGAGCACCTTGCCATTAGGCAAAAGTGATAACTAAGTGGCTCGGGGAACAAAACATCGACATTTTGGGTCCATGGCCAGGAAACTCCCCAGACCTTAATCCCATTGAGAACTTGTGGTCAATCCTCAAGAGGCGGGTGGACAAACAAAAACCACAAAATTCTGACAAATTCCAAGCATTGATTATGCAAGAATGGGCTGCCATCAGCCAGGATGTGGCCCAGAAGTTAATTGACAGTATGCCAGGGCAGATTGCAGAGGTCTTGAAAAAGAAGGGTCAATACTGCAAATATTGACTCTTTGCATAAACTTAATGTAATTGTCAATAAAAGCCTTTGACACTTATGGAATGCTTGTAATTATACTTCAGTATACCATAGTAACATCTGACAAAAGTATCTAAAAACACTGAAGCAGCAAACTTTGTGAAAACCAATCCTTGTGTCATTCTCAAAACTTTTGACCACGACTGTATATACAAAAGTATGTGGACACCCCTTCAAATTAGTGGATTCGGCTATTTCAGCCACACCCGTTGCTGACAAGTGTATAAAATCGAGAACAGAGCCATGAAATCTCCATAGACAAACATTGGTAATAGAATGGCCTTACTGAAGAGCTCAGTGACTTTCAATGTGGCACCGTCATAGGATGCCATCTTTCCAACAAGTCAGTTCGTCAAATTTCTGCCCTGCTAGAGCTGCCCCGGTCAACTGTAAGTGCTGTTATTATGAAGTGGAAACTTCTAGGAGCAAGAATGGCTCAGCCGCAAAGTGGTAGTCCACACAAGCTCACAGAATGTCCTCAGGAAGCAACGTCAGCACAAGAACTGTTCGTCGGGAGCTTCATGAAATGGGTTTCCATGGCCGAGCAGCCACACACAAGCCTAAGATCACCATGCGCAATGCCAAGCGTCTGCTGGAGTGGTGTAAAGCTCGCCGCCATTGGACTCTGGAGCAGTGGAAACGCGTTCTCTGGAGTGATGAATCACGCTTCACCATCTGGCAGTCCAATGGACGAATCTGGGTTTGGCGGATGCCAGGAGAACGCTACCTGCCCCAAAGCATAGTGCCAACTGTAAAGTTTGGTGGAGGAGGAATAATGGTCTGGGGCTGTTTTTCATGGTTCGGCTAGGCCCCTTGGTTCCAGTGAAGAGAAATCTTAACGCTACAGCATACAATGACATTCTAGATGATTCTGTGCTTCCAACTTTGTGGCAACAGTTTGAGGAAGGCCCTTTCCTGTTTCAGCATGACAATGTCCCTGTGCACAAAGCGAGGTCCATACAGAAACGGTTTGTCGTGATCGGTGTGGAAGAACTTGACTGGCCTGCACAGAGCCCTGACCTCTGGGCTGAATTGGAACACCGACTGCGAGCCAGGCCCAACATCAGTGCCCGACCTCACTAATGCTCTTGTGGCTGAATGGAAGCAAGTCCCTGCAGCAATGTTCCAACATCTAGTGGAAAGCCTTCCCAGAAGAGTGGAGGCTGTTATAGAAGCAAAAGGGGGGACCAACTCCATAATAATGCCCATGATTTTGGAATGAGATGTTCGACGAGCAGGTGTCCACATACTTTTGGTAATATAGTGTATAATTTACCTGACATATGTTTTGTAATCTCATTTACAAACACACCATTTGCCACATACTGTTCACATAATACAAATATCAGAACAAACACTCGCTGAAGAAAACACACACAAGAAAACAAACTGTACGCACATGCAGTACAAATGTATGCACTGATTGAGCTAACAGACACACACACACGGACAAAGTCACACATACCCACACAAACATACGCAGCAGGACTACACACTCAAACGACCCAAAAACCTATTTACTCATTCAAATGCACACACACACTGCGTAAACACACACACAAGTGAGGATACACACACAGAGGCAGTATTGATCAAGGTAAAACAGTCGCCAGCTCTGTGACCTTCCCTTCAGTGGACACACACACACACACGCAAACAAACAAACACTGTATTATAAGGCCAGTGCAGCCAGGTTTTACCAACAATTGTTGAATCACCACATTTTTGTCACAAACATTGTAGTCAATGGGATTTGGGTCAAACATATTAACCCCAGTCAAAATAACATGGTAAGAAACTGATTTGGGTCATTGTATATGCGTTGATAGATCAAATAACTACCATGAGTTATTGAACAAAAGGGCAATCAACCATTCACAAAAACAGTGTATACATTTAAAAGGCAATCTGGCTAATATAAATGAATAGTAAAAAAAAGATTACAATTATGGAAACAACATGTTCATATGTCTTGACAAACACAGACCAATATGTTCATATGTCTTGACCATGTGTTAGCCATTATAAAGATGTGTGTATGTGTGTCAGTGATACTTACCTCCTGAGATAGGAAGGGGATGATCTGAGCACAGATGGCACTGAGACGCTTCACAATCTCCGCCTGCAACACACACACACTTCAGTCTCATCTTATGTTTCATACAAGGTAATATAGCACAACATTATTCATGCCCTTAGGGTAATATGTTTCAGGGAAGCAGCAGGAGAAACATACACATACATCAATGAAAGTACAGACCCTTTGTCCATACCATCTCATACAATTATCAAAGTTAGATCATTTCATTGAGGCAACTCCGGTTAGTAAACATGTGATGGAGGTAGTTTGGTGACAACTTAGCTCCTCAAGCTCATGCCTAGGCTTTAGATCAGCGGGCTAACACAGTCATGTGGCATGCAGGTGACCTGATTTCAAACCCAGCCTACCACAAGTGCATGAGAGAGAGATAAATAATACAGAAAGAGAGAAAGTGTAAGAGAGGCTTTGAAAGGCCAGCTATGGTATTAGACTCCACTTTCTCATGTAGCTCTCTCCCTCTCCTCACTGCATTCTATGCCATTCTTTCATCCATTTTCTCTCGCTCGCCCAGGCCCATTGAAAATTCTCTCTCTAGGTGTGAGGACATTGAATTGTTGTCTATTCTACACACACAGCCTAACACACACACACACACACACACAAGGAAAAGCACTAACATGGCAACACACACGACATACGGTCGGAAGGAAAATGTACAAATGAGCATGCACACACACACACACACACACACACACACACACTACATGCCTCACCTATTTCTGCCCTGAGACTGCCCATTCTGTTGTCTTCTTCACTCAGGCATTCTCTCCCTCTTTAACAGCCTTCCCACTGAGCCATTATTACCCTATTCATCCTTTACCTTCCTTCATCTCTCTCTATCCTCCCTCCCTGCCTGCCTCCCTCCGTGATGGCTGTCTATCTATTTGTGTGTCCTCCATCCCTCCAATCTAACACATGTATCTGACTCACAGAGGAGACAAACGAGATTAGAGGACACAGGAAGTCCTGACACCCCCTCTACACTGACTGACAGGATCTTATTTATACACCCATCTCAATACAGGCCAAATTATACAACACAGCTCTCTGATAGATACATCACTCTGTTCAAAGGGGAAAGAAGACCTAGCTAATTATATAACATGGATGTGTGTGCGTGCAGACTGACTAGTGTGTGTGTGAAAGGGAGAGAGAGGAAGGGAATAGTATTTATAGAATAATTAACATATTACTTATGTTGTGCTGCTCAGTGAAAGCCGGTAAAGCAGGTAGGAGGGGCACAGGAATAGGGACTCTCCTATTGACCTTGAGACAGAGTGGGTTTATTCTCACTGGACTGTGTCTACAATAAACTGTATTGATACTGTGCAACAGTAATACATGTAGCTAGACACAGACAGAGATGCAGTTATAAGAAATCCTGCTACGCCCTCCGTCGAACCATCAAACAGGCAAAGCGTCAATACAGGACTAAGATCGAATCCTACTACACCGGCTCTGGCACTCGTCGGATGTGGCATGGCTTGCAAACTATCACAGATTACAAAGGGAAACCCAGCCGCGAGCTGCCCAGTGACGCAAGCCTACCAGACGAGCAAAATGTATTCTATGCTCGCTTCGAGGCAAGCAACAGTGAACCATGCGTGAGAGCACCAGCTGTTCCGGACGACTGTGTGATCATGCTCTCCGTGGCCGATGTGAATAAGACCTTTAAACAGGTTTACATTCACAAGGCCGAAGGGGCAGACGGATTACCAGGGCACGTACTCAGAGCATGCGCTGACCAGCTAGCAAGTGTCTTCACTGACATTTTCAACCTCTCCCTGACCCAGTCTGTAATACCTACATGTTTCAAGCAGACCAACATAGTCCCTGTGCCCAATAATGCCAAGTTAACCTGTCTGAATGACCATTGCCCCGTAGCACTCACATCTGTAGCCATGAAATGCTTTGAAAGGCTGGTCATGGCTCACATTAACAACATCATCCCAGACACCCTGGACCCCTCCAACTCGCATACCGCCTCAACAGATCCACAGATGATGCAATCTCTATTGCACTCCACACTGCCCTTTCCCACTTAGATAACAGGAACACCTACGTGAGAATGCTGTTCATTGACTACAGCTCAGCGTTCAACACAATAGTGCACTCCAAGCTCATCACTAAGCTAAGGGACCCTGGGACTGAACACCTCCCTCTGCAACTGGATCCTGGATTTCCTGGTGAGGGTAGGCAACAACACATCCTCCTCGCTGACCCTCAACACGGGGGCCCCTCAGGGGTGCGTGCTTAGTCCCTCCTGTACTCCCTGTTCACCCACGACTGTGTGGCCGTGCACGACTCCAACACTATAATTACGTTTGCAGACGGCATAACGGTGGTAGACCTGATCACCGACGACGATGAGACAGCCTATAGGGAGGAGGTCAGAGACCTGGCAGTGTGGTGGCAGGAAAACCACCACTCCCTCAACGTCAGCAAGACAAAGAAGCTGATCGTGGACTCAGTGGTGGAAAAAGTACCCAATTGTCATACTTCAGTAAAAGTAAAGATACCTTAATAGAAAATTACTTCAAGTAAAAGTGAAAGTCACCCAGTAAAATACTACTTGAGTAAAAGTCTAAAAGTATTTGGATTTAAATATACACAAAATGAGCAAAAGTATGAGGACACCTGCTTGTCGAACATCTCATTCCAAAATCATGGGCATTAATATGAAAGTGGTTCCCCCTTTGCTGCTATAACAGCATCCACTCTTCTGGGAAGGCTTTCCACTAGATGTTGGAACATTGCTGTGGGACTTGCTTCCATTCAGCCACAAGAGCATTAGTGAGGTCGGGCACTGATGTTGGGCGATTAGGCCTGGCTCGCAGTCGGCATTCCAATTCATCCCAAAGGTGTTCGATGGGGTTGAGGTCAGGGCTCTGTGCAGGGCAGTCAAGTTCTTCCACACTGATCTCGACAAACCATTCTGTATGGACCTTGCTTTGTGCACGGGGGCATTGTCATGCTGAAACAGGAAAGGGCCTTCCCCAAACTGTTGCCACAAAGTTGGAAGCACAGAATCGTCTAGAATGTCATTGTATGCTGTAGCATTAAGATTTCCCTTCACTGGAACTAAGGGGCCTAGCCCGAACCATGAAAAACAGCCCCAGACCATTATTCCTCCTCCACCAACCTCTACAGTTGGCACTATGCATTGGGGCAGGTAGCGTGGCATTGCGCATGGTGATCTTAGGCTTGTGTGCGGCTGTTCGGCCTTGGAAACTCCTTTCATGAAGCTCCGACAAACAATTATTGTGCTGACGTTGCTTCCAGAGGCAGTTTGGAACTCGGTAGTGAGTGTTGCAACCGAGAAGATTTTTATGCGCTATGCGCTTCAGCGGTCCCGTTCTGTGAGCTTGTGTGGCCTACCACTTCGCGGCTGAGCCATTGTTGCTCCTAGACATTTCCACTTCACAATAACAGCACTTACAGTTGACCGGGGCAGCTCTAGCAGGGCAGAAATTTGACGAACTGACTTGTTGCAAAGGTGGCATCCTATGACGTTGCCACGTTGAAAGTCACTGAGCTCTTCAGTAAGGCCATTCTACTACCAATGTTTGTCTATGGAGATTGCATGGCTGTGTGCTCGATTTTATACACCAACAGGTGTGGCTAAAATAGCTGAATCCACTCATTTGAAGGGGTGTCCACATACTTTTGTATAAATAGTTACTTAAGTATCAAAAGTAAATGTACTTGCTCAAATATACTTAATTATCAAAAGTAAAAGTATAAATCATTTAAAATTCCTTATATTAAGCAAACCAGATGGCACCCTTTTCTTATTTATTTTTTAAAAATGTACGGATAGCCAGTTGCACACCCCAACACTCAGACATAATTTACAAATGAAGATCCCTGATCTGGCGGACTTACTTTGTGTTTAGTGAGTCCGCCTAGATCAGAGGTAGTAGGGATGACCAGGGATGTTATTTTAATAAGTGTGTGCATTGGACCATTTTCCTGTCCTGCTAAGCATTGAAAATGTAACGAGTGCGTTTGGGTGTCAGGGAAAATGTATGGAGTAAAAAGTACATTATTTTCTTTAGGAATGTGGTGAAGTAAAAGTTGTCAAAATTATAAATAGTAAAGTAAAGTACAGATACCCCCCAAAAACGATCTACGTAGTACTTTAAAGTATTTTTACTTAAGTACTTTACACCACTGCGTGGACTACAGGAAACGGAGGGCAAGCACGCCCCCATTCACAATGACGGAGCTGTAGTGGAGCAGGTCGAGCGCTTCAAATTCCTGTGTCCACATCACTAAGGATTTATCATAGTCCACACACACCAACACAGTCGTGAAGAGGGCACGACAATGCCTCTTTCCCCTCAGGAGGCTGAAAAGATTTGGCATGGGCCCTCAGATCCTCAAAAAGTTCTACAGCTGCACCATTGAGAGTATCTTGACTTGCTCCATCACCTCTTGGTTTGGCAACTGCTTGGCATTCAACCGTAAGGCGCAACAGTGGGTAGTGCTGACGGCCCAGTACATCACTGGGGCCTAGCTCCCTGCCTTCCAGGACCTCTATACCAGGCGGTGTCTGAGGAAGGCCTTAAAAACTGTCAAAGACTCCAGCCACCCAAGTCATAGACTGTTCTCTCTGCTAACGCACAGCAAGCAGTACCGATGCACCAAGTCTGGAACCAACAGGACCCAGAACAGCTTCTACCCCCAAGCCAGAAGACTGCTAAATAGTTAGTTAAATAGTTAACCAAATATCTACCCGGACTATCTGCATTGACCCTTTTTGCACTAACATTTTTTTGACTCATCACATACGCTGCTGCTGCTGTTTACTATCTGTCACTTTATTCCTAGTTATATGTACATATCTACCTCAATTACCTCTTACCCCTGCACATCAACTCAGTACTGGTACCCTGTGTATATAGCCAAGTTATCGTTACTCATTGTGTATTTATTATTACTTTTATTATGATGAGTTTCACTTTTCTTATTATTTCCTTATTTTCTTTCTCTCTGCATTATTGAGAAGGGCCCGTAAGTAAGCATTTCACTGTTAGTCTACAAAGCATGTGACGAATAAAATTGTATTTGATTTGATTTAGACAGAGAAACTAATCATTTAGTTGTTGACGAGCCAACAACACAACCATGACTGCAACTGATCCTGGATCTGTCAGACCAAAGTATTGGCAGCCTGCTACAAACAGAGATCGCACTGCTTCCTCTCCTTAATCTCTTTTTCACTCCCTTCCTTTCTCTCTCCCCCTCTTTCTCTTCCACCAGCGTAGGCCAGGTGTCAGCAATAACAACATGGACTTTCTCTGCCAAACGAGTGCATAGCATGCTGACCACACCGCTCGCGTTACGTGCGCGAGTGTTGCAAAATAAATGTACACATACATGTTTTCAATAATTTCATCCAAACTGCTCGCGTGCGTCAACGAGCGTCTGCGTAGCCAGGCGTTAAAATAGTACCTGCTTCTATTTGTGATGCTTGACGCGCTGCAAGTCCCGCCTCTCCCATCTCCTTATTGTTTTTTAGGAGCATATACCCACGTGGCTATTTGAAAGCTGAACTGAGGTCCACACTCCAGTCCAGTTGGTGGTGGTAATGCACCTTAAAGTTGGTTGCAAACCGCCATTTCAAGTCAGAAGAAGAAGAAGCCTGAAGGAGGAGAGATTACTAGAAACTAACTAAATGTCGCCTTTTATCTGTGGACTAATTGTCAGAGTAGAGAACACACGATTTTGTGTGACTGAAAATGGGTCAAATTCTACAAAGATCCAGGAAAAAAAAGGACCTTTCAGGTAAAATAACAACCCAATGTTTATATCCCAGGACAAATTAGCTAGCAACAGCAAGCTAGCTAGCTTGCCCGGCACGTGCATGCCTGGTGTAGTCAGCATGTAAGGGAGTTTTGGCAGGGCTGTGAATAGAGGGATGGATGGATGAATGGGTGGATGGATGGATACAAAGGAGGAAGAGAGAGCTGGTCAATAAACACCTGAGGATAAATAATCTGCCAACAGAACACTACTGTCTCTTTGTCTGGCAGAGAGGGGGCGAGATGAGGAGAGGAGAGAGATGAGGAGGAGGAGAGAGTGAGGAGGAGAGAGATGAGGAGAGAGATGAGGAGGAGAGGAGAGAAATGTGGAGGAGAGGAGAGAAATGAGGAGGAGAGGAGAGAAATGAGGAGGAGAGGAGAGAGATGAGGAGGAGAGGAGAGAAATGTGGAGGAGAGGAGAGAAATGTGGAGGAGAGGAGAGAAATGTGGAGGAGAGAAATGAGGAGGAGAGAAATGTGGAGGAGAGGAGAGAGATGAGGAGGGAGATGAGGAGAGAGAATGTCAGTCTATCTTACGCTACATTTAGAACAGAGCAGCAAATCACCCTAAATTCTTACAAAATGAGGGAGGAAGAGAAGATGGATGAGAGGGAGGACTGGTGTGTGGAGCACACCAGTCAATCACTGCCTGAGGGAGACACAAACACGAACTCATGCACACACACACACAGGTACGCACGCGCACACACATACACACTCAGCGTGCTCCCCCATCACCAGATATGTTTCAGAGTCACAATTAATACAGTGATCTGAAACACCGGAGTCATTACTGAGACTCTGAAACTAATGCAAGTGGATCATCAGTATGACATAGACAAGCTGCAGTAAGCTTTCCTGGAGCATTTACTTTATAACATGATGAAAATGCTTTGCTAATAAAGCTTTGTGAAATTGAATGTGATTGGAGTGGGGGGGGGGTTGATGGGGAGCAATGGTGCATTTGGGCAATGCCAGCTGTGTCTTTCCCTGAGCCCCAGTGTGGCTGTGCTGGTCAGCTTTAGAGGGAGGGAGGGTGTGTGTGTGTGTGTGTGTGTGTGTGTGTGTGTGTGTGTGCGTGTGCGTGCGTAGATGTGGGTGTGTGTTATGTGTGTGAGTATTTTATTTTATGTGTTTGTGCGTGCCTTCCTGACTGCAATGTATCTCAGTGTATGCTTGCATGTTTAGCAGGAGTCCCCCCAGTCCCACTCAGCCCTGTAACACCAGAGAGAGAGAGAGATCCTTGTCAGCCAGCCCTAGTCTAGCCTTATCTCCCTCCCCCTGATGCCTAATGGCACTGCTCTCCTCTCTCTGCAAACACTTCAAGACAAATATTAGTAACCAATGACGCGCTAACGAGCCACTGGTTGTGGCCACAGATCAAAAAAATAACTGATCTCTCTCTCTCTCTCCCTCTCCCTCTTTCTCTCTCTCTCTCTCTCTCGCTCTCTCCCCCCCCCCCCCTTCCTCTCCCTCCTGGGCAGAGCGCCAGCCCCCCTTCCCTCCTCTCTGATTGATGGCCCCTCTATTCGGGAAGAGGAGGAAGAGAAACATACAGAGGGAAAGAGGAAAGGAGAGCAGTAAAGCACACATTCACAAGCATGCACACACACACTGACAACAAACACAAACAGTGCAGAACAGAGCACACACACACACACATAGACCTATGTACTGAGCAAGCAGACTCACACAGTGAGACCCATCAAACAGTTTGTTTACTATCCTTGTGGGGACCAAAACATTTATTTATATTCAAAATCCTATTTTCCCTAACCTTAACCCTAAAACTAAACCTAACTCCTAACCCTAAGTGTAACCCTAACCCCTAAGCCTAAAATAGCTAAATGTCTCCACTTGTCTGAATTTTCCTTGTTTTAATATCCTTGTGAATACATCTGGTCCCCACAAGGATAGTTAAACCAAAACACGCACACACACAAAACACACACACACACACTGAAAACACACAAACAGCGGCTCTTAAGCAGACAGAGAAGCCTTTATAGGGCATCTGTAAAAATGCAGTCCTGCGGACAAATTTCTGCCTGAGTCCCAGTTCTTAACAATATCTCTCCTAGGCTTCCCAGCAATATAATGCGCTTACCCATTACTCTGACGTTCATATTCACACACTGCCAGCTTACCAGCTTGGCCTGACAGACTGCTACAGCTTTAAACTCCTGTCCACCACAAAGCAATTATACAATACACAACTAGCCCCGTACACTGGCCACACACACAGAACAGATACATACACACACTGTGGAAGCACACACACATATACACCATGGTAGTACACACACAGCTGAAAGTCACTGGAGTGTACCGTACCGTACAAACGCAGACACATACTGACACACACATGCAGGCAAACACAGACATTTGTTTATGCTTTCAGTCTCACACACATGCATGTACATACACACACACCTGTAAACACGCACACAGATGCATTCAGGCACGTACACATACACACACAGATGGGCTCACACACAAACACCCAGCAGGGCATGTGCAGCTACTCAGAGGCCTTTTGATCGAGTGACAAACCCATTATGCTAAAAGGCTAGCTCCCTGGGAATCTCTCTCTCCCTTTCCAAATGAGCTTTGTTACACACACACACACACACACACCTCTGGATTCAGGTCATAACGCCAGCCAAGCACAACCAGAGGAGGATGTGTATTAATCTGAATTACATAGAAACATGCACTGGGCTGTCTGAGCACATAGCTAGCGGTAATTAGGCATGAGCGAGAAAAAACACACACACACACATATATATATTATGCAGATGCTAGAGCACACACATACTCACACACTTTTCATAAAACCCTCTCACTTTCTCGGTCTCTAACTCTCTCTCTTTCTCTCGCTTACACACACATATGGATGGAACAGGAAGGAGCGCCAGCTGCTTCATCTGTCCTTAGGAGTCTACTGGGGATAGAGCAGAGCAACTCTAAAAACATCACACACACCCCAGCCTTCTGTAGGCAGTCATCACTAACTACAGTGCCTTCAGAAAGTATTCATACGTCTTGACTTATTACACATTTTGTTGTGTTATAGCCTGAATTAAAAATATATTTTTTCTCTCTCACCAATCTACACACAATACCCCATAATGACAAAGTGAAAACATGTTTTTAGAAATGTTTGCAAATGTATTGAAAATGAAATACAGAAATAGCTCATTTACATAAGTATTCAGACCCCTGAGTCAACAATACATGTTAGAATCAACTTTGGCAGCGATTACAGCTGTGAATCTTTCTGGGTAAGTCTCTAAGAGATTTGATTGTACAATATTTGCACATTATTCTTTTTTAAATTCTTCAAGCTCTGTCAAGTTGGTTGTTGATCATTGCTAGACAGCCATTTCAGGTGATTTTCAAGCCGATTTAAGTCAAAACTGTAACTAGGCCACTCAGGAACGTTCAATGTCGTCTTGGTATGCAACTCCAGTGGGTTATTGTCCTGCTAAAAGTGGTCTTCCAGTGTCTGTTGGAACGCAGACTGAACCAGGTTTTCCTCTAGGAGTTTGCCTGTGAATAGCTCTATTCCATTTATTTTCATCCTAAAAAGAACTCCCTAGTCCTTGCCGATGTCAAGCGTACCCATAACATGATGCAGCCACCACCATGCTTGAAAATATGAAAAGTGGTACTCAGTGATGTGTTGTGTTGGATTTGCCCCAAACATAACATTTTGTATTCAGGACATAAAGTTAATTTCTTTGCCACATTTTTTTGCAGTTTTACTTTAGTGCCTTATTGCAAACAGGATGCATGTTTTAGAATATTTGTGACTTGTTTCAGGAAACTAGGTGTATGTTGCACATCACTACTTCACAGGAGAAGCAATTCAACGTAAAACCTTTTTTAAAATTAAAATGCATTTGTGGGCAGAAATGCCTTCTGGAACATGTGAACTTTAATTTGCCTTAATAACTAACTTGTATGTCACCGGTAACGAATAAAATTGTTAAATTATGAGCCTAGTTGGTTTAGCCACGGAAAAAGACAGGAACCTTCCCGCTAGCCAAGAGATGAGTTCGGATTGGTCTGCCATGTAGCATTCTTCTGTCTATGAGCTGCTCAGTATGTGTAGATAATCCTTTCTACTGCGGCTTTTTTGAAAGATATCATGAAGAACTGCAAAAGTGTTGCTACTGCTCTCCACTTTCTGGAGGACGATTGTGCCATGCTGACTCTCTCTGACTCTGAAAATGAATCAGACGATGAGGAAATCCCTGATTTAGGTAAAAACATTTTCATTGAACCAGATATTGTAGTCTTCTGATGACAGTGATGGGGAAGAAACGAGGATCAACAGTGTTGTTGTCAAGGAAGAAGTTGACCGAGTTTTGAAATCAGTGGAATGCCCGGTGGATGCAGATTATGATAGGTAATGAGATGGAGAATATTCAGGCGTTAGATTGAAAATAGGCGAAGGGAGTCGAAAAGAGAACACACAGAACGCTGTTGTATAAAACACCTGTCTCCGGATTACATCTTCAAACTGAGGGCAACCATGGCATCCGTGACAGAGAGGGAGAAGCGTTCATTCATGTATATGGTTAAGAGTCTAGCTAGCTACATTTTCAGATATTATACGTTTCTCATTTTGTCAAAGTAATTTTCATTGCAAGTTAAAGCGTACTGTTAGCTAGCCAGCTAACGTTAGCTGGCTGGCTCGCTAGCTAACGTTACGTGTATGATCTATGTAGTAATATTATTAGTATCTCAGAAATCCATTGCATGCATTGCTAGTTATAGCCTAATGTTAGCTAGCTAGCTAACATTAAACCTAGTTGGTTAGCTTTAGCTACCTGCAGATTTATGCATGGTGGCTAGCTGGGATTATTGCCGCGTTCAGAACAACTCGGAAATCTCAGATTTCCAACTTCAGCGCTTTCAAGACAACTGGGAACACTGAAAAAAATTAGCTCCGACTGGGAAAAATAGTTTTGAACGTCATCCAACCCGGAATTCCAACCCGGAACTCTGACCTCTTTCTAGAGCCCCAACTTTCTGACATGAAGATCACTGACGACGTCATGATTTGACCTCGTATTTTGCCAATTGTCTTGAAAGCACTATTAGGTTCATTGTTTAGCTAGCAAAGCTAGCTACATATCTAAACAAAAGACTCCACTTCACCAGATGATTACATGACCGACCCATCAGGTTAGCCAGGTGTGTCTGGGGGTGATTACGGTCATCTATTATATTTCATGAACATGTGTACATGTCTGGACAATAGTGGCTGTGGGGTGGTTATAGCATTTCTTTCACATGACCCATCAATTTAGACAAGTGTGTCTGGGTAAGAATCATCTAATAATTATAAAATATTTATACAATATTTATCTGGACACTTTCTATTTTGATATTGCTACTATGCAAGTAACCATTTCACTGTACCGTTTACACCTTCTGTATCCTGTGCATGTGACAAATAAACTTTGATTTTATTTGATATCGTGTGTGTTTACCAGAGACGGTAATGTGAAGAACAACATGACCTGCACCAAAGTTAGATTAGGATATAGGCCAAGGACTAGATAGTGTATTTATGCTTCTACTTTCACTACTTTCACCACTTTAAGTTTTGATATCTTTGGTTGTTTACTACACTACCTTACTCACTCTGTTTAGCACATGGCCTCAAGTGAATCCTTAAAGATGGATGAGCTGAGGCTTAAGAGGGTGTGAACGATGCTGAATCGGTGTAAACAAAGAAGAGCTCTCCAGTAGGTGTACCAAAACTTTCAAGGGCCATTTTCTCAAAAGTGGGGTTACAAGTTTATCAACTTTTAAAGCAGAATTACTTTCCCATTGTTCCTCAACTGCAGTGTATGATATACCATACCTGAATCAGCCTCCTGTGATCGAGCTGATCTAGGGTGTAATCATTAGTCCAACAGTTGCAAATGAGAGTTTCTATTAGACAAATTCAAATATGTTTATACCCGTTTCATTTAAGAATGAATACACCCCTGATCACACGCAAACACAGTTGGCTTTCATAGCAGTCACATAAAAACAGCATGATCACTTTGCTCATTGTATATACACTGCTCAAAAAAATAAAGGGAACACTAAAATAACACATCCTAGATCTGAATGAATGAAATAATCTTATTAAATACTTTTTTTCTTTACATAGTCGAATGTGCTGACAACAAAATCACACAAAAATGATAAATGGAAATCAAATGTATCAACCCATGGAGGTCTGGATTTGGAGTCACCCTCAAAATTAAAGTGGAAAACCACACTACAGGCTGATCCAACTTTGATGTAATGTCCTTAAAACAAGTCAAAATGAGGCTCAGTAGTGTGTGTGGCCTCCACGTGCCTGTATGACCTCCCTACAACGCCTGGGCATGCTCCTGATGAGGTGGCGGATGGTCTCCTGAGGGATCTCCTCCCAGACCTGGACTAAAGCATCCGCCAACTCCTGGACAGTCTGTGGTGCAACGTGGCGTTGGTGGATGGAGCGAGACATGATGTCCCAGATGTGCTCAATTGGATTCAGGTCTGGGGAACGGGTGGGCCAGTCCATAGCATCAATGCCTTCCTCTTGCAGGAACTGCTCCAGCCACATGAGGTCTAGCATTGTCTTGCATTAGGAGGAACCCAGGGCCAACCGCACCAGCATATGGTCTCACAAGGGGTCTGAGGATCTCATCTCGGTACCTAATGGCAATCAGGCTACCTCTGGTGAGCACATGGAGGGCTGTGCGGCCCCCCAAAGAAATGCCACCCCACACCATGACTGACCCACCGCCAAACCGGTCATGCTGGAGGATGTTGCAGGCAGCAGAACGTTCTCCACGGCGTCTCCAGACTCTGTCACGTCTGTCACATGTGCTGTGTGAACCTGCTTTCATCTGTGAAGAGCACAGGGCGCCAGTGGCGAATTTGCCAATCTTGGTGTTCTCTGGCAAATGCCAAACGTCCTGCACGCTGTTGGGCTGTAAGCACAACCCCCACCTGTGGACGTCGGGCCCTCATACCACCCTCATGGAGTCTGTTTCTGACCGTTTGAGCAGACACATGCACATTTGTGGCCTGCTGGAGGTCATTTTGCAGGGCTCTGGCAGTGCTCCTCCTGCTCCTCCTTGCACAAAGGCGGAGGTAGCAGTCCTGCTGCTGGGTTGTTGCCCTCCTACGGCCTCCTCCATGTCTCCTGATGTACTGGCCTGTCTCCTGGTAGCGCCTCCATGCTCTGGACACTACGCTGACAGACACAGCAAACCTTCTTGCCACAGCTCGCATTGATGTGCCATCCTGGATGAGCTGCACTACCTGAGCCACTTGTGTGGGTTGTAGACTCCGTCTCATGCTACCACTAGAGTGAAAGCACCGCCAGCATTCAAAAGTGACCAAAACATCAGCCAGGAAGCATAGGAACTGAGAAGTGGTCTGTGGTCACCACCTGCAAAACCAGTCCTTTATTGGGGGTGTCTTGCTAATTGCCTATAATTTCCACCTGTTGTCTATTCCATTTGCACAACAGCATGTGACATTTATTGTCATTCAGTGTTGCTTCCTAAGTGGACAAATACTTATTTCCCTAATTAAAATGCAAATCAATGTATACATTTTTTTACAAGCATTTTTCTGGATTTCTTTGTTGTTATTCTGTCTCTCACTGTTCAAATAAACCTACCATTAAAATTATAGACTGATCATTTCTTTGTCAGTGGGCAAACGTACAAAATCAGCAGGGGATCAAATACTTTTTTCCCTCACTGTATCTACGGGCTCTAAAACCAGCGTGATGGCACGCTGGTTTTTCACCCAGTAGATAAGGGAGTTTATCAAAATTGGGTTTGTTTTCAAATTCTTTGTGGATCTCTGTAATCTGAGGGAAATATGTGTCTCTAATATGGCCATACATTTGGCAGGAGGTTAGGAAGTGCAGCTCAGTTTCCACCTCATTTTGTGGGCAGTGTGCACATTGTCTGTCTTCTCTTGAGAGCCAGGTCTGCCTACGGTGGCCTTTCTCAATAGCAAGGCTATGCTCACTGAGTATGTACATAGCTCAAAGCTTTCCTTAAGTTTGGGTCAGTAACAGTGGTCAGGTATTCTGCCACTGTGTACTCTCTGTTTAGAGCTAAATAGCGTTCTAGTTTGCTCTGTTTTTTTGTTAATTCTTTCCAATGTGTCAAGTAATTCTCTTTTTGTTTTCTCATGATTTGGTTAGGTCTAATTGTGTTGTTGTTGTTGTCCTGGGGCTCTGTGGGGTATGTTTGTGTTTGTGAACAGAGCCCCAGGACCAGCTTACTTAGGGGACACTTCTCCAAGTTCATCTCTCTGTTGGTGATGGCTTTGTTATGGAAGGTTTGGGAATCGCTTCCGTTTAAGTGGTTATAGAATTTAACGGCTCTTTTCTGGATTTTGATAATTAGCGGGTATCGGCCTAATTCTGCTCTGCATGCATTATTTTGTGTTTTTCGTTGTACACTGAGGATATTTTTGCAGAATTCTGCATGCAGAGTCTCAATTTGGTGTTTGTCCCATTTTGTGAATTCTTGGTTGGTGAGCAGACCCCAGACCTCACAACCATAAAGGGCAATGGGTTCTATGACTGATTCAAGTATTTTTAGCCAGATCCTAATTGATATGTCAAATCTTATGTTCCTTTTGATGGCATAGAAGGCCCTTCTTGCCTTGTCTCTCAGATCGTTCACAGCTTTGTGGAAGTTACTGTTGTGGAAAATAACCACTATACTTTATTAAAAATCAAAGTTCTTACAGAGTTTTTGTTGCATCAAGAATGACTTTATTTTTAATTCAACACAGCCAGGTCAATCTGCAGATTGGAAACCCCTCTTACTCTCTCCCTCCAACTTATATATCCCCTCTTCAGTTTCCCGCTCTTTTATTGCTCCGCCCACTTCCTTTGTCTCTGAGGGCGGCTAAACTCAACTTTTATTATGCACATAATACTCCAACCAATAACTCACTCCCCTGTCTTGCACACACACTCATGTTTAGTTTAAACATGACAAGGCCCTAAATCCTTGAAACATACACAAACCCCACACACACAGTAAAATGACCCAATTCAATCCTGGCCCAGTAACAAAGAAATCTAACTCTATGTTATTGATTAACCCAGTTCTACCTCATAGTCCATTAAACTCTACAGTTCATTAATAATAATTCACCACATTACCTGTGGCGCTGATGTTTAGGCAGAGGTATGTATAGTTTTTTGTGTGCTCTAGGGCAACAGTGTCTAGATGAATTTATATTTGTGGTCCTGGCAACTGGACCTTTTTTGGAACACCATTCTTTTTGTCTTACTGAGAATTACTGTCAGGGCTCAGGTCTGACAGAATCTGTGCAGAATATCTAGGTGCTGCTGTAGGCCCTCCTTGGTTGGTGACAGAAGCACCAGATCATCAGCAAACAGTAGACATTTGACTTCAGATTCTAGTAGGGTGAGGCCGGGTGCTGCAGACTGTTCTAGTGCCCTCGCCAATTCGTTGATATACAGTGAGGGGAAAAAGTATTTGATCCCCTGCTGATTTTGTATGTTTGCCCACTGACAAAGAAATGATCAGTCTATAATTTTAATGGTAGGTTTATTTGAACAATGAGAGACAGAATAACAACAAAAATATCCAGAAAAACGCATGTCAAAAATTTTATCAATTGATTTGCATTTTAATGAGAGAAAAAAGTATTTGACCCCCTCTCAATCAGACAGTTTTCTGGCTCCCAGGTGTCTTTTATACAGGTAACGAGCTGAGATTAGGAGCACACTCTTAAAGGGAGTGCTCCTAATCTCAGCTTGTTATCTGTATAAAAGACACCTGTCCACAGAAGCAATCAATCAATCCGATTCCAAACTCTCCACCATGGCCAAGACCAAAGAGCTCTCCAAGGATGTCAGGGACAAGATTTTAGACCTACACAAGGCTGGAATGGGCTACAAGACCATCACCAAGCAGCTTGGTGAGAAGGTGACAACAGTTGGTGCGATTATTTGCAAATGGAAGAAACACAAAATAACTGTCAATCTCCCTCGGCCTGGGGCTCCATGCAAGATCTCACCTTGTGGAGTTTCAATGATCATGAGAACGGTGAGGAATCAGCCCAGAACTACACGGGAGGATCTTGTCAATGATCTCAAGGCAGCTGGGACCATAGTCACCAAGAAAACAATTGGTAACACACTACGCCGTGAAGGACTGAAATCCTGCAGCGCCCGCAAGGTCCCCCTGCTCAAGAAAGCACATATACATGCCTGTCTGAAGTTTGCCAATGAACATCTGAATGATTCAGAGGAGAACTGGGTGAAAGTGTTGTGGTCAGATGAGACCAAAATGGAGGTCTTTGGCATCAACTCAACTCGCCGTGTTTGGAGGAGGAGGAATGCTGCCTATGACCCCAAGAACAACATCCCCACCGTCAAACATGGAGGTGGAAACATTGTGCTTTGGGGGTGTTTTTCTGCTAAGGGGACAGGACAACTTCACCGCATCAAAGGGACGATGGACGGGGCCATGTACCGTCAAGTCTTGGGTGAGAACCTCCTTCCCTCAGCCAGGGCATTGAAAATGGGTCGTGGATGGGTATTCCAGCATGACAATGACCCAAAACACACGGCCAAGGCAACAAAGGAGTGGCTCAAGAAGAAGCACATTAAGGTCCTGGAGTGGCCTAGCCAGTCTCCAGACCTTAATCCCATAGAAAATCTGTGGAGGGAGCTGAAGGTTCGAGTTGCCAAATGTCAGCCTTGAAACCTTAATGACTTGGAGAAGATCTGCAAAGAGGAGTGGGACAAAATCCCTCCTGAGATGTGTGCAAACCTGGTGGCCAACTACAAGAAACGTCTGACCTCTGTGATTGCCAACAAGGGTTTTGTCACCAAGTACTAAGTCATGTTTTGCAGAGGGGTCAAATACTTATTTCCCTCATTAAAATGCAAATCAATTCATAACATTTTTGACATGCATTTTTCTGGATTTTTTTGTTGTTATTCTGTCTCTCACTGTTCAAATAAACCTACCATTAAAATTATAGACTGATCATTTCTTTGTCAGTGGGCAAACGTACAAAATCAGCAGGGGATCAAATACTTTCTTCCCTCACTGTATATGTTGAAGAGGGTGGGGCTTAAACTGCATCCCTGTCTCACCCCACGGCCCCGTGGAAAGAAATGTGTGTGTTTTCTGCCAATTTTAACCGGCACACTTGTTGTTTGTGTACATGGATTTTATAATGTCGTTTGTTTTTCCCCCAACCCCACTTTCCATCAATTTGTATAGCAGACCCTCATGCCAAATTGAGTCAAAAGCTTTTTTGAAATCAACAAAGCATGAGAAGACTATGCCTTTGTTTGTCAATTAGGGTGTGCAGGGTGAATACGTGGTCTGTCGTGTGGTAATTTGGTAAAAAGCGAATTTGACATTTGCTCAGTACATTGTTTTCACTGAGGAAATGAAGTAGTCTGCTGTTGACGCATATCCCACGGTAGTTATTTCTCTCTCTCTCTCTCTCTCAAATTTTGGAAGAAATTCATTTCTCTCACTTTGAGTCAACTACTCACCACATTTTATGCACTGCAGTGTTAGCTGTAGCTTATAATTTCAGTACTAGATTCATTATTCTTCTCTGCAGATCCTCTCAAGCTCTGTCAGGTTGGATGGGGAGCGTCGCTGCACAGCTATTTTCAGGTCTCTCCAGAGATGTTCGATTGAGTTCAAGTCCGGGCTCTGGCTGGGTCACTCAAGGACATTCAGAGACTTGTCCCGAGGCCACTCCTGCGTTGTCTTGGCTGTGTGCTTAGGGTTGTTGTCCTGTTGGAAGGTGAACCTTCGCCCCAGTCTGAGGTCCTGAGCACTCTGGAGCAAGTTTTCATCAAGGATCTCTCTGTACTTTGCTCCGTTCATTTTTCCCTCGATCCTGATTAGTCTCTCAGTCCCTACCGAAGGAAAAACATCCCCACAGCATGATGCTGCCACCACCATGCTTCACCGTAGGGATGGTGCCAGGTTTCCTCCAGACGTGACGCTTGGCATTCAGGCCAAAGAGTTCAATCTTGGTTTCATCAGACCAAAGAATCTTGTTTCTCATGGTCTGAGAGTCCTTTAGGTGCCTTTTGGCAAACTCCAAGCGGGCTGTCATGTGCCTTTTACTGAGGAGTGGCTTCCGTCTGGCCACTCTACCATAAAGGCCTGATTGGTGGAGTGCTGCAGAGATGGTTGTCCTTCTGGAAGGTTCTCCCATCTCCACAGAGGAACTCTGGAGCTCTATCAGAGTGACTATCGGGTTCTTGGTCACCTCCCTGACCAAGGCCCTTTTCCCCCGATTGCTCAGTTTGGCCGGGCGGCAAGCTCTAGGAAGAGTCTTGGTGGGTCTAAACTTCTTCCATTGAAGAATGATGGAGGCCACTGTGTTCTTGGGGACCTTCAATGCTGCAGAAATGTTTTGGTACCCTTCCCCAGATCTGTGCCTCGACACAATCCTGTCTCGGAGCTCTACGGACAATTCCTTCGACCTTATTGTTTGGTTTTTGCTCTGACATGCACTGTCAACTGTGGGACCTTTATATAGACAGGTGTGTGCCTTTCCAAATCATGTCCAATCAATTGAATTTACCACAGGTGGACTCCAGTCAAGTTGTAGAAACATCTCAAGGATGATCAATGGAAACAGGATGCACCTGAGCTCAATTTCGAGTCTCATAGCAAAGGGTCTGAATACTTAATGTTTTTCATTTTTAATAAATTTGAAAACATTTCTAAAAACCTGTTTTTGCTTTGTCATTATGGGGTATTGTGTGTAGATTGAGGATATGTTTTAATTTAATCCATTTTAGAATAAGGCTGCAATGTAACAAAATGTGGAAAAAGGGAAAGGGTCTGAATACTTTCCAAATGCACTGTATACCACCATATCCCTGAGCCTTCTGAGAATGTACAGTCGTGGTCAAAAGTTTTGAGAATGACACAAGGATTGGTCTTCACAAAGTTTGCTGCGTCAGTGTTTTTAGATATTTTTGTCAGATGTTACTATGGTATACTGAAGTATAATTACAAGCATTCCATAAGTGTCAAAGGCTTTTATTGACAATTACATTAAGTTTATGCAAAGAGTCAATATTTGCAGTGTTGACCCTTCTTTTTCAAGACCTCTGCAATCCGCCCTGGCATGCTGTCAATTAACTTCTGGACCACATCCTGACTGATGCCAGCCCATTCTTGCATAATCAATGCTTGGAGTTTGTGGGTTTTTGTTTGTCCACCCGCCTCTTGAGGATTGACCACTAGTTCTCAATGGGATTAAGGTCTGGGGAGTTTCCTGGCCATGGACCCACAATGTCGATGTTTTGTTCCCCGAGCCACTTAGTTATCACTTTTGCCTTATGGCAAGGTGCTCCATCATGCTGGAAAAGGCATTGTTCGTCACCAAACTGTTCTTCGATGGTTGGGAGAAGTTGCTCTTGGAGGATGTGTTGGTACCATTCTTTATTCATGGCTGTGTTCTTAGAAAAAATTGTGAGTGAGCCCACTCCCTTGGCTGAGAAGCAACCCCACACATGAATGGTCTCAGGATGCTTTACTGTTGGCATGACACAGGACTGATGGTAGTCCTCTCCGGACAAGCTTTTTTCCGGATGCCCCAAACAATCGGAAAGGGGATTCATCAGAGAAAATGACTTTCCCCAGTCCTCAGCAGTCCAATCCCTGTACCCTTTGCAGAATATCAGTCTGTCCCTGATGTTTTTCCTGGAGAGAAGTGGCTTCCTCGCTGCCCTTCTTGACACCAGGCCATCCTCCAAAAGTATTTGCTTCACTGTGCGTGCATATGCACTCACACCTGCCTGCTGCCATTCCTGAGCAAGCTCTGCACTGGTGGTGCCCCAATCCCGCAGCTGAATCAACTTTAGGAGACGATCCTGGTGTTTGCTAGACTTTCTTGGGCGCCCTGAAGCCTTCTTCACAACATTTACATTTACATTTACGTCATTTAGCAGACGCTCTTATCCAGAGCGACTTACAAATAGGACAACAATTGAACCTCTCTCCTTGAAGTTCTTGATGATCCGATAAATGGTTGATTTAGGTGCAATCTTACTAGAAGCAATATCCTTGCCTGTGAAGCCCTTTTTGTGCAAAGCAATGATGATGGCACGTGTTTCCTTGCAGGTAACCATGGTTAACAGAGGAAGAACAATGATTTCAAGCACCACCCTCCTTTTAAAGTCTGTTATTCTAACTCAATCAGCATGACAGAGTGATCTCCAGCCTTGTCCTCGTCAACTCTCTCACCTGTGTTAACGAGAGAATCACTGACATGATGGCAGCTGGTCCTTTTGTGGCAGGGCTGAAATGCTGTGGAAATGTTTTTTGGGGATTAAGTTCATTTACATGGCAAATAGGGACTTTGCAATTAATTGCAATTCATCTGATCACTCTTCATAACATTCTGGAGTAAATGCAAATTGCCATAATAAAAACTGAGGCAGCAGACTTTGTGAAAATTAATATTTGTGTCGTTCTCAAAACTTTTGACCACGACTGTATAGCATGGAATATATAACTAGCTGTCTGCAGACCTAAAACTTCACACGCGATGATATGACTTTATTGCTGCCGACATTTCCTGTATAACACTACATAGAGTGGGGGAAAAAAGTATTTAGTCAGCCACCAATTGTGCAAGTTCTCCCACTTAAAAAGATGAGAGAGGCCTGTAATTTTCATCATAGGTCACGTCAACTATGACAGACAAATTGAGAAAAAAAAATCCAGAAAATCACATTGTAGGATTTTTAATGAATTTATTTGCAAATTATGGTGGAAAATAAGTATTTGGTCACCTACAAACAAGCAAGATTTCTGGCTCTCACAGACCTGTAACTTCTTCTTTAAGAGGCTCCTCTGTCCTCCACTCGTTACCTGTATTAATGGCACCTGTTTGAACTTGTTATCAGTATAAAAGACACCTGTCCACAACCACACGGGGGGACCTAGTGAATGACCTGCAGAGAGCTGGGACCAAAGTAACAAAGCCTACCATCAGTAACACACTACGCCGCCAGGGACTCAAATCCTGCAGTGCCAGACGTGTCCCCCTGCTTAAGCCAGTACATGTCCAGGCCCGTCTGAAGTTTGCTAGAGTGCATTTGGATGATCCAGAAGAGGATTGGGAGAATGTCATATGGTCAGATGAAACCAAAATAGAACTTTTTGGTAAAAACTCAACTCGTCGTGTTTGGAGGACAAAGAATGCTGAGTTGCATTCAAAGAACACCATACCTACTGTGAAGCATGGGGGTGGAAACATCATGCTTTGGGGCTGTTTTTCTGCAAAGGGATCAGGACGACTGATCCGTGTAAAGGAAAGAATGAATGGGGCCATGTATCGTGAGATTTTGAGTGAAAAGCAAGGGCATTGAAGACGAAACGTGGCTGGGTCTTTCAGCATGACAATGATCCCAAACACACCGCCCGGGCAACGAAGGAGTGGCTTCGTAAGAAGCATTTCAAGGTCCTGGAGTGGCCTAGCCAGTCTCCAGATCTCAACCCCATAGAAAATCTTTGGAAGGAGTTGAAAGTCCGTGTTGCCCAGCGACAGCTCCAAAACATCACTGCTCTAGAGGAGATCTGCATGGAGGAATGGGCCAAAATACCAGCAACAGTGTGTGAAAACCTTGTGAAGACTTACAGAAAACGTTTGACCTGTGTCATTGCCAACAAAGGGTATAAAACAAAGTATTGAGAAACTTTTGTTATTGACCAAATACTTATTTTCCACCATAATTTGCAAATAAATTCATTAAAAATCCTACAATGTGATTTTCTGGATTTTTTTTCTCATTTTGTCTGTCATAGTTGACGTGTACCTATGATGAAAATTACAGGCCTCTCTCATCTTTTTAAGTGGGAGAACTTGCACAATTGGTGGCTGACTAAATACTTTTTTTCCCCACTGTATGTAACTCCATTAAACTAAGGTGTCAGTGTTCCTACATATCAGTTGTCCTCCTCTCTCTCCCAGTGAGGCAGGAAGGTGTGTGTTGTGCCGCGCCTGCTGTGTTGAAGCCACCATGATGCCATGGCTGATCAGTGATCACCATCTCCACGGCAGGAAGGGAGGGAGGGGCAGACAGAACACACACACACACACACACAGACATATACTATCAGATCAGTTGGTATGAGCAGCCCTGGTGGCAGATGGCTCATTCCCTCCAAATCCTCCCTATACACCCCTCCCTGATCAGTAGAAGCTAAAGGGACTACTGACTCCTGTAGACAGCGAGTGACTGCTTGATGGCTCAATTAATGGCAGCAGCACACCACGTGATGGCCCCGCATGTGATAAGGAGGAGAGTAATGGCACACGGTTGAGGCTGGGAAGAGAGGAACTAAGAGCAGATACTGTTAAATCTATTCATGATTCATTATTCCTTGCTAGAGCTCAAAGCTCCCCTTGTCGTTTCTTGGTGCACTCTTGCTCTTTTTTTTTTTTTTGACTTTCACCCTCTCTCTGGCTCATCCTTTCTCTCTCTCTCTGGCTCATCCTTTCTCTCTCTCTCATCCTTTCTCTCTCTCTCTCTGGCTCATCCTTTCTCTCTCTCTGGCTCATCCTTTCTCTCTCTCTCATCCTTTCTCTCTCTCTCTCTCTGGCTCATCCTCTCTCTCGCTCTCTCTGGCTCATCCTTTCTCTCTCTGGCTCATCCTTTCTCTCTCTCTCTCTGTCTCATCCTTTCTCTCTCTCTCTCTCTCTCTGGCTCATCCTTTCTCTCTCTCTCTGGCTCATCCTTTCTCTCTCTCTGGCTCATCCGTTCTCTCTCTCTGGCTCATCCTTTCTCTCTCTCTGGCTCATCCTTTCGCTCTTGCTCTCATCCTTTCTCTTTCTCTGGCTCATTCTTTCTCTCTCTCTCCGGCTCATTCTTTCTCTCTCTCTCATCCTTTCTCTCCTGGCTCATCCTTTCTCTCTCTCTGGCTCATCCTTTCTCTCCCTGGCTCATCCTTTCTCTCTCTCTCTCTCCCATCCTTTCTCTCTCTGGCTCATCCTTTCTCTCTCTCTCATCCTTTCTCTCTCTGGCTCATCCTTTGTCTCTCTCTGGCTCATGCTTTCTCTCTCTCTCTCTCTCATCCTTTCTCTCTCTCTGGCTCATCCTTTCTCGCTCTCCGGCTCATCCTTTCTCGCTCTCCGGCTCATCCTTTCTCTCTCTCCGGCTCATCCTTTCTCTCTCTCTCTCTCTCTCTCATCCTTTCTCTCTCTGGCTCATCCTTTCTCTCTCTCTGGCTCATCCTTTCTCTCTCTCAGTCTCTCTGGCTCATCCTTTCTCTCTCTCTGGCTCATCCTTTCTCTCTGGCTCATCCTTTCTCTCTCTTTTTTTACTATCTCTTTTTCTCTCTCATATCACACTATTTAATTTCCCCTCACCCTCTCTCTGTTCTCTCTCAAATGTATCTCTTTCGCTCTCTTGCTCATCACCTCTCTCTCCCCCTCTCTCTTTTCCCTGTCTCAGCCCTCCTTCTCCCGTGTCCCCTGCCAGCAGGCTCCCTCCCCCTCTCTCTCTCCTCAGCTGCTCTCTTCGTCACTCTCATTCCCCCCCCCCATTCTTCCTCTCCCTCCCTCAATTCCTCTGTTTCTAGAGTAGCACAGGCATATCTCTGTTCATGTCTCCTCTGTGGTGACAGTAGAGCTGACAGTGGAGCTTTGCCCTGCCTGCCTGGCTACTGGCTAACGGCACATATTCACTATGGTTCTGGGTCCGTTTGGTTCTGTGCCTAGCTCTGGATCTGGGTCCAGTATGTGGACTGCTAAACACCACCGGACAGTTTCACTGCTCTCCGTGACGATGGAGTAGAATGAGCCTGTAAGTCACCTTGAATGAAGACGTCAGTCAAGTGGATAATGCGCCACAACGCACACAGAAAGGGACGTGGGGTGCCTGCCAGGACTCTGCTGCTCACACACACCAAACGAACGAACGAACGCACACACACACAAACACCCTACTGCGACGAACACACACTCTTTCAGAGAGTATGATAAATACTACAGTTCATGAGTGTGAAACAGTTTGAGGGTGTGTGTGTGTGATAGAGAGAGTGGCTTGTGTCAGAAAGGGCTGAGAGGGATGGTGACTGTGGTGTCTGCCCTATGCTGCTCCCTGTAAAGACCATTACTGGAAGAGACCAGACACAGACAACACACACAGTAATACTGACATACAGTAACGTCTCACTTACCTGCTTGTGCATCTCTATGTTCAGCCCATAGGACATCTCATAGTACTGTAGGGAGAGAGAAACAACAACATTCAATAAGTACACAGAGGTAATAGATTAAATATAATCAGGTGATCAGGTGTGTGTGGGTCTGTTCATGTGTGCATGGTGGAAATGTGAATGTGTGTATGTCGTTGTCAGTGTCTGTGTGTATGAGGCTGTGTTTGTCTGTCTCAGCACCAGTGTGGGTGTGTGTACACAGTAATAACTTCCATCCCGGGCTGGAGAGACGGGGGATCATTGTGACATAGCCAGTCTCAGCAGGCACATGAACAGCACTGAGAATGATTTCCATCCTGACTTCTCCCTCTCTCCCTCTCTCCCCCCCCCCCCCCCCCCCCCTCTCTCTCTCACTCCCTCCCTCCCCCTTCCTCTGTCTCTGTATCACTCTCTCTGTCTTTGTCTCTTCTCGCCCTCTCAGAATCTCTTTCTATCTCTCTCCATCTCTTGATCACTCTCTCTCTCTGGCGTATCTCTATCTGTTTCTCTCTCTCACACACACACACGTACGATGCATGCACACACGCGCGCTCACACAGTAGACACACATGCTCACACAGTACACACACACTCACACAGTAGACATACACGCTCACACAGTACACACACACGCTCACACAGTACACACACACGGTCCTCTTGAGCCTTCCTTCCTTTGTCCATCTCTGAATCCTCTCCTCTCTCCAGCATCATAAAAGCCATGTTCTTTTGTGCCATCTCTCCTCATCATGTCCTCCCTCCCTCTACCTCTCCATCCATTCCCCATCTCTCTCTTTTTCTCTTGCACTCTAACCATTCCTTTTAATTCTCTCTCTCTAACCATTCCTATTAATTCTCTCTCTCATATTAGATAAGTAGGTTCTGAGGACCAGTATGCTAATGTAGCCATGTACTGGACAATGTAAGCCTCTTCACAGAGCAGTCTGTATGGATGAATAAGGACTATGTAAAGGCTTTAGAATACTCTACATAGCATGCTATAGGCTGAAAGACACTGTGTATAAGGCTCTATAGAGAACCACCATTGCTGGACCCATGCAGAGAGGTGAACAATGTGGGAATGGAGTACTGTAATGAACATATACACAGAGTATACCAAACATTAAGAACCTTCCTAATACACAACCCATGTCTCATTTATCTCAAGACTTAAAACTCCTGTCTCTTCTCCTTCATCTACACTGATTGAAGTGGATTTAACAAGTGACATCAATAAGGGATCATAGCTTTGGATTAATCTGGTCAGTCTATGTCATGGAAAGAGCAGGTGTCCTTAATGTTTTGTACACTCAGTGTATATTTATGTATTTTATAATATGCATGGATTTATAAAGAATATGTCTTAATGTGTGTGTGTGTGTCTGTCTGTCTGTCTGTCTGTGTGAGGATACTCCTCAGGCAAAGTCAACACTGATAGAGAGGCAGGCTGAATTAATTAAATGGCATGAAAGATCAAGATACTATACCATCCACACATGATCCTTAGCATGCAACACACTGCACTACAAGGAATCTGTCCAGCTTAACCACACCAAAATACATCTCTGTCATGTCCTGCATATTCTCAATAATCTAATCTACCCTCATTCATTTGAATGGTTCACATTCCTATAACTCTCCAGACATACTATTCCAAGGATGTACTATCATTCTCAGCCGTATAAAAGAACAACGCTAAAATCCCCATGCAGGCTTATGATCCCAGGTGAAAAAAGAGAAGCTGAGCTAGCTAAGAGGCCCACACTACAAAACAACAGCAGGCAGCCACAGAGCTGTTCTTACATTTAACATTTTAGTCATTTAGCAAACGCTCTTATCCAGAGCGACTTACAGTTAGTGAGTGCATACATTTTCATACTGGCCCCCCATGGGAAACGAACCCACAACCCTGGCGTTGCAAGCGCCATGCTCTACCAACTGAGCTACAGGGGACTGATCAAGGCTGATCTCCTACAAACAGATAGCAGAGCAGAGCAGTGTTGTTGTAGCATTGTGCATGTTTCTCTGTTCTGTTTCTTAAATGGCTTCATCTTCCTAGCTGCCTGCCTGACTGTCAGCCCCCCGTCCCCCTCCTACTCCCCCACCGACCACCATTATATAATCTCCCTCTCGTGTCAGGGCATTCTCATTGAGCGCTATGTGTATAATACCTGGTGTATGCATGTGTATATTTGTGTCAGTCTGGAGCAGCTTGTGCACGACATGTGGCAGAGCGACAGACAGAAAGAGAGGGTGAGACAGAGATGAGGGTGTATGTCGCAGTATATAGGTTTGCCTGTGTGTGTGTGTGTGTGTGTGTGTGTGTGCGCGTGTGCGTTAACTGGATGGCGAGGATCCACCATGTGGCTGGGTGTGTGTGTGAGTGTGTTGGGCCCTCACGCTAGACCCTGCTGGGTCACTGTAGTGAGACGATGTCTGTTTGGCTAACTAATCTCTAGTCATGTGATAGTCCTAAACCATCGACAACATCACCCCCACTCAGGCTTTCTATTCCCTTCTCTAACACACAGTCATCTGAGCAACCAATGCATAAAGCAGTCAGTCCTTCATATTTTTCTCTCTCTCTCTCTCTCTCTCTCTTTCTCCCTCCCTCCATTTCAGTGTGACTCATCGTGTTGAGTGAGTGTCAGAGTCTCGCCAGCCAGCCAGTGTCTTTACTATTCTGTTAAATCTCCAGACTTGTGGAGTGCATCTAATCCAAGGTGATTTGGCTAAATGGTGTGTGCGTGTACGTAGACTGCACTGTTTATCAGCGTCCCTCAGGTGTGCCTTTCTCTCCACTTCTTTCTCTCTCCTCCCACAGCAACAGATACCATCAGTGTATTAATAAATTCATTAGCAAGCTGTTCTCACATGTCCTTAAGACTAGCGAGGTCTGACTTTTAGCTCTGTATTAACTCCACATAGGGAAATTGATTCATCATCAGAGTTGGAGAAATAACCAACCAAAATGGATTGACCTTGGAGTAGCCTTTCTCATTGGGCCTAGTATGAGGAGGCATATGTTGATGGTGCCACCAGCAGCCAATCTTTGTGAAGATGTGTGTTCTGCTGTGTTCCTGCATGTTATCAGACAGTCCAGGCAGGTTTAAGACTCTTAAAACAGCCACAATCCTCAGCTACATCTGGACCCTTTTCTTTCTCCCTAAATCCTCAGCTCACACTATCATATGTCTTAGAGACGGTTAGCTTACTGGGGAGCATTCATTTTACAATTCTATGCTCGTCCCTTCCCCTCTCCCCCTCTGCCCTGGTTCTCTCCTTCCTCCCCTCCCCTCTTCTGACACTCCCTCCATCTCTCTCTCCATCTCCCTCTCTCCATCTCTCTTTGGCAATCTGTGACTGTAATGTTCCTGAAGAGAGGACAGTTTGTCAGGCTGATTCAGACAGATAAGCTGGGGGTGGAGTAAGCAGCTAAGAGTAGTGCATTAATCCACCCCACTCACACACACACCCCTCCTGCGGGGTTATATAGCACGCAAACGCACATGAACACACAGGGTTACAGTGGATGTGTGACCACATGGATGGTCATTAAAACTGGAACCCTGCAGATCCCTTCTATTTCAAACACAAACACTACACACAAATACTAACACACACACACACACACACACACACACACACACACACACACACACACATAAAACCAACACAAATGACACAGACATATGCCAACCTCTTCTGTCTCCCTGTCTCAGGCCTGACACTGACAGACACCTCTCAGTCTCTGATTAGACAGTGAAACAATACGGTCTTATTTAAAGGCCCAGTGCAGTCAAAAACGTGATTTTTCTGTGTGTTATATATATTTCCACACTCTGAGGTTGGAATAGTACTGTGAAATTGTGAAAATTATGATAATGCCCTTTTAGTGTAAGAGCTGTTTGAAAAGCCTGCCTGAAATTTCAGCAAACCTCTGCCAATAACAGCTAGTTTAGATTTTCCCCCTCCCCACTCAGACCACTCCCAGACAGTCCTAGCAAAGTTCTTGCTTGAGAAATTGCCCTTTGCTAAGAAGCTATTTTTAATTATTTTTTTTACCATTTTAATTGAAAACAATCACAGTAAGGTACTTAATTGTTACCCAGAAATGATTTGATATCGAGATAAAAACGTCTGCAAATACAGATTCCAGGAGAGCTGGGAAATCTGAGCCCCATGAATTATAAATACAACAGCCAGAAGCACAAGGCGCCCACAGACACCCCTCTTGTGAGAGTGTGAGTGTGCGCGTGAGCGTGTTTGAGGAACACTGTGGTAACACACTGATCATGTCTCTGTAGACTACCACAGAAGACTAACAGAGACGGGTTCCATATAGCTTATGCATAAAGCTGCAGCGTGCGTTAACCAAACGTATAAAACACCCCTGCTGCCTGCTTATGCTTTGACCTTGTTTTATGGAGGCAACATTCCAATATTTTGCTCCAAATGAATCCTGATGTCTATTCCATGCTAAATATCATCATCATCAGCCGAGTCATAAGTCATTCCCTGGAAGTAGTACGTTAGCGGGCGGGAACATCACGTACCTTGTTTTTAAAGTTACAGAATAATGAATGACAGAAGCAGTCTAAAGAAAGACTGGGCTGCCTGTGCAAACAAGTCTTAAGTCTACTGTCTTAACTACCTAAATATAGCCTTCTGGTGTTAGCTCCACTGTGGAGCCACTGAGACCTTGTTACTTCACATTATTTACGTGTCTGTGCTCGCGCTCTCTTTCTCCATCCCTCTCTTTTCCTCCCATCCATCTCAGCCACTCTATCTTTGTCGTTCTCTGTCTATCTCTGTTGGTTTTGTCTCTCTGTCTGGCAGCCTCTCTTTTCTATTTTTTTCTCTCACTTTCTCACTCCTGAGCCCCTGTCCCTCCCTCTCACTTTCTGTTCCTTACACTCCCTCCCTCCAGATCACTGCCCATACAGTGGGGAAAAAAGTATTTAGTCAGCCACCAATTGTGCAAGTTCTTCCACTTAAAAAGATGAGAGAGGCCTGTAATTTTCATCATAGGTACACTTCAACTATGACAGACAAAATGAGAAAAAATAATCCAGAAAATCACATTGTAGGATTTTTTATGAATTTATTTGCAAATTATGGTGGAAAATAAGTATTTGGTCAATAACAAAAGTTTCTCAATACTTTGTTATATACCCTTTGTTGGCAATGACACAGGTCAAACGTTTTCTGTAAGTCTTCACAAGGTTTTCACACACTGTTGCTGGTATTTTGGCCCATTCCTCCATGCAGATCTCCTCTAGAGCAGTGATGTTTTGGGGCTGTCGCTGGGCAACACGGACTTTCAACTCCCTCCAAAGATTTTCTATGGGGTTGAGATCTGGAGACTGGCTAGGCCACTCCAGGACCTTGAAATGCTTCTTACGAAGCCACTCCTTCGTTGCCCGGGCGGTGTGTTTGGGATCATTGTCATGCTGAAAGACCCAGCCACGTTTCATCTTCAATGCCCTTGCTGATAGGAGGTTTTCACTCAAAATCTCACGATACATGGCCCCATTCATTCTTTCCCTTACACGGATCAGTCGTCCTGGTCCCTTTGCAGAAAAACAGCCCCAAAGCATGATGTTTCCACCCCCATGCTTCACAGTAGGTATGGTGTTCTTTGGATGCAACTCAGCATTCTTTGTCCTCCAAACACGATGAGTTGAGTTTTTACCAAAAAGTTATATTTTGGTTTCATCTGACCATATGACGTTCTCCCAATCCTCTTCTGGATCATCCAAATGCACTCTAGCAAACTTCAGACGGGCCTGGACATGTACTGGCTTAAGCAGGGGGACACGTCTGGCACTGCAGGATTTGAGTCCCTGGCAGCGTAGTGTGTTACTGATGGTAGGCTTTGTTACTTTGGTCCCAGCTCTCTGCAGGTCATTCACTAGGTCCCCCTGTGTGGTTCTGGGATTTTTGCTCACCGTTCTTGTGATCATTTTGACCCCACGGGGTGAGATCTTGCGTGGAGCCCCAGATCGAGGGAGATTATCAGTGGTCTTGTATGTCTTCCATTTCCTAATAATTGCTCCCACAGTTGATTTCTTCAAACCAAGCTGCTTACCTATTGCAGATTCAGTCTTCCCAGCCTGGTGCAGGTCTACAATTTTGTTTCTGGTGTCCTTTGACAGCTCTTTGGTCTTGGCCATAGTGGAGTTTGGAGTGTGACTGTTTGAGGTTGTGGACAGGTGTCTTTTATACTGATAACAAGTTCAAACAGGTGCCATTAATATAGGTAACGAGTGGAGGACAGAGGAGCCTCTTAAAGAAGAAGTTACAGGTCTGTGAGAGCCAGAAATCTTGCTTGTTTGTAGGTGACCAAATACTTATTTTCCACCATAATTTGCAAATAAATTCATTAAAAATCCTACAATGTGATTTTCTGGATTTTCTTTTCTCAATTTGTCTGTCATAGTTGACGTGTACCTATGATGAAAATTACAGGCCTCTCTCATCTTTTTAAGTGGGAGAACTTGCACAATTGGTGGCTGACTAAATACTTTTTCCCCCCACTGTACAGTAGGCATCACAGACACAGATGGTAGAGACCATTCCTCAGATCTAACCTCAACCACAGCCATTCATAGGCTACTCAACATAATGTGTACTGTATGTACACCAATATACAATGCCAAGAAAAATTATTTGCACCCTTTGTGATTTTCTCTATTTGTGATACTGAATGTTATCAGATCGTCAACCAAAACCTAATATTAGATAAAGGGAACCTGAGTTTACAAATAATTAAATAAATATATATTTTTTGGTTAACAAAGTTCTGCAACATCCAGTTCCCCTGTGTGAAAAATTAATTGCCCCCTTACTCTCAATAACTGGTTGTGCCACTTTTAGCTGCAATGACTGCAACCAAATGCTTCCTGTAGTTGTTGATCAGTCTCTCACATCGCTGTGGATGAATTTTGGCCCACTCTTGCATGCAGAACTTCTTTAACTCAGCGACATTTGTGGGTTTTCAAGCATGAACGGCTCGTTTCAAGTCCTGCCACAACATCTCAATTGGGATTAGGTCTGGACTTTGACTAGGCCATTCCAAATGTATACTTTGTTGCTTTTTAACCATTTTCATGTAGACTTGATTGTGTGTTTTGGATCATTGTCTTGCTGCATGACCCAGCTGTGCTTCAGCTTCCACTTACAGACGGATGGCCTGACATTCTCCTGTAGAATTCTCTGATACAGAGCATAATTCATGGTTCCTTCTATTAAGGCAAGTCGTCCAGGTCCTGAGGCAACAAAGCATCCCCAAACCATCACACTACCACCACCATGCTTGACCGTTGGTATGAGGTTCTTACTTTGGAATGCAGTGTATCGTTTTTGCCAGACATAAATGGGACCCCTGTCGTCCAAAAAGTTATACTTTTGACTAGTCTGTCCATAGAACATTCTTCCAAGAGTCTTGATGAACATCCAGGTGCTTTCAGGTACTTTTTGGCAAACTTGAGTCAACTTTTTGGACCAGATGGGTCCTATTATGTCTGGCGAAAACCAAACACTGCATTCCACAGTAAGAACCTCATACCAACGGTCAAGCGTGGTGGTGGTAGTGTGATGGTTTTGGGGATGCTTTGCTGCCTCAGGAATTGGGTGTTGCATAACTTTTATAAAATATATATTTTAGGTTTAGGTTGAAGATCTGTGGACCCCAGGAAGAGTAGCTGCTGCTTTCGCAACAGCTAATGGGGATCCTAATAAAATACCAAAAATACTCAAAAATAGAGAAAATCAGAAAGGGGGCAACTACTTTTTCACAGCACTGTACATTACATGCATTCGGAAAGTATTCAGACCCCTTGATGTTTTCCACATTTTGTTACAGCCTTATTCTAAAATTGATGACAAAGCAAAAACTTAAAACATTTTTGCAAATGTATTAAAATATACAAAACTGAAATATCACATTTACATAAGTATTCAGACCCTTTACTCAGTACTTTGTTGAAGCACCTTTGGCAGCGAATACAGCCTTGAGTCTTCTTGGGTATGATGCTATAAGCTTGGCACACCTGTATTTGGGGAGTTTCTCCCATTCTTCTCTGCAGATCCTCTCAAGCTCTGTCAGGTTGGATGGGGAGCGTTGCTGCACAGCTATTTTCAGGTCTCTCCAGAGATGATCGATCGGATTCAAGGCCGGGCTCTGGCTGGGCCACTCAAGGACATTCAGAGACTTGTCCCGAAGCCACTCCTGCGTTGTCTTGGCTGTGTGCTTAGGGTCGTTGTCCTGTTGGAAGGTGAACCTTCACCCCAGTCTGAGGTCCTGAGCTCTCTGGAGCAGGTTTTCATCAAGGATCTCTCTGTACTTTGCTCCATTCATCTTTCCCTCGATCCTGACTAGTCTCCCAGTCCCTGCCGCTGGAGAACATCCCCACAGCATGATGCTGCCACCACCATGCTTCACCGTAGGGATGGTGCCAGGTTTCCTCCAGACGTGACGCTTGGCATTCAGGCCAAAGAGTTCAATCTTGGTTTCATCAGACCAGAGAATCTTGTTGCTCATGGTCTGAGTCGTTAAATGCCATTTGGCAAACTCCAAGCGGGATTTCATGTGCCTTTTACTGAGGAGTGGCTTCCGTCTGGTCACTCTACCACAAAGGCCTGATTGGTGGAGTGCTGCAGAGATGGTTGTCCTTCTGGAAGTTTCTCCCATCTCCACAGAGGACCTCTAGAGCTCAATCAGAGTGACCATCAGGTTCTTGGTCACCTCCCTGACCAAGGCTCTTCTCCCCCAATTGCTCAGTTTGGCCAGGCGGCCAGCTCTAGGAAGAGTCTTGGTGGTTCCAAACGTCTTCCATTTAAAAACAATGGAGGCCATTGTGTTCTTGGGGACCTTCAATGCTGCAGACATTTTTTGGTACCCTTCCCCAGATCTGTGCCTCGACACAATCCTGTCTCGGAGCTCTACGGACAATTCCTTTGGTTTTTGCTCTGACATGCACTGTCAACTGTGGGACCTTATATAGACAGGTGTGTGCCTTTCCAAATCATGTCCAATCAATTGAATTGACCACAGGTGGAATCCAATCAAGTTGTAGAAACATCTCAAGGATGATCAATTGAAAGAGGATGCATTTTAGCTCAATTTTGAGTCTCATAGCAAAGGGTCTGAATACTTATGTAAATAAAGTATTTATGTTTTTCATTTTTAATACATTTGCTAAAATGTCTAAACCTGTTTTTGCTTTGTCATTATGGGGTATTGTGTGTAGATTGATGAGGATTTTTATTTATTTAATCAATTTTAGAATCAGGCTGTAACGTAACAAAATGTGGAAAAGGTCAAGGGTTTTGAATACTTTCCGAATGCACTGTATATACTCTTAGAAAAAAAGGTGCTATCTAGAACCTAAAAGGGTTCTCGGCTGTCCCCATAGGAGAACCCTTTGAAGAACCCTTTTTGGTTCCAAGTTGAACCCTTTTGGTTACAGTTAGAACCCTTTTGAGTTCCATGTAGAGCCCTTTACACAGAGGATTCTACACGGAACCCAAAAAAGTTCTACCTGGAACCAAAAAGGGTTATCCTATGGGGACAGCCGAAGAACCCTTTTGGAACCCTTTTTTCTAAGAGTGTACATGCATATCTGACCTGCCCCAGCTATCCTCCATCTCTATGGAGACCAGGGAGTCCAACACTAGGGAAAAGCCTTAATTCGCCGACGTTTTAGCCTATTTCTTCCTGCTTTTGACCAATAGTCCTGTGGTCACAAAGGTCATGACATTTAGTATGTATGTGTGAGGGTTGATCAAATGTCACTGACTGCCCCCAGTCTATAACACAGAGTACACTGAAGTCTCTCCTCATATTGGAGTAAAGGCTCCTACACATCTATCCAACTGCCGCCAACTCAACCATCCATCAAACCCTGCAAACGTGAAATCATCCATAAAGTACAGCCTCTCACAGTCACAGAGAACAGTCTGTGATTACTCTTAGTCTGAGGTAGTGTCTGTCTGTCTGTCTACCATTGTGCACTGCCCTTCCCTTTCGCTCTCTTTCTTCCGTCTCTCTCTCTCTATCACTCACTCCCTCCCTTTGATGAAATGGGAGCTGCTCAGCAGATGGTTCATATCGTATTCAGGTTCTGTCCTCACTGTGTTTGTACCACAGACATAGACATAGTTATTAACATACAAGTCTTTAGGCAGACAGACTGTGGAGGGGCTCAAGCTGTTGCAGAGGGAGTGAGAGAGAGAGATGTTCTGCTCAGAGTCTCATCCTCCTAACTCAAGATGATGCTCCTCAACAAGCTAGAATCAGGGATGGGCAACTCCAGTCCTCGGGGGGCCTGATTGGTGTCACACTTTTGCCCCAGCCCCAGCTAACACACCTGACTCCAATAATCAACTAACCATGATATTCTGTTTAGAACGCAATTAGTTTAATCAACTGTGTTTGCTAGGGATGGGGGAAAAGTGTGACACCGCTCCGGCCTCCAAGGACTGGAGTTGCCCATTCCTGGGCTAGATATTTTTCTATGTTGGCGTAGTGGAGAGGGGTATATTTGTAAAGGCAGACTGAGACTTCCCTCTCCACGTTGTCTGATTGATGCCTGTGAACCAGCGGTGGTGCGTAGGTGTAAATAGAATAGAACTTACCATGATGTAGTGTCTCTGCATCTCTGTCTTCTCACTGGCCAGCTTCTCACACTCCAGTTTCAGGCTGTAGAGAAAGAGAGAGAACACACACACACACACACGTCAACAAACTGATCTAAGGCAGGACCTACCCTGCTGCAGCTCAACCTGAATCTCTCCTTTGTGTCAAAGCTGAAAAAAGGTTATGGGTCTAGATCAATTAGACAAAGAGACCGATGGGATCCAGGCTGCAGTAGGAGAACAACGTTAGTTTCAGCACACTGTTCACTGCTGTGACGAGAGAGTTATGGCCATGAGTATTCAGCTCATGCTGTGAAGCTGGGCTCTCAGCACCAAGGTCACTGTCTGGAGGTCAACTCTTCTCTGCTATGATATGGAAGAATAGACCAATATCACCACACCCTGCTAGCCTGTGACATCGAGCATAGGAGTCGGCAAAACAGCACAAACAGATCTGGGACCAGGCTTGCACCCTGCCACTGTGCCAGGAAGACTATGATGGATAAGATTAGAATCTCTACCTGCATTTGATCTGCCTGTGTATGACTGTGTTATATCAACCATATAGTTCACTGCACCCGTCCTTGGCTTTCACATACACCACATACAGTATTATTAAGCCTGACGTTTAATCTAGATCGTGTAATATTCCACAGACTAATAAGTGGAGCAGTAGAAGTGCGGCAGTGGTTCCCAGGGGGATCCCCCAGTCCTTTGGAGAGAGGAGGGGCAGTTCCCGCCTGAGGTACATACATTCATATAGGACACAATCCTCAGACTCCCATCTTCAGACACACAGATACATGGATAGCACAGACTTTTACTTCTATTGTGCATAAACATCAATACACGATAGAAGTAAAAGTCTGTGCTATCCATGTATCTGTGTGTCTGAAGATGGGAGTTTTGGATTGTGCCTACATACGCCTGCATGGGGTAAGATGGAGGGTGGTGTGTATATACTATCTGTATAGTCTATAAGGGCCTGAGGTGAGGTGGAGGGTAGAGTATACAGTACCTGTGGTATTGAGCCTGGAGGAACTGGAACTCCTCCTTGATGCGGTCCAGGGTCTCCAGGACTGTGAACTTGAAAGACTGGCCAGGCTGAACAGGGACCTGGGGGAGAGAAAAGAAAGGAGAGAGAGGAAAGAAGAAGGGAGAGTAAGGTCACTTCAACACACACCATAAAAAAAACATTGTCGTTGCGCTCTTTATCTCTCTGCCCCCCTCTTTCACAAACACTCTCTCGCTCTTCTCTCTCCTACCACCCTCTTCTTCTCTCCCGTTTCCTTCTCCTCTCTCTCTCCTGACTGTCTCCCTCCCCCCTCTCACATTAGCATCTCTTTCCTCTCCTCCCTCTCTCCTCACCTCCCTCTCTCCTCTGCTAGGATGCTTTTTTCTAATGTATTCCTGCCTACAAAGCTCTGAGAAGGGAAAATGTCAAATGAATAACTCATGGTGAATCACAAACATTAAAACGGCACTGTCTTTCACCTGCTAAAAGCAAAGAATCTCAACAAATGCCCCCCAGGAGAACCCTGCTTCCCCCTGGAGCCCGTCTGAAGCACTTTAGGTGTTGTTCCCCTCGCTGTGTAGTTGGGGGAACACAAACACAGCAGGGATGTTGTTTTAGAGGCAGAGCGATATAACCGGGAAGGAGGTGGTTGTGGGGGGTGGAGCAGTTAGCTTATTAGTGCCGGCTATGCAGCATGATAAATGTTCATTGGATGGGGGCAGGGTAAGTGTCTGTTGAGGTGGGGGGGGGGGGGTGGGGGGGGGATGTCCATAGGGGGAGCAGTAAGGAAGTCCGGGGGTGCAGGAGGGGGACTAGGACTATGATCTGGAGGTAGAAGCTATTGGCCAGTCTTTCAGTTTTTACCATGATGCTCCTGTACTGCCCATGTCTGTGTGATGGAAGCAGGATGAACAGTACATGGCTCGGGTGGATGGGGTCCCTGATGATCTTCTTGGCCTTCCTGTGACACCTGGTGTTGTAGGTGTCCTGGAGGGCAGCAGAGTGCACCCAATGGTGCATTCGGCTGAACGTATCACGCCCTGTAGCGCCTTGTGGTCAGCGGCGGTGGAGTTGTCGTACCAGGCTGTGATGCAGCCCAACAGTATGCTCTCAATGGTGCTCCTGTAGAACACTGAGGGCCCTTGGGGACAGGCTGAATTTCTTCAGCCTCCTGAACTTGAAGCTTTTGACCGTCTCCATGGCAGCCCCATTGATGAGGATCGGGGCGTGCCCAGCCTGGTTCCTCTTGAAGTCCACAATCAGCTCCTTTGATTTGCTGACATTGAGGGAGAGGTTGTTGTTTACTTGGCACCACTCTGTCAGAGTGCCTACCTCCTCTCTGTAGGCCGTCTCGTCATTGTTGGTAATCAGGCCTACTACTGTCATGTCGTCAGCGAACTTGATGATGGAGTTGGACCTGTGTGAGGCCATGCAGTTGTGGGTATACAGGGAGTACAGGAGGGGACTGAGGACGCACCCTTGTGGGGCCCCCGTGTCGAGGATCAGTGTGGAGGAGGTAATGTTGCCTACCTTCACCACCTGGGGGCGGCCCATCAGGAAGTCCAGGACCCAGTTGCATAGGGAGGAGTTCAGTCCCAGGGCCATGAGCTTTGTGGTGAGCTAAGGGGGCACTATGGTATTAAAAGGCCCTGCTGTAATCGATGAACAATATCCTCCCATATGCATTCCTTTTCTCCAGGTGGGTGAGGGTAGTGTGCAGTGAAACAGCGATTGCGTCATCCGTGGAACTGTCGGGCGGTAGGCGAATTGGAGAGGGTTGAATGTGTCAGGGAGGGAGGAGGTGATGTGGTCATTGACGAGCCTCTCGAAGCACTTCATGATGATGGAAGTGAGTGCTATGGGTCGGTAGTCATTCAGTTCAGTTATTTTCCCTTTCTTGGGCACTTTGTAGCTGAGGGGATGGAAGTGTCATGAGGGAGGGACATACTACTGAAACACACATACAGGCACGTGCACGCACACACGCACACACACAACTGAGGCTAAAAAGATCATGCATTACATTTGACATTTTAGTCATTTAGCAGACGCTCTTATCCAGAGCGACTTACAGTTAGTGAGTGCATAAATGTTTCATACTGCCCCCCCGTGGGAATCAAACCCACAAACCTGCCATTGCAAGCGCCATGCTCTACCAACTGAGCTATAGGAGGCCCTATGCATGCCATTGCTCAGTGTTATTCAACCAAATACTCCCGATCAGTGGTGTAGGCTGCTTACCTCACCTCACACGCCATGACCTCACTTTAGTCTGCACAACTCTATCTGTCCATCTCTCTCCCTCCTCTCATTCCCTCACTCCATCCCTCTCTCACCACACCCAGCCCTGAGAGCCAATATCAGACTGCTCCCCTTTGCCCTTCTCCGCTCCACCTCTTTACCCTCTCTATCTTCTCTCTGCCTTTTTCCTCCCCCTTTCTTTCCCTTCTTCCCACAGCATAGGGTGCGAATCCTGTCTGTCCAGAGGCTAGCTAGGTGGCTAAAAGATTGCCTGTTTCAGTAGGAGCTTAATTAGTCTAGACAAGGAAATTCAATTAAATTTCAATTAGGCTAATGGTGGAGGTCAGACACTCTGTGGGCTTTCCAGTAATTAAGCTGAGGGTTGTGCAGCTCAGTTTGTCCCTAGTGCTGTGGCTGTGTGGCGGCTTCCTGGACTGATGGGCTCCACTCAGTACACAACCCCTGAGGGGGAGGGGCGGCTGCCGACTGAGCCCCACTGACCTTCATTCATACCATACTGTTCTGACACACACGCAGGGGAGGGGGGAGGGAGGGAGATATGCCATCTCTTCTCTAACAAATCGTCCGAACAGACAGTTGACCACCACAGACTACATTCCAGACTGACCACTGTCCATTTTACATCAGCACTCACTCACAATAACACATTCCTCAATGTAGTCAGGTTTTCTGTATGGGTCAGGTTGTGATTGTCTGTCTCAGACAGAGAGAGATATGACTATAGACCCAGCGGGTTCTCATCTCAGTGTGGCTCAGTTGGGCCCTGGTGGTGTCAGACAGCATGGGGGATCCTGAAACACCAAACAGATCCGGTTAATCTAGGAGAGGAGGGGAGGGAGGGAGGGGGGAGACAGACAGGCCAGCCATGTGGGACGACAGCAGTCAATCACAATTTAGAGGAGCTGGAGCAGAGCTGGAGCAGGGTGAGCCGAGAATTTAGAAGGATTATCTATGGGTGGGGGGGTGGAGGCAGGGAGAGAGGGAGGGGAGAGACAGGGCCAGGAGATCACATAACAGTACAGAGCCGGCAGCTGGGCCACAGCCCTCCTCCCTCCGTCCGTCCACTCATCACTCCCCCTAATCTGTCCATCAATCACTGGGGGAAACATTTGATTTAGGCCGCTGTTTCTGGGCTGAAACAGATGCGGGTCTAGGACTGATCGGGACTGCAGAGCGTCTGTCTGCTCTGTGGCATACTTTCTGTTCTGCCACCCTGCCCGCTCCCTCTCTCCCTCCCTCAGTCTTTCTCTCTCCATCTCCCTCTCTGGCTCTCTCTTTCTCTGTTTCAGACAGGCTGGGGAGAGAGATGTTCAGAGGGGCATGAAATAATCATCTGCTGGTGAAATATTTAGGGTAAAGGCACATGAATAGATGAAGAGTACCAAGTGTAGAAGGGAAGTGTTCATGTGATCTCCGGTGTAGGAAACGTGTGTGGGTGGGTGGGTGTGTCCTACACATCACTCCTGTTCTCTCTTTTTATTTTTCCCTCCACTCTTTCTCCTCTGGGTGTCCCCCTCTCTCCTCTTGGTCTGGTGTCTCCATCTCTTCTGTCCCGCTCTCTCCTCTCGGTCTGTTGTCTATCTCTTCTCCTTACTTCAGGAGTTATAGAGCTCTGGTCTGGGTCTGTCCTGTGTAAAGGCTGGCTGATAGCAGGCTCCAGGAGGCTCGACTTTGTAGGGACTAGGGCTAGTGGGGTGGGACACACCCACCAAAGTCCTAAGAGGAGTAGAGGATGAGGACACACACTTTCAGGGCAGTCAGCAGCAACATCTTAGCTGGAGCGGAGCCCTCATTTATCACTTGAAGGTTTTGATACATTTTAGTAATTTAGGGTTAAGTGTCTTGCTCAAGGGCACAGACAGATTTTTCACCTAGTCGGCACGGGGATTCGAACCAGCAACGTTTTGGTTACTGGCCCAATGCTCTTACTTGCTAAGCTACCTGCCGCCCTTTGATACCATGGCACTAGCCAGCCTGCCACTTAGTCACAATACATTGTGGTGAGAGGCAAAAGCCAACGCCATCCAATACTGGATTAGAAATGGAAGGATTGGCGGTGAAAAGAGGGCTTGGAGTGGATCCAAAATTTGGTCAGATCAGCTCTTTTTATAAAAACCAACAAAGGCTTTGACTGAGGGGAGAATGAGTGTAAGGATTGGAGAGCACAGTTAATTTGGATTGATGTGTTCATAATTGACTTCATAAAGAACCTGTTTGTTATCTGAAATGTAAACAGGTAACAGTATGGATGAAGATGATGGTTACATCTGCCAGAAAATATCCATGATGTACCTGTATTTAATTAAAATCCTGATGCATGAACAGGAAAACAAGCTCCACAATACAGATGTATCCAGAGGAAAACAGGCGAACAACCCAAAAGCAAGAGAGAGCTAACGCACGCACACCACCACTCGCCCTAACCTAATTAAGGGAACATATGTGATTTGTGCAGCCAGATATTTGGCGTTGGTTTGTTTACTTGGCCGTAAAAACAAAGTGTTACCCTGAGAGGCGCAGAGAAGTGAGACCAGACCCAGTACACAGACAGCTCCCAGCTAGAGTATTAATATGGACCTATTGGTCAGGAGGTGGAACACATAGGCCAGACTTAAGGCTAGATTTACTAGGCAGATGAGAGATTACTGCTGTAACACTGGCACCCTGGTGAAGCAGTTAGTAGTATGCTCTCTGTCCCTGCTGTATACACACACACTGGACCTGTGTCCCTGTCTGCCTGTGGTATGTCCCCTCCTGTGTGAGTCTACTCCCATTAAATCAGGATCAGTCCAGGGCCAGATCAACTCTCTCCAGACACCTATCACAACAGTCTCTGGGGGGGTCGTTCAGTCAACAAACACACACACACACACAACTCAGTCTAAGCGTGCAGGAGCTAATGTCCACCACCCAAGCCTGCAACATCCAAAAAACAAAAACAAAACTCTGAACTGCACCAACAAAAATATGTCAACTACAAGGATTCTGTCTGTGTTTAACATAGTGTAATGCCATGTTCATTTTAGTCCATGCTGTGAGTCCCTACAGGTAAAGACAGAGTGGTCTAGTCAGTGGATGTACTGAGAATCAGCTAGTGTTTCACAGACCTCAAAGTAGACTTTAGCTTTAGCACAAATCTAGGCTCAGATTACCTACCATACCTCTAATTTTAAACTCATTAGGGGGGTTGTAGTGGTTGTGGCAACTGCTACCTACTCTGTCTATGTAGATAAGGACCGTGTCCATCTATCCATCTATCCACTATCAGGCCTGCCTCCCATGGCTCTTGCTGCAGCGGTTGGAAATGTGTGTTTGGTAACTGTGGAAACTCAGGGCGTGACAGCTCAAGCATTCACAGCCTGGTTTTATTGTTCTAGGCCTGGGCTGGCGGTGGTTCACAGTAGGGTGGGCGATATTACGATAGTATCGTCTATTGAGGTCAGCCATCGTCAATGGTGACGACATTGTGATGTGACAGACTATACTTAACCCATTTCAACATGACTGGCCATGCAGTGCACAGCAGGGCAGTGCATGGGTGACAGTCTGAGTAAATTGCCTATATTCCTATTTGCTATCGCCCATTTAAATTAATATGTTTTATTTACAGAATGCAACAGAACAATGTAGACATGGCTAAGTTCCACCAAAGCAGCGCTAAATGTCTGGTCAGAAAATATGTTTTCGTTTTTTCTCTCTCTCCAATAGTGGATGATTTTTCCCGCTGTGCTATTTCATGATCAAACAATGAATCTATCTCAGAAAGTTTTAAAGGTGCTACATATTGCATTTCTCCCCCATGTGTAAGCTATGTGAATTGCAAGAACACTAGGCCGCATTCAAAACAAATCTCCCCCTCCTCCGCATCTCATTTCACCTTAACATGGTGGAGACTCACGCTTCAGTTTTTACTTTCGGTTTCGTCCACCAGTTTTAAAACCGATGTAAAAACTATATTTTTAGTTATAGAAAATATATTTCACAGTGATTTAGATGGTACAATGATTCCCTACACTATTCAGTGCTACACTATTTTTTTCTCTCACATAAACTGAAATTGAGCGGACTGTGTAGATTTTTAGCATCCAGGAAATGACCATTGGTCCCTTTCCCGGTTTCCACTAGATAAACACAGCCAAAACAGTTTTCCCATTTTGTCAACAGAAGCCAGCAATAGGCGAATATCACAACACCATGAAACACTATCATTCCACTATTATACTGTGAAACACTATCATTCCACTATTACTGCAGATATATGATGGACATTTCAGAAATTACATTGCAAAAATATAAATCCTATGTGTAGCACCTATACATTGTTTTTGAATAACCTACAAATATGGTAGGCTTAAGGTAATAATGAGAGAGAGAAAACAAACAATAGCAAGATAGAAACATCTAATGAGAAATGTTAACAAACCTGACAGTTGAGCAAAGCAGTATATGAGAGAAAATATGCTTGCGTGCATGCATGCATGCAAGGCCGAAAAAAAATCCCTCCTTGACATTGTGAAACAAACGGGCAAAATCCTAATAATTTAAATAACATAAAAGCATTAAGACAAATTAAGTTATGAAAGCAAACAATACAAAGATGGAAAAATCGAATGAGAAGTCTAAAGAAAACTGAGGCTACAGCTGAGGAAAGTTTATGAAATAACACGATGTGTAAACTAGTTCGCCTGGGCCTATTTCCATATTATTCTAGCAATGTACAACCTACCTTCAAAGCCTAGTACCCTAGACCTAATAAGAGAGGATTAGGCTAAAATGCTAAACAGTTTTTAATTATCCAGTTCTGAGGACAGCAGAGTTGCTTGTTCTGTCTGCAGCCCATGATGATTTACAACCCATTGCACAATGCACAGCCAGCGAGGCTCTTTGACAGTGTCACTCGCTCTATTTGCGCGCTGCAGCACACACATACATGCCCACACACACCCCAGTCGTGCCACAGATTCACTAAATATATTTGGTCAATGTCGGGATTTATCTCATCCCTCCCATAGCATGCGAGCTCGCGCTGGCATCTTTTAAAAACGTGTTTCTGGGGGGGGGGGGGCTATACCAGAGTATAGCAATAGGGGGCTATACCAGAGTATATCACGATGTTTAATGAGTACATAATAATGATGTGACAAAGATTGACATCGCCCAACCGTAGTTCACAGAGCAGTTCCTCACTTCAGCCACAAGCATCCAGTGGAACCAATTATGTTAGACTGTTTCTGTTTGCCTTGTAAAGCAGCCCTGGGTTTAACCCTTTAGGAGGACCACTGAACAGAGAACAATGTCTCTTTTCCGTCACAGGAGTCAACACATCACAGTGGTGTTGCCATGTCTATGTGGTTTATGTTTTCAGTTATCATTTCAAAAGGCCAGTGACATTTGTGAGTGATAGGGGAGATGGAGGCCCTTTCTTCTCTTCTTGGTCTTGGATGGTACATACAGGATGTATACAGATACCGCTAGTCAAGTCCAGTGAGTCTGACGTTTAAATTATCTGGACATTCATATGTTTCATTGATACAAAATAAGACATTGATTGATAGGATATTAATAGTATAACAAGATGAGGCTTGGGATACATACAAAACATGACTACCTTTGGAAAATGAGATGCAAAGAAACTAGTCTCTTGACAGTAATGGGTACAAGGGGCTATTTCAAAGTCTACGCAGTCACCCTCTTTTCCTCATTCTCTCTCAAGCTCACACACACACACGCACACGTTCCTTGCACCCTCACTCTGTGCTGTAGATCCCATTACACCAGTAGGCAGCAGAAGTACAATTCCACTGGCAGCAGCAGTATGTATTGATCTGTTAAGGTTGGCTCAATCTGGAACCAAACTTTATCACAAACACCGTACAACTCTGAACAAAATCTCTGAAGGGACTAAAGAGAACAGAGACTGAGTATAGTCCTATAACCTGTGTGATCTCCTATTCATTTCCATTTCTAATTCACAATGCCTCGGTTCTCTTTCAATCTTGCTTCCATTCTATTCCACTGATTTGCATTCTCTCTGTACATATAATTGATTTCACATGCCCCCTCTTCTGAAAATGTCGGCTATAATTCTCTGTGATTGCAGGCTGAAAACGGAGTGTTCACTGACACATTTGCACCAGATACAAAGACACGGACAACAAATCTGACTATAGAAACTAGACCTCGTATCTCTCTTTCCGCCTCTCTCGCATGTATGGTCAAAGCTACCCCCTCTTCCAGCTTCATCCTTCAGTTCCTAATACTGTAGTTCAGTAAATAATGAGAGGAGGGTGGTAGGGAGAGAGGGGACTGAAGGGAATACCTTCCACTGCCTTCTAACACACTATCCTTGGACACATAAACAAAGATACAGCACAGAGCGCACGCACACACACACACACACACACACGTTTGTTTTACTATCCAAACAATTGATTCCCATTCAAAATCCTATTTTCCCTAACCCTAACCCTCAACCTAATCTCAACCCTAACCTTAACCCCAAACCCTAACCCTAATTGTAACCCCTAAGCCTAAAATATACCTTTTTCCTTGTGGGGACTGGCGAAATCCCCACAAGGATAGTAAAACCACACACACACCCACCCTCCCCTGTCTTTCCCCTGTCAGCTGCACCCAGGTGCTGTTGAGAGGTAGTTGAAAGGTAGTTGTGTGGGTGGTATAGCTGACTCTCACATCACTCGTGTGTGTGTATATGTGTGTGTGTGTGGGTGTGACTGCATGCGTGTGTTTGTGTGTGTGTTAGAAGGAATCTCTTCATACACCCTAACTGTTCCATGTTTCTGTCCCTCTCAGTGCAGTCCCCATCTCTGTCCCTCTCAGTGCAGTCCCTGTCTCTATCCCTGTCACTGAACAGTCCCCGTCTCGGTCTCTCTCAGTGCAGTCCCCGTCTCTGTCCCTCTCAGTGCAGTCCCCGTCTCTGTCACTAAGCAGTAGTCAGATAAAGAGAAAAAGAGGGCCCACTTACCGGATGCCTGCCCTGAGGGTACATGGTCCCAGGAGAGGATATGTTCACAGTCTGTTTGATGGCCAGGTCAGTGCCCGTCCCCTGGCCCTCAACTCCTCTGCCCTCCACCAGGAACACAGCCCAGTCCAGAGCTTTCCCCCTGCTTTGGTGTGGTCTCAGGCAAGGTTGGAGAGAGCAGTCCTCCCTCCTGCCCAGTCCTGCTCTCTTCTCTTCTTTCCGTTCAGCTCTGCTCTGTCTCTGTCTGACACGGAGCCTGTCGACACAGCTGGGAGAGCTCTGTCTGTCAGTGCATCCGTCAAACGAGTCTCACGGTAAAACAAATCCCCACACTCACACTCAGGCTCCTTTTCCTTCTTCCCGTTTCCTCGGTATAACCAAAGTCTCACTCTCGTTTCTCTCTCTCTCGCTCTGTGATCAGTTAGAGTCCACACGCACTGACATGGCAGTGAAGCTTGAGCGTTACACCCAAGTACCCCCTCTTTCCTGTCCCTTCACCAACCCCTCCAACAAGATACAAACACTACACTCCTCCATCCAAATTCACCTACAATCTACAGTACCTCCAGCCCTCTTCTTCTCATAGGAGAGAGCAGAACCTGAAACTGAAGGGTTGCCTTCTCTGTTGGAATACAAAATAAATAAAGAAAAGAGGGTGAAAAACTGACAGAGAGCGAGCTTTGCCTTTAATCTAAATAAAAAAAATAAAAAAACAGGAAAGCAGGAAAGAACAGCAGGTCACTAGAAGATCCAGTAGGATTTTCAGCAGGGAGCCCTAGACTGTAATATATTGTGCCTGTTGGCTTCAACATAAACAAGACAGCCTGCTAAAGCTCCCTTTAAGGTGGAGCGGCTGGGATACAGTGACACCAACACGGAGATATATAGAGATCCCCTTTCAATTGTAGTCAGATGGACAAAGCAATCAGCCATGCACAAAGAGACAGGCACAAACAGAAACACACATCCTCACACACTATCGTTACAGATACGAGTGCACACACACTCGTAAACGAACCACTCACACAAACACAGATAATTAGTCATTCTGAAGAGATAAAAAGGTATGTCAGTATTCTAATTCACACACGCACACACGCTGACAACACACACACAAAAACACACTCACACAGAGAGAGAGAGGGATTTCACAGATTTCAATACCCCTGTATTTATTTGAATGTCAAGAAGAAAATAGTCCTTTCAGTACATAAATGTATCCTCAGCAAAGAACTGGGTCTACAATATATAGGCTATGTTAAACATACAATGTCGAAAAATGTCTCAAGACATACTAATAATGTAGCGGTTATTTCTGCTCAGATATGTTCTCCTTCTCTCTTACAGGCAGTAACTGGCGTTATTCGTATCCCTAACTAACCCTCACTCCCCTCTCACATTGTTTATCCATCCATCTCTTCATCTCACACACTTCATCATCCATAACTAATCAGCCACCCCACCCCGCTCCTCTCCCTGAGGTAGGTATTCCCTCACCCTCCACCCCTCCTCCCAGGCAGGTAAGGGATTGCACTAATCATAGTTATCTAATTGCAGGGATTAGGCAGGTAATTATTCACATGACTCTGAGTCTGTTTCCCTGAGAGAGCTGATCGAGAGCACAGGGTTCAGGGCTGATAGGCTGTCTAGTCTACATAGGGCTGGCTGGGTTGTGCTGGATAAACAGGGCTGGGTGCTGGCTAAATATGGATGACTGTGTTCATGTCTACACAGGCACCTTGAGATGGGCCTGAGAACACAAGTATAGCGGTCACACAGTATGGTGGTCAGCTATTGTAGGTGGTACCAGTGTTTTTGACCAGTGTTTGTGATTCTCCATACTCAAGTCTATACGGCCCTTATCCGACTTAAATAACCCCTCCTTTACTGACCCCTCTACCTGCTCTTGCAGTGTATAATCTACTTAAGCAAGTCACATTTGCATATTATATTCTTATTCATATCTTACCATACTGTATGAACTTGATTGATGTCAGGTGGTGATCTATAGACACAAAACAAAGACAATAAAATCCTTACTGTATGAGTAGTCTACCTGCACGTTAGTCTGATTAATCAGCCTTACAAGGCAGAATGTTGAATAAAATTACATTTAAACTTACTCTACCGGTTGTATGTGCGGTTTGTTCTTCAGCTGCTCGAAATTTGAGACAAAATATCCACAGGAAAGTATTGTTTACCAAACTGTTTAGAGAGCTGGTAGGTATATGGTTCATTTAGGCACTGAGGTAAGATTAGTTTTATACTGGATAATCTCTCGTAAATAGCTATTGAACCTGGGGGGGTGGAGAACAATCAACACCTTTTTGTGTGTGTATTTTTAATTTCTATTTTTTTTTAAATTCTGATTTCAATCTTCTAAAAATCTCTAATTAAATTCATGGCATGCTTGGTTCAATAGCTATTGATGAGAGAAAAACGAATATCCAATATAAAACTAATTTAGCTCAGTGCCGAGCCAGATATCTACCAGCAATCAAAAAAGTTGAGTAAACAATAGGACTACTTATCTGTGGATATTTAGTCAAACATTTATAGCAGCTGAAAGACAAACCACACAGAACCGGTGAGTAAGTTGAACCGTAATTTTATTAAACATTCTGGCTTGTAAGGAACATTTACACGATTTTGTGGGCATTCGTGTCAGGTAGTATATACCAATTACTGTGTATTACAGCCTGATTAATCAGACTACCTGCATGCAGGATTGGCCTATAATAGCCATTTTTATAGTAATTTCATGGCATCTCCCTAATTAAAAAATAATAATAATACAAAAAATTCTCCCTAATGACAAAAGTTCTGTCTGCATCAATCTCACCTCTCAGGAGGGCTTCGAACCTACCTGTGACCACAGTGTGCATAATGATATCATAGCCTACCTTTAGTCAACAGCGCTGCAACATTATTATATTTCTATAGACGTGCAAGCTGTGGGTGATACTGTATCAGATTGCAATCATATTTGCCTTCGTTGGCAGTTGAAACTATAAGCCTAGTCAAGTGAGTTACCCCGCTTTTTTTTCAAAATACACTCATGTAGTTTGTTATCTAAGCGGCATCAAATAAATTCACTCAATCAATGATGAAAAAAGAACCAGCCTAAACATATAATATTTTTTTTAAAGGACAGCCCTAGCTGTAAACAACTATGTACAGATAACATAACTGTGACGAGACAGACCAACATTAGCGTCAAGGCATGATACCCTCCTCTGAGATGATTCAATTTGAGGAAACAAGAACATACCGTAATACTTCAGGACCACCTTAAAAGCTTGCCACTGTCAAAGTGTCTAATCGCTCTCTGATTGGTCGAGCGTGGTGCCTACTTTAGCCAATAGGCACCACTTTGTCCCACGTTCGGTCTTGACATCATTGTGAAAGTCTGACCAATCATGGCTTGGATGGCCAATGACTGGCTGTGGGCGGTGGTTGAGAAGTCTGTGAGGATTGTGTGCATTGAAGTTCCAATTTATTCTGCACACACACATACCTTCACCGACTCCTGCTGTCAGTCATGCTACATAAATGCTCAGTAAATTATGCCGTTAATTTCAATTCTTCAATAAGGACTGCTGTATTCAAGCTGAGCGGGTAAGCTTCCCACCCATTCCCGCAGTCCGAATAAAAGATTAGAAATTCAGTGAGGGAGACTGGAAAAATTACCCTTATGTTATTTTCAAAGCTGGAATGATTCTGTTTACAGTATCCTCAGATGGGACCATTCCATGGCATGGACAGAATATGATGTGTGTGTGTCTGTGTATTTCTTATTCTGTCAACATAAGAAGATTTAAGACAGCGAGGAGTCTCTCTACTATACTTTTTTTGCATCTGCAACCTACAGATTAGTCGCAGACTAACGTTTGTTGATGCAGTACTCTGTATTTCTATAACATGTTACTGTAAAGCAATGCAGAGGTCTCAGAACCCAGAGCTTTGAACTCACTCCAGCTGTCTGCTTTGAAAGCCTCCCCGTTTGAAACAGTGTTGTCACTCTGTCCCTGTCTATGACTCTGTTATCTGCTGCACACACACCAACATAAACACACAGAGTTACACACACTTGTCAGTAAGCATCGATCGCTCTGGTAGATGAAGCCTATTCCATGAGAAAGTGTTTTCCACCTTTGGCCCTGTACCTCATTGCCTACAGCCACCCTCAGAGTAGTGACTCACCTCTCTCTCTCCCTGATTCAGAGGGGTTGGGTTAAATGAGGAAGACACATTTCGGTTGAATGGATTCAGCTCTCTCTCTCTCTCTCTCTCTCTCTCTCTCTCTCTCTCTCTCTCTCTCTCTCTCTCTCTCAGCTCTGAACACAGCAGCTCCTCCTTAGTTCACAGTAGCACACATTCAACTGTTGCAGATTTCAACCTCAAAGGACAAATACATTAAGTGAAATACAATGGCAGTTGAAAAAACCATTCCCTTCAAATGTGAAACTCTGGACAAGCTGGATGTTGATATTGGGTGAACAGTTCAAATGAAAATGATGTGAACAGCGTCCATGTGTTTTACCTGTACTGTGTCCTCAGGTCCAGAGCGCTAGCACTCCCCTGACCCAGCAGTGAAAACATTTGGCTATTTGGGTGTGTTCATGTGGACATTCCCTTTCACACTGCCAATTAGGTTTATCCCACTTATATCCTGTTGGATTTGGAGGTGGGGGTGCACAGTTGAGCCTGTATCTACAAATGTGTTTGTCAAATCGCAGGTGCAGCGAAATGCTTGTGTTTCTAGCTCCAACAGTGCTGTAATACCTAGCAATAAAATTAAAATAAAAAACACAATACACACATAATGAAGAAATATCAGAATAAGCAATGTCAGAGACCGGAATATAAATATATGTACATAGAATGTATATAAATATATACATATAATGGTGTATTTTTGTATGTACACATTATTAGAGTGACCAATGGTCAATGACTATGTAAGATACTGTACATAGGGCAGCAGTCTCTATGGTGCAGGGTACAGTACCAGGTGGTAGCCAGCTAAAACAGTGACTAAGGTTAGTGGTGACTGTTTAACAGTCTGTTTGCCTGGAGATAGAAGCTGTTTCTCAGTCTCTCGGTCCCAGCTTTAAAGCATCTGTACTGTCTCTGCCTTCTAGATGGTAGCAGGGTGAACAGGCTGTGGCTGAGGTACTTGATGATCTTTAAATAAAATCCCAAGTTCAAGAAACATTGGGAAACGGTAGCACAACAAAACATTTTTTTTTTTAAACATCACCTCATTTCACCTTTTTATTTTCGGCCAGCCAGGCTAACGTACTTCAGCAGTTATGCCTTAATCAAAGCATCAAAAGATGTGCCAAAGCCATTGTTTTTTTTATATGCAGGTGCCTGGGTGATAATTACAATTGACCACACCTGTGTGAGGGCGGTACATAGTGGTAATAAAAACATTAGTGAACCAACAATTGTTACAAAATACACGATATATACAAAAGTATGTGGACACCCCTTCAAATTAGTGGATTCGGCTATTTCAGCCACACCCGTTGCTGACAGGTGTATAAAATCGAGCAGTCAACTGTAAGCGCTGTTATTGTGAAGTGGAAACGTCTAGGAGTAACAACGGCTCATCCGTGAAGCTCACAGAACGGGACCGCCGAGTGCTGAAGCGCGTAAAAATTATCTGTCCTCGGTTGCAACACCCACTACCGAGTCAGCACAAGAACTGTTCGTCGGGAGCTTCATTAAATGGATTTCCATGGCCGAGCAACCGCACACAAGAAGACCATGTGCAATGCCAAGCGTGGGCTGGAGTTGTGTAAAGCTTGCAGCCATTGGACTCTGGAGCAGTGGAAACGCATTCTCTGGAGTGATGAATCACGCTTCACCATCTGGCAGTCTGACGGATGAATCTGGAGAACGCTACCTGCCCCAATGCATAGTGCCAACTGTAAAGTTTGGTGGAGGAGGAATAATGGTCTGGGGCTGTTTTTCATGGTTCAGGCAAGGCCCCTTAGTTACAGCATACAATGACATTCTAGATGATTCTGTGCTTCCAACTTGTAGCAACAGTTTGGAGAAGGCCCTTTCCTGTTTCAGCATGACAATGCCCCTGTGCACAAAGCGAGGTCCATACAGAAATGTTTTATCGAGATCGGTGTGGAAGAACTTGACTGGCCTGCACAGAGCCCTGACCTCAACCCCAATGAACACCTTTGGGATTAATTGGAACGCCGATTGCGAGCCAGGCCTAATCGCCCAACATCATTGCCCAACCTCACTAATGCTCTTTTGGCTGAATGGAAGCAAGTCCCCGCCCGCAGCAATGTTCCAACATCTAGTGGAAATCCTTTCCAGAAGAGTGGAGGCTGTTATAGCAGCAAAGGGGGGACCAACTCCATATTAATGCCCATGATTTTGGAATGAGATGTTCGACGAGCAGGAATCCACATACTTTGTCATGTAGTGTACATAGAAATACATATACAAATACACAGATCAGCAGAATAAACTTGATAAATAGCATTTAGGTATCATGATGACATGTAGGAAATGTGAGACATTCCTATTGCACAGTAAAGCCTACAAAAATAGATGCTTTTGGGTATAAAAAATTGACATCTGGATAGAAAGATTGTAATTGAATTGAAATACATAAACATAAAAAATACAGAGCAGCCATATAATCTACAAATGTCTGAATGAGAAATCCAAATTTAGACCTCGAAGATGCATAGTATTCAGTGTTGTGCACGCCGAGGAACTTGAAGCTTTTGACCCTCTCCATTGTGGCCCTGTCAATGTGGATGGGGTCGTGCTCTCTCTGCTGTCTCCTGTCAATCAGCTCCTTCGTTTTGTTGACGTTGAGGGAGAGATTATTTTCCTGGCACCACTCCGCCAGGGCTCTCACCTCCTCCCTGTAGGCTGGCTCATCGTTGTTGGTAATCAGGTCTACCACTGTTGTGTCATCAGCAAACTTGATGATTGAGTTGGAGATGTGCGCGGCCACACAGTCATGGGTGAACAGGGAGTACAGGAGGGGGCTGAGCATGCATCCCTGTGGGGCCCCTGTGTTGAGGATCAGCATGGCGCAGGTGTTGTTGCCTACCTTAACCACTTGGGGTCGGCCCGAGTGACGTCACCGATTGAAACGCCAACTAGCTAGCACCACTAACTAGCTAGCCATTTCACAGTGGTTACATGTAAACACTCCAGCCAGCTTGTCTGCACAATACCCCATAACGACAAAGCGAAAACAGGTTTTTAGAAAGTTTTGCAAATGTATTAAAAATGTATTAAAAATACAAAACAGAAATACCTTATTAACATAAGTATTCAGAACCTTTGCTATGAGACTCGAAATTGAGCTCAGGTGCATCCTGTTTCCATTGATCATCCTTGAGATGTTTCTACAATTTGATTGGAGTCCACCTTTGGTAAATTAAATTGATTGGACATGATTTGGAAAGGCACACACCTGTCTATATAAGGTCCCACAGTGGACAGTGCATGTCAGAGCAAAAACCAAGCCATGGGGTTGAAGGAATTGTTCCGTAGAACTCCAACACAGGATTATGTCGAGGCACAGATCTGGGGAAGGGTATCACATTTCTGCAGCATTGAAGGTCCCCAAGAATACAGTGGCCTCCATCATTCTTAAATGGAAGAAGTTTGGAACCACCAAGACTCTTCCTAGAGCTGGCCGCCCGGCCAAACTGAGCATTCGGGGGAGAAGGGCCTTGGTCAGGGAGGTGACCAAGAACCCGATGGTGACTCTGACAGAGCTCCAGAGTTCCTCTGTGGAGATGGGAGAACCTTCCAGAAGTACAACCATCTCTGCAGCACTCCACCAATTTGGCCTTTATGGTAGAGTGGCCAGACGGAAGCCACTCCTCAGTAAAAGGCACATGACAGCCCTCTTGGAGTTTGCCAAAGGGCACTTAAAGGTCTCTCAGACCATGAGAAACAAGATTCTTTGGTCTGATGAAACCAGGATTGAACTCTTTGGCCTGAATGTCAAGCATCACATCTGGAGGAAACAAGGCACCACTCATCACCTGGCCAATACCATCCCTACGGTGAAGCATGGTGGTGGCAGCATCATTCTGTGGGGATGTTTTTCAGTGGCAGGGACTGGGAGACTAGTCAGGATCAAGGGATAGATGAATGGAGCAAAGTACTGAGAGATCCTTGATGAAAACCTGCTCCAGAGTGCTCAGGACCTCAGACTGGGGGCGAAGGTTCACCTTCCAACAGGACAATGACCCACAGCCAAGACAACGCAGGTGTGGCTTCGGGACAAGTCTCTGAATGTCCTTGAGTGGCCCAGCCAGAACCCGGACTTGAACCCGAACTAACATCTCTGGAGAGACCTGAAAATAGTTGTCCAGCGACGCTCCCCATCCAACCTGACAAATCTTGAGAGGATCTGCAGAGAAGAATGGCAGAAACTCCTCAAATACAGGTGTGCCAAGCTTGTAGCGCCATACCCAGAAGACGAGGCTGTAAATTCTGCCAAAGGTGGTTCAACAAAGTACTGAGTAAAGGGTCTGAATATTTACAGTATGTAAATGTAATATTTCAGTTTATTTTTAATACATTTACAAAAATGTCTAACAACCTGTTTTTGCTTTGTCATTATGGGGTATTTTGTGTAGATTGATGAGGGAAAAAAATATTTAATACATTTTATAAGAATGTGGAAAAAGTGAAGGGGTCTGAATACTTTCCGAATGCAGTGTACGTCTCGTGTCTGAGCCGTTGAATTGCTACTCTACTTTGTTCCTGTTCTGTTGTTTTGCCTCTTTGATTGGCTTATGGAGGTCGTAGCTGGTCTGTTTTGTACACATCTATGTTCCCAGTCACGGTACCATGGTTAAATGCGGTGGTTCGCAATTTCAGTTTTGCGCGAATGCTGCCATCTATTCACGGTTTTTGGTTTGGATAAGTTATAATCGTCACAGTGGGAACAACATCCTCTGTACACTTCCTAATGAACCCTGTCACCGAGTCAGGGTTTACGTCGATACTATTCTCAGAGGCGACCTGGAACATTTCCTATTTCTTGAAGTATAGATTCCGATTGGTCAGACCAACGTTAAACAGTCCTTACCACAGGAGCTTCCTGTTTAAGTTTTTGCCTATAGGTGGGAAGAAGCAGAATGGAGGCGTGATCTGATTTGCTGAAGGGAGGGCGGGGTAGGGCCTCGTAGCCATCCCGGAAGGGAGAGTGTTGATAGGCTTTTGGTAGCATTTTCCTCAGATTTCCTTTATTAAAGTCTGCAATAAATGCTCCCTCAGGATATTCGGTTTCCAGTTTGCACAGTCCAGTGTAGTTCCTTGAGAGCCATCGCGGTGTCGGCTTGGGGGGGGGAATATACACAGCAGTGACGATGACCGGAGAAAATTATCTTGTGAGGTAATGCGATTGCATTTGATAGTGAGGTATTTCAGATTGGGAGAGTAATATACTCTGAAGCGGTGGATGGTATGCACGCCGCCTGTGTTTTGATATGAATGTGGAGAATCTCCAGGAAACAAGACAAGCATCCAAACTTGGATCAGGCTCATTTCCATCTCACTACCGCCTCCCGCTCACACACGGACGTGTGTTGGCAGCTACTCATATTTGTGTGTGTCTGTCTCTCTCTCTCTCTGGGTCCTATAAAGCATACATGCCTGCTGGCGTTTTGTGCCTGCATACAGTTTGAGGTTGTGGGTTTGCATGCATGTTACTATTGACATATCGGTTATATGTTGCTATCTTTGTTCAGTGCTCCCTCTTTCCTCTATGTGTATGACTGTGTAATATATCACACATACAGGTATAATAGGTAGCAGGCAGCCTAGTGGTTAGAGCGTTGGGCCAGTAACCGAAAGGTCGCTGGTTCGAATACCCGAGCCCGTGAAAAATCTGTCTATGTGCCATTGAGCAAGGCACTTAACCCTAATTTGTTCCAGGGGCGCTGTACTACCATTGCTGACCCTGTAAAAACAACACATTTCACTGCACCTATCCGGTGTTTGTGACAATAAAACACTCTTTTGTACAATATGGTGTGTATGACGTATCTATAATGTTGTTGTATATACTGTATGTGTAGGCGTATATAAGCGTATAAATATGTACAGTACATATGCCTGCCCTCCACAGTAAATCTCCTGTTTGTCTGTGTGAGTCAGTTTCCCTATGAAGCCAGCCAGCACATTCTTGGTGCGGCCTGTGAGTGGAGTGCTGCAGTACTTTCCTCTGGGCTATGTACTGTACTCTGATCACGCTGCTTGGCTAAAGCCAATTGTGTGACTAATTGGGATTCAGGCAGGCTGCAGTGGATAACAGCTTTTTTCACTGCCTGACTCTGTGGAAGACTAGAGTGTATGGCAGTGTCGAGGGAGGACAATGTAAGTTATGCATAAGACAAAATACACACCACACACACAAACACACACACACAAACGTGCATGCATACACACATCCTGCATGCACAAACACGCAGTGTGCATGTCACACACAGTGACAAAACCCAATGGTCATGTGCATACATTTGGAACAAATACGTAACATCTACTATGACCATGTATGTACCCATCATTCTATTACAGTTACTTTTATATTAAATATTTTATCTTTGCAGGCCATTTGTCTAGTAATATCTTCCAGTGAATGTGTGTTTGGTTCTGTCTCCCTGTCTACCTCCTTGCCTTCATCAGATGTCTGATGCTTCTCTCTCTATAAAACAGTCTCACACCAGGATGCATTCATGTAAGTGTAAAATGTACTGGCAGGGATTCTAGTGACCAGATGCTGCGAGTGAGTGAGTGCGTGAGTGAGTGCGTGAGTGAGTGAGTGCGAGAGAAAGAGCAAGAGCATGTGCCTGCTGGCTGAGGGGCAGACGGTGGATGTCAATGTTGAAAATTTCATGATGCCATGTTAGGAAAATCCTTGGGGGAGCTCTGTTGTTTAACTGGCCCAAAACAGCTGGGCTCTAGAGTACGGGAGAGTGTGGACAACACTGACCACGTTTACATGCACACCAATATCCCGTTATTATTCGGGATACTCAAGTATTCTGTTTTTGAGTTGATGCATATAAACATCATATCCCGTTTTACAATATCCCGAAAAAGCTTGTATCCCAGTTATGAGAAACCTGGATAAGATCAGCGGCAATTTTAGCATGTAAATCTTGGTTGGGCAAACAAACAAAACATTGTGGGATGCATGCCAGCAAAGCCACTACACAACACAACACTAAACAATACATTAATTGCACTATAATGGTGACAAACGGTGAACACAAACTGTTAGGGCCTACATAAAGCTGTCCCAACAGCAGATTCCCAACAGCAGTCCCAACACCTTACCACTGCTACACCTGGCTATCAGTGGAGCCTTGTCTGGCAGCGAAACAGTTCATTCAGCCTCATTTACTGCCTTTAAAAAGAAAACATAGCTGATATGGCTGACTTGCTTAAACAAATGTGGTTTCTACTGACAATTGAGATGTACAAACTATGGCATAAGGGGACGACAAGCGGCGATCCATAATTTCGATTAAGACATTAATGAGCGAGCTAGGACGGACGTAGTCAATATACAGTGTGGGAAAAAAGTATTTAGTCAGCCACCAATTGTGCAAGTTCTCCCACTTAAAAAGATGAGAGAGGCCTGTAATTTTCATCATAGGTACACGTCAACTATGACAGGCAAAATGAGAAGAAAAAAACCCAGAAAATCACATTGTAGGATTTTTAATGAATTTATTAGCAAATTATGCTGGAAAATAAGTATTTGGTCAATAACAAAAGTTTCTCAATACTTTGTTATATACCCTTTGTTGGCAATGACACAGGTCAAACGTTTTCTGTAAGTCTTCACAAGGTTTTCACACACTGTTGCTGGTATTTTGGCCCATTCCTCCATGCAGATCTCCTCTAGAGCAGTGATGTTTTGGGGCTGTCGCTGGGCAACACAGACTTTCAACTCCCTCCAAAGATTTTCTATGGGGTTGAGATCTGGAGACTGGCTAGGCCACTCCAGGACCTTGAAATGCTTCTTACGAAGCCACTCCTTCATTGCCCGGGCGGTGTGTTTGGGATCATTGTCATGCTGAAAGACCCAGCCACGTTTCATCTTCAATGCCCTTGCTGATGGAAGGAGGTTTTCACTCAAAATCTCACGATACATGGCCCCATTCATTCTTTCCTTTACACGGATCAGTCGTCCTGGTCCCTTTGCAGAAAAACAGCCCCAAAGCATGATGTTTCCACCCCCATGCTTCACAGTAGGTATGGTATTCTTTGGATGCAACTCAGCATTCTTTGTCCTCCAAACACGACGAGTTGAGTTTTTACCAAAAAGTTATATTTTGGTTTCATCTGACCATATGACATTCTCCCAATCCTCTTCTAGATCATCCAAATGCACTCTAGCAAACGTCAGACGGGCCTGGACATGTACTGGCTTAAGCAGGGGGACACGTCTGGCACTGCAGGATTTGAGTCCCTGGCGGCGTAGTGTGTTACTGATGGTAGGCTTTGTTACTTTGGTCCCAGCTCTCTGCAGGTCATTCACTAGGTCCCCCCGTGTGGTTCTGGGATTTTTGCTCACCGTTCTTGTGATCATTTTGACCCCACGGGTGAGATCTTGCGTGGAGCCCCAGATCGAGTGTCACACCCTGGCTCTGGGGACTCTATATGTTGAGCCAGGGTGTGTAGATTCTATGTGTTTATGTTCTGTGTGGGAGTTCTAGTTTGTGTATTTCTATGTTGGCCAGAGTGGCTCCCAATCAGAGGCAACGAGTGTCAGCTGTTGCTGGTTGTCTCTGATTGGGAGCCATATTTAAACAGTCTGTTTCCCTTAGTGTTTGTGGGATCTTGTTTCCGTTTGGTTGTTTCTGTGTTAACCGTAGGACTGCACGTTTCGTTTATTGTTTTGTTGTTATATTATCACTTAAGATAATAAAGTTAAGAATGTTCGCAACTAACGCTGCGCATTGGTCTACTCTCTACGACGATCGTGACAGAAGATCCCACCACTCCATGACCAAGCAGCGTGTCCAGGAGCAGGCAGCCTGGACATGGGAGGAAGCGCCGGGAAAGGAGCTGGAGAGGTTGGCGATGGCCCAGGTGGGCAAAGTGTGGTCCTGGGAGGACATGCTTGGGGGAAAAGGGCCATGGGCTAGGATTAAGGCCCTGGCGAGAGAGGAGCAACGGCGTCAACAGTGTCGTCGTCGGATGGATGAGAGGCAACCCCCAAAAAAATTTAGGGGGGGGCACATGGCATGGACGACGGGGCTGCTGGAGGCAGATAAGGGGCGAATTCAGAAGGCCACCAGGTTACGGGAGCCATTGGTGAGAAGAGGGAAGGAAGATGTAGAGGCGCGGCGAGAGGTACTGAGGTGTATTGCCAGTCCGGTCCGGCCCGTTCCTGATCCCCGTTTAAGGCCAGTGGTGTGTGTTCCCAGTACGGTCCGGCCTGTCCCTGCCCCTCGCACCAAGCCTACGGTGCGCGTCGCCAGCCCGGCCCGGCCTGGCCTGTTCCTGCCACTCGCACCAAGCCTACGGTGTGCGTCGCCAGCCCGGCCCGGCCTGTTCCTGCCACTCGCACCAAGCCTACGGTGCGCGTCGCCAGCCCGGTCCGGCCTGTTCCTGCCCTTCGCACCAAGCCTACGGTGCGCGTCGCCAGCCCGGCCCGGCCTGTTCCTGCCCTTCGCACCAAGCCTACGGTGCGCGTCGCCAGCCCGGCCCGGCCTGTTCCTGCCACTCGCACCAAGCCTATGGTGTGCGTCGCCAGCCCAGCCCGGCCTGTTCCTGCCCTTCGCACCAAACCTACGGTGCGCGTCGCCAGCCCGGCCCGGCCTGTTCCTGCTACTCGCACCAAGCCAGGGGTGCGAGTCGTCAGCCTGGTAAGGCCCGTTCCTGCTCCACGCACCAAGCCAGGGGTGCGCGTCGCCAGCCCGGCCCGGCCTATTCCTGCTACTCGCACCAAGCCAGGGGTGCGAGTCGTCAGCCTGGTAAGGCCCGTTCCTGCTCCACGCACCAAGCCAGGGGTGCGAGTCGTCAGCCTGGTAAGGCCCGTTCTTGCTCCACGCACCAAGCCAGGGGTGCGAGTCGTCAGCCCGGGTAAGGCCCGTTCCGGCTCCACGCACCAAGCCAGGGGTGCGCATCGTCAGCCAGGTCCGGCCCGTTGCTGCTCCACGCACCAAGCCAGGGGTGCGCATCGTCAGCCCGGTCCGGCCCGTAGCTGCTCCACGCACCAAGCCAGGGGTGCGCATCGTCAGCCCGGTCCGGCCCGTAGCTGCTCCACGCACCAAGCCAGGGGTGCGCATCGTCAGCCCGGTCCGGCCCGTTCCTGCTCCACGCACCAAGCCAGGGGTGTGCGTCGTCAGTCCGGCACAACCCGTGCCTGGGTCACCGGTGCCTGGTCAGGTACCGGTCAGCTACTACACACCGGAGCTGAAGCTATCCGCTCCTACGATGTCCAGTTCAGCTCCAGCCAGCGGGGCCAGACCGGACCAGGGGCGCTATGGGGGGATTATTGGAGGGTGGTGGGCAAGCCCGGAGCCGGAACCGCCTCCGAGGAGGAATGCCCACCCAGCCCTCCCCTGTTTGGTTCAAGTTGAGGCGCGGTCGCAGTCCGCGCCTTTGGGGGGGGGGGTACTGTCACACCCTGGCTCTGGGGACTCTATATGTTGAGCCAGGGTGTGTAGATTCTATGTGTTTATGTTCTGTGTGGGAGTTCTAGTTTGTGTATTTCTATGTTGGCCAGAGTGGCTCCCAATCAGAGGCAACGAGTGTCAGCTGTTGCTGGTTGTCTCTGATTGGGAGCCATATTTAAACAGTCTGTTTCCCTTAGTGTTTGTGGGATCTTGTTTCCGTTTGGTTGTTTCTGTGTTAACCGTAGGACTGCATGTTTCGTTTATTGTTTTGTTGTTATATTATCACTTAAGATAATAAAGTTAAGTATGTTCGCAACTAATGCTGCGCATTGGTCTACTCTCTACGACGATCGTGACATCGAGGGAGATTATCAGTGGTCTTGTATGTCTTCCATTTCCTAATAATTGCTCCCACAGTTGATTTCTTCAAACCAAGCTGCTTACCTATTGCAGATTCAGTCTTCCCAGCCTGGTGCAGGTCTACAATTTTGTTTCTGGTGTCCTTTGACAGCTCTTTGGTCTTGGCCATAGTGGAGTTTGGAGTGTGACTGTTTGAGGTTGTGGACAGGTGTCTTTTATACTGATAACAAGTTCAAACAGGTGCCATTAATACAGGTAACGAGTGGAGGACAGAGGAGCCTCTTAAAGAAGAAGTTACAGGTCTGTGAGAGCCAGAAATCTTGCTTGATTGTAGGTGACCAAATACTTATTTTCCACCATAATTTGCAAATAAATTCATTAAAAATCCTACAATGTGATTTTCTGGATTTTCTTTTCTCAATTTGTCTGTCATAGTTGATGTGTACCTATGATGAAAATTACAGGCCTCTCTCATCTTTTTAAGTGGGAGAACTTGCACAATTGGTGGCTGACTAAATACTTTTTTTCCCCACTGTAACTATTTGTTTAGCATTTTGAAATGTACAGCGACAGAATTCAGAACATGGGCCGTTCTTACAGTGTTCTCCCTGTACCCCAAGTCAGAACCGTAGGATAAATAAAGGGGGCATATAAGCAGACAAAGAAAGCTCTTATAATAGTCGATGATTACATTTTGCTAAAACAGGTTATAGGCTACATGTGCACCACCAAGTCAGAACAGTAGGCGAAATTAAGAGGGGAAAATAGACCAAATTATTAGGGTGAGGCACATGGGCTACTAACAGCTTACTACACAACATACACTTATTACTTTCTTAGCTACAGTATACATATCTCCCTGGCATATTAAATCATTTATGCAGCAGCATACAATACATTTTTGGACTCACCTTGTTGTGCTGTGCTCACTTGAACAGGAAGGTGGTGCAGCGTTCCTTCATGGGCAAATTTTGTCATCAAAGTCTGGCATTCTCTGGATTTATGGTGCTTTCAAGATAACTGGGAACTCTGAAAAAAACAAGATCGAATCACGATGACGCCAGTAATCTTCAGGTCGTAGCTCTAGAAAGAGGCCCGAGTTCCGGATTTACAATTCTGAGTTGGATGACCATTCAAAATGTATTTTCCCAGTCGGAGCAAATTTTTTCCCCAGAGTTCCCAGTTGTCTTGAACTCACTGAAGTCAAGTTTTCGCAGTTCCGAGTTAACAGTTGTTTTGAGCGCGGCACAAATCATGCTTCATTGACAGCATGGCCAATGTTGAATGTTTATCATTTAAAATTTGGAAAAGAGACCCTTAATCCCAGATTTGGGACCACACAGCCACTCCACTGAATAGCAGGCTAGTGATTGCTTTGCAATGCTTGCAGTTAGCCACTGATTCCTTCCAAACCACTCATTGTTGAATTTGCGATTTCCAACTTGTTGTGTAATGTTTATGTCCAATGGCTGATGAGCACCGATATGTTTGATCTATAATTTCTCTTCATTATTTACCTTCATATGACAAGGATTAAAAAGGATTTGCCAGTAGATTGTCGACTTGATTCATGATGATGACTGCTAGCTAAGATTTTGAAAGTATGATGTTGACATGATCAGTCCAATCAAAGCTACTGTAGATATGTGATTTGACATAATTTTATCTGTGGCCAATGACCTTGAGCCTTCTTGGATGGGCACTTCTAATGTAACTCTATGGCAGCACCCAAGGGGCTTGAATTTTCAAGCTCTACCCTTAGACTTGGTGGTGATGTAGTGTCCCCATGAGTGACAGAACACTGAGCCAATCACGCCGCAAGTAGAGAACATTACCAACACCTACGCTCCGTATTTTCTGCTGGCTGCCCCACCACCACAGAAAGCACTGAGCTAGGCTGAAACACCTGCATTTTGGAGCTGCCTTACTCAAGAAAGCAAAAAAGAGACCATGTTTGTATGTGGCTTTATTAACTCAATTATTATTATTTTTATTTTTTTACATTGTTTGCAAACTGATATGTGACAGATATTAATTCCAAAATAACATGCAAAACAGGCAAGCCAAAAAAATTAATACATTTGTATTTATTTATTTTGTAAGCTAAAAATGTGGGGCTCTTTAATGACGGGTCACAACAAGATAAGATGCCTGGGATATGCTTATCTAAGACTGGATACTGTGGCATGTAAACATCTTATCCCATTTACTGTTGTTTTTGCAGTCTGCACAGGCTCAGTTTCGCATATCATGGGTGTTGTATGATGATGATTTCATCTGATTGTCAAAGAAATCCCTTCAGAGTAGGCTACCAGCGTAGTTCGTTCCACCATAATAATTCCTTTATAATTTAGCCTACATTAATTAATTTACTATAATTTAAATTACGTTTCTACTTATAATTACCAACATTTGGTAGGCCATATCATAATTTGGTGGGTCATTTTTTTCCCAACTATAGTTTGATACTTGCAGCTTCTTTCTGTCATAACTTGTTGCCCGGAAGACTAAATGAAGTAGTGCTCACCAGAATAATGTCTCACATCGATGAATGCATTAGTAATCTATGTAGTTAAAACTGTTAAAGTTGTCTTTCGTTTAGGGACCGGGGAGAAAACGCAATAACTCCAAAACAGTGGACAGGTTGGTCTTGTGCAAAATGTCGTCATTTTGACCGGTTTTAAGGAAATGAAAAGCTGAGAAAACTATGAAAACACCTTTCTGATAAGACTTCAGTTAGTGTGGAGTGCATATTTTATGTGGTTGAAATACTGTCTGCATTCATAACAGTGTCAAAGACAGCACATTACACACGCATTCGCATTTCCTCAAGAGATGCTGAAAGAAATAAATTATATTTCTCCACTCCTGCTCCTGAGACAAAATTAACATTTGTTGTATAATTTCACTGCAAGAAATAAAAAATTCTGCAGGAGTTAATATTATATTACTCTACATGTGAGAGGTTATAGGACTACACTCGGTGTCCATATTTCAGTTACTATTCCTATTCCATTTAACCCATATTAACTTAAATGAGGAATATTCTGTTTCTTCATGGGTACAGGGATACTCATGAGCGGGATATCGAAGATGCATGTAAACAGCTTATCCCGAATAAAACCTTAAGCGGGTTATGAGCTACTATTCGGAATACTGTGCGCATGTAATTGTGGTCACTGTGTGTGTTTTTGGTTTTACTATCTTTGTGAGGACCAGAAGTCCTCACAAGGATAATAGAACAAGGAACATTTGTGGGGACATTTCGCTGGTCCCTAGGTTCAGGGTTAGAATTAGAATTAAGGGTTTGGGGTTAAGGTTAGGGTTCGGTTAAGGGTTAGGTTTAGGGTTAGAGGTAGAGGTCTTCATGGATCCACCTGTACCCGAATACCCAATACCCAATCCGGGACCCAAGTGGGTCGGGATCCAGAATTCTAAATAATATTACGGTTCTGGGTTGGAGCTGATATGATTGTCAGGGGTCTCGGGTATGTGTAATTTTAACTGACTTGTCTCGAAGGGCCCGTACAGATCCGAATGAGATTGCTGCATTTTATAATTTTGCTGCTTCTCTTGCTTTTCAGGAGAGTGGAGCGTGGCGCTTGTTGTTGGCCAATCATAAGTCATCAAAGTGGCAATAGGCTACAGTCATAGAGCCTCCGTGTGTGGCAAAAGTTAGGAGATATCTAATCAATGGAAGATGGAATTAAAATGACGGAATTAAAGGAGAAGGATAGGCAACAACGACAAAGAGCCAACAGGTAGGCTGCTACTTAATAGTCTGAATGGAGTTGTTTTTTGTAACTGTAGGATGAGAAAGCGCCTGTGGTGTAAAGTACTTAAGTAAAAATACTTTCAAGTACTACTTAAGTAGTTTATTGGGGTATCTGTACTTTACTATTTATATTTTTGACTACTTTTACTTCACTACATTCCTAAACACAATTATGTACTTTTTTCTCCATACATTTTCCCTGACACCCAAAAGTACTCGTTACATTTTGAATGCTTAGCAGGACAGGAAAATTGTCTAATTCACACACTTATCAAGAGAACATCATGGTTCTCACCCCCTTCCATAGACTTACACAGTAATTATGACAACTTCTGGAGGACGTCCTCCAACCTATCAGAGCTCTTGCAGCATGAACTGACATGTCTACCCAATCAAAGGATCAGAGAATGAATCTAGTACTGAAAGCATAAGCTACAGCTAGTTAGCACTGCAGTGGATAAAATGTGGTGAGTAGTTGACTCAAAGAGAGAGCAAGAGCTAGCTATATTTATTTGTATTTCTTTCACTTTCACTTAGCTAGCGAATGCAGCTAGCTAGTTTAGCCTACTCAAGCACCCGGCTCAAACACAGAAGGATGCTATGTTAGCTAACTGGCTATGGCTATCCAACACTGAAACTCTTCCAAGTCAGAGAAGCATTTGGTTTTATGAATTTATTGCCACCGGGGCCCGCCGGTGTAACTGCTAAACTTTTGCTGACTACACTGTACTGCAAGATTGTAGTGGGTTTACTAACACGTTAGTTCTAGTAGCTATGTTGACTATAATGTTAGCTAATATGGTGACAACGATGTAGGCTGTGTGTAGCAGTTAGCAGTTATGATATGAAGGTTTGGCTTGGAAAGGTTTTTTCACCTTCAATATATCCACATTATTTTCCTTCCTCATGATGCCATCTATTTTGTGAAGTGCACCAGTCCCTCCTGCAGCAAAACACCCCCACAGCATGATGGTGCCACCCCCGTGCTTGACGGTTGGGATGGTGTTCTTCGGATGGCAAAAAACCCTTTTTCCTCCAAACAAAACAATGGTCATTATGGCCAAACAGTTCTATTTTAGTTTAATCAGACCAGAGGACATTTCTCCAAAAAGTACAATCTTTGTCCCCATGTGCAGTTGTAAACCGTAGTCTGGCTTTTTATGGCGGTTTTGGAGCAGCGGCTTCTTCCTTGCTGAATGGCCTTTCAGGTTATGTCGATATAGGACGTGTTTTACTGTGGATATAGATACGTTTGTACCTGTTTCCTCCAGCAACTTCACAAGGTCCTTTGCTGTTGTTCTGGGATTGATTTTCACTTTTCGCACCAAAGTACATTAATCTCTAGGAGACAGAACGCGTCTCCTTCCTGAGCGGTATGATGGCTGCGTGGTCCCATGGTGTTTATACTTGCGTACCATTGTTTGTACAGATGAACATGGTACCTTCCGGCGTTTGGAAATTGCTCCCAAGGATGAACACATTTACAACAAAAAATTCTGAGGTCTTGGCTGATTTCTTTTCATTTTCCCATGATGTCAAGCAAAGAGGCACTGAGTTTGAAGGTAGGCCTTGAAATACATCCACAGGTACACCTCCAATTGACTCAAATTATGTCAATTAGCCTAGTAGAAGCTTTTAAAGCCATGACATCATTTTCTGAAATTTCCAAGCTGTTTAAAGGCACAGTCAACTTAGTGTATGTAAACTTCTGACCCACTGGAATTGTGATACAGTGAATTATAGGGGAAATAATCGGTCTGTAAACAATTGTTGGAAAAATTACTTGTGTCATGCACAAAGTAGATGTCCTAACCGATTTGCCAAAACTATAGTTTGTTAACAAAACATTTGTGGAAATTTGTTGAAAAACAAGTTTTAATGACTCCAACCTAAGTGTATGTAAATTTCTGACTTCAACAGAACCTGAATATGTCCAATAGAAACTCTTCTCTGCAATTGTTGGACTAATGGTTACACCCTAGATCAGCTAGATGCAGGCAAGAGTGTGCAAGGCGGTATTGAATGTGTCACGGTCTGTCACTGTCTGTCACCTTGATTACTCAAATTCCTCTCGACCTGTGCACCTACGTTGTAAACTTTCACTCATAGGCTAGGTTGTAGCAACCTCATGATGGGTATAGGGAAAACTTGAGTATCATGTAGTAGCCTAAACCTCTCAAAGTTACATTGAGCTGGGTGAATGGAATATGAATGACAGTCATCCAATATGCTGTAATTGAAATAAGGCATGCTCATTTAAAAAAAAGTATTGTCCTCCCTCTTAAACATCACCGACCGCCACTGGTGTGAACATCCATGTGAACAAAAGGAGACAGGAACTGCATTACACAAGATCTGGTGCATTACACCAGATATAGCCCTGAAATGTCCTTTGTTCAACAGAAAACTGCATTGAGAAAGGCTTACTCTGTTGTACCCAGCCAAGTCCAAATGTTAAAACAGAACAGTTAAAACACTACAGGCTCTGTTCTGGATCCGGTAATGGAAACTGACTACACAACACACATAAACTCAGCAAAAAAAGAAACGTCCCTTTTTCAGGACCCTGTCTTTCAAAGATAATTCGTAAAAATCCAAATAACTTCACAGATCTTCATTGTAAACACTGTTTCCCATGCTTGTTCAATGAACCATAAACAATTAATGAACATCCACCTGTGGAACGGTCGTTATGACACTAACAGCTTACAGACGGTAGGCAATTAAGGTCACAGTTATGAAAACTTAGGACACTAAAGAGGCCTTTCTACTGACTCTGAAAAACACCAAAAGAAAGATGCCCAGCTCATCTGCGTGAACGTGCCTTAGGCATGCTGCAAGGAGGCATGAGAACTGCAGATGTGGCCAGAGCAATAAATTGCAATGTCCGTACTGTGAGACACCTAAGACAGCGCTACAGGGAGACAGGACGGACAGCTGATCGTCCTCGCAGTGGCAGACCACGTGTAACAACACCTGCACAGGATCGGTACATCCGAACATCACAGCTTTGGGACAGGTACAGGATGGCAACAACAACTGCCCGAGTTACACCAGGAACGCACAATCCCTCCATCAGTGCTCAGACTGTCCGCAAAAGGCTGAGAGAGGCTGGACTGAGGGCTTGTAGGCCTGTTGTAAGGCAGGTCCTCACCAGACATCACCGGCAACAACGTCGCCTATGGGCACAAACCCACCGTCGCTGGACCAGACAGGACTTGCAAAAAATGCTCTTCACTGACGAGTCACAGTTTTGTCTCACCAGGGGTGATGGTCGGATTCGCGTTTATCGTCGAAGGAATGAGCATTACACCGAGGCCTGTACTCTGGAGCGGGATCGATTTGGAGGTGGAGGGTCCGTCATGGTCTGGGGCGGTGTGTCACAGCATCATCGGACTGAGCTTGTTGTCATTGCAGGCCCTCCAGCATGACCCTCCAGCATGACAATGCCACCAGCCATACTTCTTGTTCTGTGCGTGATTTCCTGCAAGACAGGAATGTCAGTGTTCTGCCATGGCCAGCGAATCCCATTGAGCATGTCTGGGACCTGTTGGAACGGAGGGTGAGGGCTAGGGCCATTCCCCCCAGAAATGTCCGGGAACTTGCAGGTGCCTTGGTGGAAGAGTGGGGTAACATCTCACAGCATGAACTGGCAAATCTGGTGCAGTCCATGAGGAGGAGATGCACTGCAGTACTTAATGCAGCTGGTGGCCACACCAGATACTGACTGTTACTTTTGATTTTGACCCCCCCTTTGTTCAGGGACACATTATTCAATTTCTGTTTGTCACGTCTGTGGAATTTGTTCAGTTTATGTCTCAGTTGTTGAATCTTGAATGTTCATACAAATATTTACACATGTTAAATTTGCTGAAAATAAACGCAGTTGACAGTGAGAGGAAGTTTCTTTTTTTGCGGAGTTTACATGATAAGCTGTTTAATCATCTATTTGTATTATTATTCACATGCAAAACATTATAGGCCTTGAGTATTTATTGTTTTACAGAATGGAAGCAAAGATAAGTAAATGGAAAGATAGAAGGGCTGATAAACAGATTAGGTATTATATCCCCCCATCTCTTTCCCTCCCTCACACCCTTTCTTTTTTCTCTCCTTATCTCCCTCACTCCCTCTCCCTTTCCTTACCTGTCTTCCTCTCCCTATCTCTCTCTCCCTCCCCATCCATCCATCCATCCATCCACACACACAGCTGTGGAATGTCCAGGCAGGTTGGCTGGGTGCCTGGGTCATGTCATGCCAATTAAGTTCAGCAGCTAATAGTCTTCCATTTGGGAATATATCCTGTTACAGACAACATTAACCCTTCCCTGAACTGGGAGTAACTAATACACACTCTCACGTGCATGGAAATGGGCATGCATGCTGTGACGAACACATACACACAAGCAGATACACATTAATAAATATTTATGTGTATGTGCATGTGTTTGTTAAAAGCGGAAGTAAAATTTCGGTTGGACTTAGTGGGTAATTGAGCAATAAAGTGATATTTATCTTAAATCGCTCACCAGCCTCCTCTGATAAATATGCATACAAATATACATTTACAAAACACACGTACACACAGCCACAATAATTTATACACAAACCGATACCGACATACATAACACCCCCTCCCCCAATTATGCACATTTAAAACATTTGCCAAATAGAAATCCAGATTTGTTACATCCCCTCTCCCACATTCCATTTGAACATGTTCTCGATATAATCAAAGCAGAACGGCGGAAAGGAGATACAGTACATTAAAAAAATTGAAAAATATGGAAAGAGAGACAAAACAAGATTGTGGGGTGGATGGATGGATGGTGATGGTGGGATATGGGGAGGGGGGTGTTGAGAGAGGGAACCAGAGAGACATCTACATCATTTGGCCTAATGACACCATCTGGTGGATGGTAGGGACATCAACAGCACACTCACACAGAGGAGGGGAGGGGGTGAAGTGGAATGTTAACTAGAGTTCTGAAGAATTCGGTTCTGGGGGGAAAAGCACTCACATGAGAAAATTCAGTTTTCAATCAAATCAAAATGTATTTGTCACATGCGCCGAATACAGGTGTAGACCTTACTGTGAAATGCTTACTTACAAGCCCTTAACCAACAATGCAGTTAAGAAAATAGAGTTAAGAAAATATTTACTAAATAAACTAAAGTAAAAAAATAAAGTAACACAATTAAATAACAATAATGAGGTTATATACAGGGGGTACCGGTACCGAGTCAATGTGCGGGGGTACAGGTTAGTCAAGGTAATTTGTACATGTATGTAGGGGTAAAGTGACTATGCATAGATAATAAACGGCGAGTAGCAACAGTGTAAAATGCAAATAGTCCGGGTGGCCATTTGATTAATTGTTCAGCAGTCTTACGGCTTGGGGGTAGAAGCTGTTAAGGAGCTTTTTGGACTTAGACATGGCACTCTGGTACCGCTTGCCGTGCGGTAGCAGAGAGAACAGTCTATGACTTGGGTGGCTGGAGTCTTTGATAATTTTTTGGGCCTTCCTCTGACACCGCCTAGTATATAGGTCCTCTGTAGCACCTTACGGTCAGATGCGGAGCAGTTGCCATACCAGGCGGTGATGCAACCGGTCAGGCTGCTCTCGATGGTGCAGCTGTAGGACTTTTTGAGGATCTGGGGGCTCATGCCAAATCTTTTCAGTCTCCTGAGGGGGAAAAGGCATTGTCGTGCCCTCTTGACGACTTTCTTGGTGTGTTTGGACCATGATAGTTTGTTGGTGATGTGGACATCAAGGAACTTGAAACTCTCGACCCACTCCACTACAGCCCCATCGATGTGAATGGGGGCGTGTTCGGCCCTCCTTTTCCTGTAGTGCTGACACTTTTCCCACATGATATAAAGTTTTATTTTCAAAATATACCTGTATAGTGGGCTTCTGTTTTGTATTGAATTCTTATCAGCATGTACAGTATGTGAGCTGCCATTTTGCATTGAGTTCCCTTCAGTGTGGATGTTTCCCTGTGAGAGTAAATGTCAGTGGCATTGAGCGGGCAGCTGCGGCGTTATCTGTTGAGGCTCTGTGGGTTGGACCAATCAGGGATTCCCTCAGGACTGGAGCACTGTGACTGCATGTTCCATAGCTGTCAGCAGCCATTGACTCACCACTAGACACCACTGACTCACACACTGACACTTTCTCTCTCTCACACACACACTGCACGAACACAATCGTGCACACACACACACACACACACACACACACACACTCTATGACTGCAGAATGACACCCCTCTATCATCACACACCAGACCCCAAAGTCCACCCACACACAAAAAATGCATACAGGAAACACACTCCACCCCCAAATGAGACTAATACTACCCTGACTATGTCCCAGTACTTCATGTGGGATTTTGGGGCTTTGTTGAGTCCTCTACAAAGAAAACTCTACAAATATAACTGAACGAAATCAAATCAAATCAAACACATTGCTCTTTATTACATCCTGCCAACCCCCTCCTTCTGTCTGTTTCCAACCCCCTCCTTCTGTCTGTTTCCAACCCCCTCCTTCTGTCCGTTTCCAACCCCCTCCTTCTGTCCGTTTCCAACCCCCTCCTTCTGTCCGTTTCCAACCGCCTCCCAGCTGTACATCTCCCCTCTCTATGACCCTCAGATTCCTCTCTCACTACCTCTCTCCCATTCTCCATATCACTCTATCCCTCCCTCTCGCTTCTTCCCTCCCTATACCTCTCTCTCTACATCCCCCGTCCCCATCCTCTGCCCTCACAGTGGGGCGTGTCTGTGCAGCACCTGACCCCCTGGCCGCCTGTCTCACAAATCTCCCATAGAGCCTCTAATGGCTTCTACACATGCAGCCGTGGCTTGGACAGGACATTATACACTACCACTAAACTACCTGTACTCATTAGACACTGGCTACTGCTGCTGCTTCACTCTCTGTGGATCTCACTGTGGATAGACTGGTGCTGTAGTGTGTGCTTCTACCCTTACCGGTCTTCACCTTCCTGTAACCTGGACTGGAGAGCTGACCTTTACTAATCCAATCACATACTAATCAGTGAATATCTCAAGAGAGTGAGGATGGAGGCATTTCACAGTATTGGAACATGGCCCTAGTTTTCAGTCCATCTTGGATGAGATGGTTCCGTCCTCTGAGTTAGATAATCCAATTAACATGCAGTGCAAACTTGTGAAGTCTTCGGGTGAAATGCATAATTTCTGCAAGATCATTTATGACATTTATCATTTTCTCCCAGATCATTATCACCTACAGGCTAGCCTCATGGCAGGCTATGATGATAAATTACTTTTCTCATCTCATTGCCAGATTATTCAGGATGTGGAGCACACTAGCTCTCATAGTGTAATAATGAGATGATCGACAGTAGGAAAGAGAGCTGAGAGGTCCAGAGAAGGTAGTGTGTAAAAAGTGAGAGAATGTGTGTGTGTGTGAGTATGGTGTGTGTGTGTGTGTCTCTATGCATGTCTGTGTGTGCGCGCGTATGTACACTGGCTTTCTATCACACCCTAGCAGAACCACAGAAGGTTTTATTGGGAAACGCCAGTCAGCAGACACACAGACAGAGTCACAGGCCCCAGTCTGAGCAAGCAGGAAGAACCACACTGGCAGTGCAAACAGACCACAGTATGCCCACACCATAACCAGACACCACTCGCCCAGAGACCACAGCTTAGAGGCAGGCCAGAGCACGGCCCTCTGGGAGTGAAGACTGGAGAGGGAGGGCAAACAGTACTACCATACAGTACTAAGACTCACAGGACTGATTGACTGACAAAGACGGGGATCCAACTGGAGAAGATGTTACTTTAGCTTGTCTGTAAGTGTTTGACAGTAATAACCCTATCATGTCATTGACACTCACACTGTTGCTTACTGTCTGGGACAAGGGAGTGTTAGCAAAAAGACAGAGGTAGAGTTAGTGAGAGAAGAGACAGTGTGACAGAAAGAGATAGTGAGGAAATGGTACTATTGTACATGTAGCTCGAGGTGCTCTCCTACTTCAGAGTCGTGATAGATGGAGGTTGTAAAGGGATGAATAAGAGGTGAGGATCAGGATGAAAGTGCTTTCCAGAAACAGCAGCCTTAGTCAAACAGCTGGGCTGGGACCCCTGAGCCTGCCTGGCCTACCACACCACAGCTCAGCCAGCCTCACTGACCAACACACACAAAGTAACACAAACACAGTCATATGCAGTCACACACACAGCCTCCCAAGAATCCAGATTCCAGCCTAACCCTATACCCAGCCCAACCCTATACCCAGCCCCAGCCTAACCCCATACCCAGTCTAACCCGATACCCAGCCTAACCCAATACCCAACCTAACCCCATACCCAGCCGACCAGAGAGCCGGAGGGAGGGAGGGAGGAGGACTGCCAGCCAGAGAGGTGGGGGTGAGGAGGCACGCTGCAAATAGAGCTAGGAGGAGGCGAGTGCACACTAAATCAATTTGGCTTTCAGCAAGGGGGAGTCTACAACACTGTGCCAGCGGTGTGTGTGTTTGTGAATGTGAGTCAGTGTGTGTGTTTTGCGCAAAGGTTGTGTGTGTGTGTGCAAGCGGATACACACGTGTGCGTGTGTGTGTGACTGCGCATGACTGTGTGTGTGTCTATGAGAGCCAGAGAGTAGGTGGTGGAGAGGAGGGGTGTGTGTAAGAGCGGGGCAAGGTGGAATGCTAGCTAGCTCTGTGTGTTGTAGCTGTGGTGTCACTGGGATGGGAAGTGACAGGCAGGAAGTCCCACAGACAGCTGGGTAACAGCCCACTCCCACACTGGGGGGGGCTTTACACTTAACACAGAAAGTACTGCCTCTCCTCTCTCTCTCTCTTTTCACTCCCTCCTTTCTTCTCAATCTAGCACTGGAGAGAGAGGGGGAGGATGATTAATAAAGAGAGAGGGGAAGAGAACGATAGAGGGTGGAAGAGTGAGGGGGGAGGGAGGAATACAAAGAGTGTCAAGAGAGATTGGGAGGAAGGCTGAGAGGGAAAGGAGAGAGGAAGATGTTGAGCAAGAACAGAGATAAAGAGAACAGATAGAAGGTGAGAGGGAATTATAGAGGACATGAGAGAGGGGGGAGATAGAGTGGGAAGGACAGTGAAGGAGAGAAAGGATGAGCAGAGTGAAGAAGAAAAAAAAGGGGGGGGGGGGGGGGGGGGGGTGTTTGTATCACACGACTCCATTAAACTTTTAATAGTCCTCATCTCATACACACCACACACACGTAGGGGACAGAGTAGAGGCAGTGAGAGGAGGATACAGTGCCTTCAGAAAGTATTCATACCCCTTGACTTATTCCACATTTCGTTGTTATGCGCTGAATTGTCAACATGGACTCCTCCAGCTGGGCTGTGTCCTCCAGCTGGGCACTGTCAACATGGACTCCTCCAGCTGGGCCTGTCAACATGGACTCCTCCAGCTGGGCCCTGTCAACATGGACCCCTCCAGCTGGGATGGGCCGTACTATACACTCCACTCACACAGAGAACGCAGATGAGAGAAAAAATAAGAGATTGACAGGGAGGAAACAAGGGTTGAATTGGGACTGTGTGTGTGTGTGTGTGTATATATATATACACACACACACACACACAGTGGGGAGAACAAGTATTTGATACACTGCCGATTTTGCGGGTTTTCCTACTTACAAAGCATGTAGAAGTCTAATTTTTATCATAGGTACACTTCAACTGTGAGAGACGGAATCTAAAACAAAAATCCTGAAAATCACATTGTATGATTTTTAAGTAATTAATTTGCATTTTATTGCATGACATAAGTATTTGATACATTAGAAAAGCAGAACTTAATATTTGGTACAGAAACCTTTGTTTGCAATTACAGAGATCATACGTTTCCTGTAGGTCTTGACCAGGTTTGCACACACTGCAGCAGGGAATTTGGCCCACTCCTCCATACAGACCTTCTCCAGATCCTTCAGGTTTCGGGGCTGTCGCTGAGCAATGCGGACTTTCAGCTCCCTCCAAAGATGTTCTATTGGGTTCAGGTCTGGAGACTGGCTAGACCACTCCAGGACCTTGAGATGCTTCTTACGGAGCCACTCCTTAGTTGCCCTGGCTGTGTGTTTTCGGGTCGTTGTCATGCTGGAAGACCCAGCCACGACCCATCTTCAATGCTCTTACTGAGGGAAGGAGGTTGTTGGCCAAGATCTCGCGATACATGGCCCCATCCATCCTCCCCTAAATACGGTGCAGTCGTCCTGTCCCCTTTGCAGAAAAGCATCCCCAAAGAATGATGTTTCCACCTCCATGCTTCACGGTTGGGATGGTGTTCTTGGGGTTGTACTCATCCTTCTTCCTCCAAACACGGCGAGTGGAGTTTAGACCAAAAAGCTATATTTTTGTCTCATCAGACCACATTACCTTCTCCCATTCCTCCTCTGGATCATCCAGATGGTCATTGGCAAACTTCAGACGGGCCTGGACATGCGCTGGCTTGAGCAGGAGGACCTTGCGTGCGCTGCAGGATTTTAATCCATGACAGCGTAGTGTGTTACTAATGGTTTTCTTTGAGACTGTGGTCCCAGCTCTCTTCAGGTCATTGACCAGGTCCTGCTGTGTAGTTCTGGGCTGATCCCTCACCTTCCTCATGATCATTGATGCCCCACGAGGTGAGATCTTGCATGGAGCCCCAGACCGAGGGTGATTGACGTCATCTTGAACTTCTTCCATTTTCTAATAATTGCGCCAACAGTTGTTGCCTTCTCACCAAGCTGCTTGCCTATTGTCCTGTAGCCCATCCCAGCCTTGTGCAGGTCTACAATTTTATCCCTGATGTCCTTACACAGCTCTCTGGTCTTGGCCATTGTGGAGAGGTTGGCGTCTGTTTGATTGAGTGTGTGGACAAGTGTCTTTTATACAGGTAATGAGTTCAAACAGGTGCAGTTAATACAGGTAATGAGTGGAGAACAGGAGGGCTTCTTAAAGAAAAACTAACAGGTCTGTGAGAGCCGGAATTCTTACTGGTTGGTAGGTGATCAAATACTTATGTCATGCAATAAAATGCAAATGAATTACTTAAAAATCATACAATGTGGTTTTCTGGATTTTTGTTTTAGATTCCGTCTCTCACAGTTGAAGTGTACCTATGATAAAAATTACAGACCTCTACATGCTTTGTAAGTAGGAAAACCTGCAAAATCGGCAGTGTATCAAATACTTGTTCTCCCCACTGTACATATGTGTGTCTGTGCAGAAGAAAGACGAGAAAGAGAGAAACAAATGAAGATTAAGAGAAATAGGGAGGCCTTTGCAGAAAACCCCCAAAAAAGAGACTGCCACAGATGTAAGAGACAGAACAAAAGAGAGGGAGAGTGACAGAGGGAGGCAGTGAGGGAATGACAGGAGGAGAGCTAGACGGAGGGGAGGAGGATGGATGAGAGGCAGACAGATTGACAGCCTCCGTTCCCTGGGACACATGAATAAACCAGCACAGCATATATCACCTTGGAGAGAGAGGGATGACGGAGAGAGAGAGAGACAGAGGAGAGATAGAGGCGAGAGAGGGAGAGGAGAGAAAGGAGACAGAGAGCGCCTCCATAATCAAGCCATCATGGAGAGTATGAGCAAGGGAGTGATGGGGAAAGCAGCGATGGCTCTGAATGAGTCAATCAAGATGCTTCTTGTTCTCCATTCAGACGCTCCCCTCCTCTGCTCAGTACATGCACATGGTTACCCAACAACATCACAACATGGTCTTCTGGGCATTTCCATCAAGTCAAATCACATTTTATTGGTTACATACACGTTTAGCAGATGTTATTGCGGGTGCAGCGAAATGCTTGTTCCTAGCTCCAACAGTGCAGTAGTATCTAACAATTCACAACAATACACAAATCTAAAAAGGCACTGTATATGATGTAACGTGTTAGTGTAGCTAATATAACCATTGAAGTGAAATCCAAATGATTCGCAGTCTTTACGTACAATGTGCTATGTTGCAGAGGGGAAAAAACCTTCCCACCACATCAGTGCTTCTCAGAGGAGTCCTGTATCCTGACACAGAAAATAGGGCACTTTCATATTTATTTAAGTGCTGGGCTCAGATCCAGAGGAGTCCTTGGGGAGACAGACCGAGCAGAGCGGGAAGGAGAGGAGAAAGCGGGTTGGAGGCACAGTAGCTGAGGTTTCACCAGCACTGCCTCAGAGCACACACAAAACACACACAACCAAGGGCACACTGTCATTCAACACATACAGCAGAAATAACCAATAGGGAGTGTGTGTGTAACCGCCCGTGTGTGCGTAACACTATCTGTGTGTGTGTGTGTGTAATGAAAAATAGCCATGAATGCGATGACACAAGTTATGCGTTTGACTGATATATGGGATATCTACATGAGGGTTGTGCAGAGGTGCCAACTGGGGCATGTCCCAATGTCCCAATAATACACAGAACATGTGGTGGTGAAAACCTAAACCAGGAACGCCACGGAGCAGACATACACTACCATTCCTCCACTATTCCATGCATCTGTGACAGACGCACATGGAGGAATACCTCAGCAATTATCCAGCCCAGTGTAGAAATGACACAGGATGACATTTTTAAATCAACACTTCCGCCGTGTGGAGTGACAATGAACTACAGGGACCTCAAAGCTCCACAGGCATTCACATAGACTCCTGTCCATCACTAGGCTAGTATTAGTCATCTAAATGTCATCCTTCATCTAGTAGTAATACTGAGAAATGTATAGTAACATTACACCATTGATGCTTGAGCTCCACTGCATTTCCACTGTGGCATTGCCTCTTGGATAAGATGCACAAAAACAAAAAACAGGACAGACAACGATTGACTTGATTTACTTTATTTGTAAGGCACCAGAAGTACTTCCTTACTGCAGAACATTTCATTTATTTATAGTAAATGTTTGTTATTTTTATATTTCACCTTTTCTTTAAATGAAGCTATGATTTCATGACACAAAACCTTTTTGGGGGGCCAAAGTATGCACTTTTTACATTATACACAAAATAAGTATTCAAAAAATGATCTATACAAAGCTCCAAATACTTACAATGCTTCACGCTATGGGAAAACGGGTAAAGGGCAAACAATGGGTCAGGGGTTAAGAGGGACAGGTATAGGTCAAAGCACTGCAGTTCCTCTAGTGTCACATCAGCACTGTAGGACATAGCACAGGAATCATCCAGGACAGACACATAAGATGCAGTCATATACCAGGGGTGTCCAATCAAAAACATATTTTGACAAATTGTTAAAATAGTGTTAATTGTGTAGATACTTTAAGAAAACCAATGGTCCAAACCTCATGTCTCTATCATAATCCATTCAAAAGGTATTGGAGTGTTTACCCATGTAGGATGGCCAGAATTAGGATGACTAAATCAATGGAAGCCAGAGAAAAACGGGGTCAAAAAATCTGGATAATTGCATCGCGTCAGCTAGGCTGGATTCTGTGCAAGAATTAAGGCTTCTGGTTACCTGACAGGCTCACTTTCCAGTTGAACTCGGCATCTTCCTTCTCGAAGCCGCAGGACGTAAAATAAAGGTAAGATGGATATCTATTTGAGACATGACGTAGTACTTTCTTATTTTAATATACGCTTTACATATTCATTCAAAATTCCTATTCCTTTTTGACGATTTCTCACAAAAACAAGCGTATCTCTAAAATGTCAATTGCGCACTGACCATATACCAAGCTTTTTTATTTTCAAAGCCTTTTATATTTAATTCAGCTCCTGTCATGCCAATTTAGCTTTTTGCGACCAGCGGAAACAACTTTGAAGACGACCACAAAATGTAAAATCCTCAAGTTGTTATGCAAAACCTGCACCCTTATGTCAACAGAGCTCAGTGCTTATTATCGGATGTATTAGGTTACGAAATCGGACTTTTTTGATATAAATGTTAAATGATATGTTAGAGAAAGACCCCATTGACCGATTCAGAACATGAATAATCATATTTGTCCTGGTAAAATGTATTTTATAACATAAGTGAAATTATCACCAAAGCGCGTTTTCACCCACTCTGAGCAGAGTGGGTGGGGACACCCTACATATACACATAAAGCTTTATATGTATAACTGTATACATAAACTGGCCCTCCACTACTAAACAAATACATAATTTATCGGAATCTTTAAAAGCCTTTTACTCTCATTCTATTTCATAGCGATAATATTCAAACAAGTGCATTGATCACAGAAAATGTGGACCAAACTTTTTTTTAAACATTTCTTCGCTAATAGAAAGGAATATAGTTCCGCGAGAGACATGCGTTTGTGTGCATCTACCCACACGCATTGCATATCACTACTGTTTATGTCGATAAGAGTAAGTTGTGCCGTTCACAAGCAGTATTAGACTTCCCAGGTTCACCACTGACTGACCAACGTTCAAATCTATATTACAGAGGTTTATGAATGCATTCACATAGGGCTATGGAATCAGTTTTCTTCCGACGCTTTATCTAAGACATTTACACAGATCTCTACACCCTCACAGTGTAACCCACCATCAAACAGAAAGGAGGATGTCTATTAATATAAGGGGAATACAAAAAACATACAGTACAACACACGCTGTATAACAGACTGGGATCAAAACAATGATCAGACAATAACACCAATCTTACAGTAAAACCACTAGTCACCATCACATCTTCTATACCATTCTCCATAGCGCTAAAGCTGCCTCGACCTTTAGTTCTAGACTACAGCGGCACTTACGGGTCCAGCTAATAATCGCACACTCTTTCTCCAACAGGCTGTGAGAAACATGTTGGGGTTTATAGAAAATAGATATTTTGTTATGTAAATGCACACCAAATGGTGGCCATTTGTGCTTTATCTACTCAATAAATGACTGATAAAAAAAACTTTAATTTAAAACTATTCATTGGCCATGGACAATGCATCCAAATTTGTGAGTGCTGTATATGTATTCTATACAAGAGCTAAATCATGCATAATTTCTTCTTATACAGCGACTCATCTTTTGAGTGAAAAGATAGTGGGCGCAGTGAACATTTTGCACATTTTGTTCTATGCTGCTGCCTAACAATAGAGAGAGATGTCAACCTGTTTCCTAGAATAGACCAGAGATTCCTGTTCAAAGAGGTGACTCAGTGGATGTCAGAGCTGCTTTCTAAAACACTTACTGCTCTCTAGTGTTGCAGAGGCAATGTGCACTCTCCTACTGCATCCCCACCAAGGAGAGAAAAGATCTAAAGGTGTTTTCTATCTCGCACAATGTTAGTCATCGCTGCGATCTGTACATTCGGACTGTTATGATAGTATTGATAGCATGCCTTTCATGGAAGCGGTCTAAAGTAGCTCAGTGGGTTAGACAGGGCTCTCTGGGGAATTAGTCATAGGGGGTAGATTTATTTGTAGGAATGATAGCACAGACTTGAAGAGAAACAGCATGAAAGTAGCTCTAAGGTGTTTTTCGTTTCCCATTTAAATGTAGATTAGATTATACATATAATAATCTCTATTTATCTAGAGGTAATTTTTCAATACGTCCTTTCTAAAAACGACTAAAAGCAGCACTAGCGTTTGACTACGTAAGAGCACAGCTTTACATGGCATTACAACAGGAATGCTTCTCCCCCACCTATAGCCATCAGGGACTGGAGTTACCTAGTTAAACTATTCACCAAGAAGACGGCCATATTTCAACTACCCTCTTTTACCTTGGGGACGAATCCTAACCTGAAAATCGAAGTGCGGCCAACAAAACTTCTCAGCAAATTTTCTCACTGATATCAATGCAAGATTTTCAAGTTAGGATTCAGATCTTCACAGACAGTTTTTGCTGTTGCTTGTCTAAAAGTCTGGTTTGTTATTCCACTTATACTATGTGACATTCAGGCTCCCAGATGGGCCCTGGTTAAAGAGAGCCAGGGTGGCATAAAAACACAGATCCACTTACCACTGGGCCATAAAGGGAGCAGGAGGAGGGAAAAACAAATGAGCAAAAAGAGAAGTAAAGCTCAAATCACACACACAATGTTTATATATATATGAAATAAATGATAGTAGGACCACAGCCCTCCGACGCTGCTGTTGTTGTTAATATGCGGTGGAGGGCGGGAGGGAGCTCTAGTCGGACTTGTCCCCGTCCTCCTCACGGTGGCTGTCGGCTCCCTCGCGAGAAGCCTTCTCCTCCTTGGCCAGCTGGGCCTGCGAGGCCAGGATGGAGGAGAGGGAGAAGAGGCCTGAAGAGGAGGTGACGGCCGGCAGGGTTGACTGGCTCAAGCCCAGGGGCATGGGGGTCATGGGCAGGGCCAGACCCTGGAGCTGGGACAGCTGGTGAGCCTGGAGCTGCTGCTGCGGACAACACACACACAGCTCAAACACAGGGGAGATACAGAGATGGGTACATATGGCTCTCACACGAGTGCACGTGCGTGCGCACACACAAATATATTGGCAGCCTTGCACCTTTCTTAAAGAAATACCTATTTATTCTCAAATAAGCTGAAATTGAAAACAACTTTTGGTCTCCACACCTTGTTATTGGATTTTTAGGATCGCAGAACCATAAAACTTAAGTTTACAATTGTAAATGTAAAATATAAAGACAAACGGCATGGACAAACTTATTGGCACCCCGGAGCTAGTATTTCACTGCACAGCCTTTGGCCAAGATAACACCCGACAAATGCTTCTTGTAGCCATCAATGAGCTTGCTGCAACTTTTACTGGCAATTTAGCTCACTTTTCTACAGCAAACATCTCTAATTCCAACTGCTGTTTTCAGCTCTTGCCATAGGTTATGGATGTGATTCAGATCTGAACTCTTCATTGGCCACTCCAGAACAGTCCAGCGCTTCTTCTTGAACCATTCCAGGGTGCTTTTGATGTGTGTTTGGGGTCGTTGTCCTGCTGGATGACCAACAACCTTCAACAGAGTCCCAGACACTGAGTTGAACATTGCACTCCAAAAATCCTTGATCATCTGCTGATTTCATGAGTTCTTGCACACATTCAGTACCAGGGGCAGCAAAGCAATCCCACAGCATTATCAAACCTCCCCATGTTTGATTGTAGGGAGGGTGTTCTTGTCTTTGAATGCTTCATTTAGTCGTTGGTAACAATCATTTTGTCCATGCCATTAGTCTTTATTTTCTAAATTAAAATGGTAAACTTAAGTTTACACAACAAAAATAATTGTTCTGCAATGTTTAAAATCCAATTACAAGATGTGGAGACCAATTTTATTATATATTTTTCCAACTTATTTTATAAGAAATAGGTAATTATCTAAGAAACGTGCAAGAGTGCCAATATTTTTGGCAACAATTATATACAGTGGGGAAAAAAAGCATTTAGTCAGCCACCAATTGTGCAAGTTCTCCCACTTAAAAAGATGAGAGGCCTGTAATTTTCATCATAGGTACACGTCAACTATGACAGACAAAATGAGAAAAATAATTCCAGAAAATCACATTGTAGGATTTTTAATGAATTTATTTGCAAATGATGGTGGAAAACAAGTATTTGGTCACCTACAAACAAGCAAGATTTCTGGCTCTCACAGACCTGTAACTTCTTATTTAAGAGGCTCCTCTGTCCTCCACTCGTTACCTGTATTAATGGCACCTGTTTGAACTTGTTATCAGTATAAAAGACACCTGTCCACAACCTCAAACAGTCACACTCCAAACTCCACTATGGCCAAGACCAAAGAGCTGTCAAAGGACACCAGAAACAAAATTGTAGACCTGCACCAGGCTGGGAAGACTGAATCTGCAATAGGTAAGCAGCTTGGTTTGAAGAAATCAACTGTGGGAGCAATTATTAGGAAATGGAAGACATACAAGACCACTGATAATCTCCCTCGATCTGGGGCTCCACGCAAGATCTCACCCCGTGGGGTCAAAATGATCACAAGAACGGTGAGCAAAAATCCCAGAACCACACGGGGGGACCTAGTGAATGACCTGCAGAGAGCTGGGACCAAAGTAACAAAGCCTACCATCAGTAACACACTACGCCGCCAGGGACTCAAATCCTGCAGTGCCAGACATGTCCCCCTGCTTAAGCCAGTACATGTCCAGGCCCGTCTGAAGTTTGCTAGAGTGCATTTGGATGATCCAGAAGAGGATTGGGAGAATGTCATATGGGTCAGATGAAACCAAAATAGAACTTTTTGGTAAAAACTCAACTCGTCGTGTTTGGAGGACAAAGAATGCTGAGTTGCATCCAAAGAACACCATACCTACTGTGAAGCATGGGGGTGGAAACATCATGCTTTGGGGCTGTTTTTCTGCAAAGGGACCAGGACGACTGATCCGTGTAAAGGAAAGAATGAATGGGGCCATGTATCGTGAGATTTTGAGTGAAAACCTCCTATCAGCAAGGGCATTGAAGATGAAACGTGGCTGGGTCTTTCAGCATGACAATGATCCCAAACACACCGCCCAGGCAACAAAGGAGTGGCTTCGTAAGAAGTATTTCAAGGTCCTGGAGTGGCCTAGCCAGTCTCCAGATCTCAACCCCATAGAAAATCTTTGGAGGGAGTTGAAAGTCCGTGTTGCCCAGCGACAGCCCCAAAACATCACTGCTCTAGAGGAGATCTGCATGGAGGAATGGGCCAAAATACCAGCAACAGTGTGTGAAAACCTTGTGAAGACTTACAGAAAACGTTTGACCTGTGTCATTGCCAACAAAGGGTATATAACAAAGTATAGAGAAACTTTTGTTGAGTGTGACTGTTTGAGGTTGTGGACAGGTGTCTTTTATACTGATAACAAGTTCAAACAGGTGCCATTAATACAGGTAACGAGTGGAGGACAGAGGAGCCTCTTAAAGAAGAAGTTACAGGTCTGTGAGAGCCAGAAATCTTGCTTGTTTGTAGGTGACCAAATACTTATTTTCCACCATCATTTGCAAATAAATTCATAAAAAATCCTACAATGTGATTTTCTGGATTTTTTTCCCTCAATTTGTCTGTCATAGTTGACGTGTACCTATGATGAAAATTACAGGCCTCTCATCTTTTTAAGTGGGAGAACTTGCACAATTGGTGGCTGACTAAATACTTTTTTTCCCCACTGTACATGTGCTCAGGTGTGTTTTGTGTGTGTGTGTACAAACTGAGCACATCCATTCCACAAAATGTACAACTGAGCCTTGACATATTCCAGACAAAGACCGTTCATCATCATCAATATCTAAAACACCAAACATAAAGCTCCATTAAAACCCAGAGCATCAGACGCATCATAATGATGGATTGATAGCTAGATAGTGATGAGTATCAGCCCCATTGAGGAGTGCCTAGAGGGAGCAGCCTACCCGGATGATGGAGTTCATCTCTGGAGGGGTGACCTGCTTGGCCCTCTCAATGGCCCCCAGGACCTGTTGCTGGTGCTGGGACACAAACACACATGCGGGTGGGGGGGGGGTTAGATGGCTCAATACTACCAACACTGACCCTGTGCTCCATACCGATTCAATTATTAAGTCACTAACACAATGCTGGGGTCTGATGGAGAATCAATTATCCACTCCCATGTTGTAATGGGTCATCTCGTCATGGACACAAATGAGCATATCTTATCTGGATCACAGCAGAGCGCTCTGGTCCCTTTCATTACCGGGCTCTCAATGATGAATGGAGGGATATATGCTATAGGGAGGAGGGATTGAGAAGTCAAATAAGAATGATCTCATTCCAGGCTGCAGGGCGCCACGTGGGGTTAGGGGTCAGGGGTTAGGGGTTAGGGGGTGTTCTTACCTCCTGGGACAGATAGGGGAGGACTTGGGCACAGATCCCGTTTAATCTTTTCACAATCTCAGCCTGAGGAGATAAAACACATCAGCCTTTAGCTTCATTTAACACCCCTCAGACTCGCATCAACATAGAACCCACGCTCCCAAAGGGCACTTCACAAGCACACATATTACTTTACGTAGTAATTATCATAACCAACTCTGATATGCAAAGCAGTGTTAATTGTGTTACTTTCTAATTCAGTGTGATATCTCAGAAGACAAAACACCACACTCTTATCACTCCATCATCATGCACACTGACATCTCGCTCTGCTCTTCAAATGCATTTTGTGCCTCTTTCTATATGTGAGGAAGAATATGATGCACACAAGTGTGCGCACACACAAAAGTAAGAGGAAATGCCAAATGTTTTGTCAGGTGGGAGAGCAATTAATTCAAGCTAACCGGAGAGGGGTTCTTACAACTGGCAGGGATGGAGACATTTTTTTAAAAGTGGAGGGAGACAAAGAAGAAACAATAACCCCTTTTCAATATCTCCCCGGCACAATCCCAGACTAAACTGTATCTCCCCGGCACAATCCCAGACTAAACTGTATCTCCCCGGCACAATCCCAGACTAAACTGTATCTCCCCGGCACAATCCCAGACTAAACTGTATCTCCCCGGCACAATCCCAGACTAAACTGTATCTCCCCGGCACAATCCCAGACTAAACTGTATCTCCCCGGCACAATCCCAGACTAAACTGTATCTCCCCGGCACAATCCCAGACTAAACTGTATCTCCCCGGCACAATCCCAGACTAAACTGTATCTCCCCGGCACAATCCCAGACTAAACTGTATCTCCCCGGCACAATCCCAGACTAAACTGTCTGGAGCTCCTCAGCTGGAGAGAACAGAAAGCTCAGGGAGGAGAGAGAGGAGAGAGGAGAGAGAGAACGAAAGAAAGAAAGAGAAAGAAAAAGAGCAAAGAGAAAGAACAAAAGAAAGAGAAAAATAAAGAGAAAAAGAGTAGAGTGAACTAAATAACGAAAAAGAACGATAGAAAGAGAGAACAAAAGAAAAAGAAAAAAAGAAGAAAGTGAAAGAGCAGGCTGAACACAAAACACAGACGTGAATTCTCTTCGACATTCAGTTCTACACATCCCCTTCCATTTCAACCCTCTAATGCTGCCGCAGTTCATCTGCACCCACTCACACGCGCTTACATAATTGGGGATACACACACAAGCACGCTCGCGCACACACACACAGCCCCCCCCCCTCCCTCTTGCCTCTGAATTTCTAAATATTTCATCCCCGTCAGATAAAGGAGTAGGGGTGATGAATTGTACTCATGAGGCAGAGCGAGGGGCTGTGTGTGTACGTGCTAGAGCGTGTGTGTGCGCGACTCGATTTTTCACTGCGTGTTCTGTGCTGCCGGTGTGGCTGTCATGGAGGAGCCGTCAATCTTTTAGCGTGGCCGTCACCGCCAGACGAGGTCACAGATAAGGCCGGGTCCACAGAGGCCCATCGCTCTCCCCCAGCAGCCGGCCCATAAATTACCCCCCCCCCCCCCCCCCCGGATCTATGGGCACCGGATGAGCCCCTTAGACAGCAGCACGCTACTCTTCCACTGACCATGTAGGAAAATACAGAGACTAGAGCTTTAACCTGCGCAGTACTGTACTGCTCCTTCCTTTAGAACAATCCCTCTGAATAGGGATGCTTTCTCAGCGATGCCAGAGAGAGATGTTTCACTCTCGGTCTGTCTATAAGCGGCATGATGATAAGAAGAACCGATTCCCATCTCCGACACCACTGCTGAAGGAGGGTTTCCTATTAACGTAGACAGAGAGAGACTTACCTGCTTGTGCATTTCAATGTTCAACCCATAGGACATCTCATAGTACTGTAAAGCAGAAGGAAGATGAGGCGTTATTATATTGTTTCCAGTATAATAATAGAAAGAGGGAAATTCCATTAAGTCCTGTAGAGTGTAGGCAGATTGTCTAGCTATATGCATTTCCTTCTGTCCCACAGAGCCATCTCCTGGGTGTCATGCATCATGTCATTACTGTTACACCAGGTAAAACCCTTTACACGCACACACACCCTGTTGTCCTCCTGTGTCGCTGTGAGACGGCAAGGGATGGTGTGTATGTTATGCGTTAATGAGCGGGCCAGTGGCTCAGCATTAGCCCTGTTAAATCACCCGCTCCCCACACACACACACACACACACACACACGAGGGGGAGCGTTGGCTGTCCAGACAAAATGGCACGTCCCTAAAGCAATTATGGCGCTGGGGAAATGGAGGCGCTGGCGTTAGCAGCCGGCGAAGCAGGGGAACCCGATAGGCAATTAAGGGAGGGGGGACCAGGCTGGGGCTACAAACACACTGATCCGCTGATGGATACGAGTGCAGCGCATCACAGATTAGATGAGATTAAGCCAGTCAACGGATCAATTAGAGACAGAATCAGACAGCTACACGGGCCTTGCCAGAGACAATGAGATTAGCTAGAGGTAGAGAGTATGTGTTGGGGGAAGGAGGGGAGAGGATGGCGGAAAGAAGGGATGACACATAACACCAGAGACAAAAGGACCACAGAAGAGACTAAAGGAGGAATCATAAGAGGGAGGAGAGATAAAAAGACTGAGAACAATGACATGAAAGAGGGAGGAGAGAGAGAAACAGAAAGAGAGAGAGATGGGCACAGGGCTACAGAGAGGAAGAGTATAGACTGGAGACAAAGGTAAAAGAGCGAGATCGTATTTTCAATATTGCTGTGTACTTTAGCAATATTGCTATATGTTGTAGTTGCTAGACTGAAATGGTGCCAAATTCAATTACTTGTTGCAAAAATATCCCATAAAAGGTGAAAATATGTTTTGTTGACATATTTAGCTGCAGTGTTAAACATCCCCCTGCCTGCAGAGGAGGTGCTAGGTGGTATGAATGCAGTGTTTCCCCTATATCCATTTAGCAGCGGCGCCCCAAATATACACTGAACAAAAATAAAACGCAACATGGGAACAATTTTACTGAGTTACAGCTCATATAAAGAAATCAGTTAATTGAAATTACATTAATTAGGCCCTAATCTAATTAGGTCCTAATCCTTTCACATGACTAGGAATACAGAAATGCATCTGTTGGCCACAGACACCTTTAAAAAAAGGTAGTGTTGTGGATCATAAAACCAGTCAGTATCTGGTGTGACCACCATTTGCCTCCTGTAGAGCGACACATCTCCTTCGCATAGAGTTGATCAGGCTGTTGATTGTGGCCTGTGGAATGTTGTCCCACTCCTCTTCAATGGCTGTGTGAAGTTGCTGGATATTGGCGGGGACTGGAACACTGTCGTACGCGTCGATCCAGAGCATCCCAAACATGCTCAATGTGTGACATGTTTGGTGAGTATGCAGGCCATGGAGGAACAGACATTTTCTGCTTCCAGGAATTGTGTACAGATCCTTGCGACATAGGGCTGTGAATTATCATGCTAAAACATGAGGTGATGGTGGCGGATGAATGGCACGACTATTGGCCTCAGTTACTCGTCACGGTAACTGTGCATTCAAATTGCCATCGATAAAATGCAATTGTGTTCATTGTCCTTAGCTTATGCCTGCCCATAACATAACCTCACCATGGGGTACACTGTCCACAACGTTGACGTCATTAAACCGCTCGCCCACATGACGCCATTCACAGTCTGCCATCTGCCCAGTACAGTTGAAACCGGGATTCAGCACACTTCTCCAGCAGTCTGCAGTCAGGCCAAGACCCTGGTGAGGACGACGAGCATGCAGATGAGCTTCCCTGAGACTAAAAAATCAATTCGCAGAGGGATGCACCTGATTGGCAATGATGTTCAGATATCCTGTGGCATTCAAACATTGCACCACTTATATCAAGGCTCCCAATGTGTGCCATGAAAACACATCCCACCAGCACCAGCACCACCAGCCTGCAATGTCAACGCCGGCATGATGGATGCATGTACAGTACTCAAGTGGTTTTCTCCATACCCTTGTCCTCCCATCAGCGTGAAAGAGCAGAAACCGGGATTCATCAGACCAGGCAATGTTTTCCAATTGTCCAGTGTTTTCGTTCCTTAGCCCACTGCAACCGCAGTTTCTTGTTTTTTGCTGAAAGAAGTGGAACTCTAAGGTCGTCGGCTGCCATACCCCATTCATGTCAAGGTATGACGAGTTGTGCATTCTTTTATGGGTCTTTGGGCACCAATGTTGTACTGGACAGTCAGTTAACTAACTGTAGCCCATCTGTTGCTCTGCACAATTCGTGTCAGCCTCCTTTGTCCTCTTTCATCAAGGACCTGTTTTTCGACCACTGGCCTGCCGTTGGCTGGACGTCCTTTGGATGGTGGACCATTCTTGATACACACAGGAAACTGTGGAGTGTGAAAAACCCAGCAGCGTTGCAGTTCTTGACACACTCAAACCGGTGCGCCCGGCACCTACTACCATACCCCGTTGAAAGGCACTTAAATATTTTGTCTTGCCCATTCACCCACTGAATGGCACACATACACAATCTATGTCTCAATTGTCTCAAGGCATGAACATCCTTCTCTAACCTGTCTCCTCTCCTTCATCTACACTGATTGAAGTGGTTTTAACAGGTGACATCAATAAGGGGTCATAGCTTTCACCTGGATTCACCTAGTCAGTTATGTCATGGAAAGAACAGTTCCTAATGTTTTGTACTCAGTGTATATTTGTAGCAAACAGACCTAGCAGTCGCACGCACGAGCGCACAGCCACCAATTGCTCCTCATCTCCCTACAGTAGGGCGCATCAGTTATATTTCAGATTGTGTCAACATCATTACATTTTCATGCATTTTGGAGTAGAATGTCCTTTTAAAAAAGTCACCAGAAGTGTGGGGGGGCATGCCGTTGCAAAGTAGACATTGACAGAGCAGGGTCACTCACAGTATCACACACGGACTGACACAGGCAAACACACACACTGGACAGTGAGACACACACACAGAAACACACACTTAAAAAAACACTCACCATGATATAATGACGTTGCATCTCAGACTTCTCGCTGGCCAGCTTGTCACACTCCAGCTTCAAACTGCAGAGAAGAGGAAAAATATGAAAAATTTAAAATCTTTAGTCTCCAGGAAGCATCACCCATACCTCTTCAGGGAGCCAGGAAATGACTTCATCCTTCCCTCATTGGATCTAACAAGGTGTCAACCCACCAAAAGAGAAGAAAGCCTCCCAAATAAACCACAATAAAGATCCATATATACACCCAGAGTGATTTAAATGTCCTGCCTATAAAAAGCAGACGGTTGGTGGATGTGGATGACGTGGATGTGCAGCTCTGTGATGCATCGCAGACAGCCATTAGCTGTAATCATGTCACAGCGCTTGCTGCAGATGTCACAGGAGGTGACAGGACAAAGGAGGCCAAGTCTCTGCTGCCACACCACTTATCACAAGCTTTCATATTGGAATGGCGTCAGTGTTGACATCCCCCTCTGCAGAGTGTCCTGATTAATATTGATACACACGAAGGGAGCAGTTATGAATATCAGACGAGGGTTTATAATGGTGTATTTACGTTAAGATAGTCTTTGGGATCTGGATCTGTGCCGTCAGCATCACTGTGAATGAAGACTCAATTAGGCAGAGCGTTAGCTGTGGCGAATCCTCATCATTGTTCCCAACTGGGAAACTGCTGCTCATAGCCACCGCTGATTCCGACACTGACATGGAAAAATAGTGGATGCAAATGGATTCATAAAAGCTGCGCTGTTAACCCAGCCCAAAGTGAAAAGGTTAAAGGATAATTTTTTTACACAACCAAATCTCTATTTTTGATGTAAATGCCATGTTATAGAAGGGTCCAGACACCTTTGTGATTTCACTTGTTTTTGATAAACATAAGTTTATACTATAAGGACACACCCGGTCTGCACTTCTGCGTAGGGGACTATTACGTTAAGGATAAGGTTCAGAATGACAATTTCTTATGTACAACATTTAAAGACCTGCATCACTATACTGAGAGCTTTGCAGTTTTCGAAAAGGACGCATTTGTGTTTGTTCATGTTTTTTCAGGGCCCTCATAATGCACAACACGAGAATGAGGAAGTGATTTGTTGTTTGGGGTAAGTCTATCAAAAACAAGTAAAATCACCAAAAAAGGTGTCTATAACATGCCATTTACATCTAAAATAGTTTTCTTTTGACAAACAAATATTTTCCTTTAAAGAATAAACCACCTCATTACAATTCAACAGCAGTCCTCAGATTCCCTGACCAAACAAGTGCTCAGGGGGCGCATTTCATTCAGACAGCTCCCTCCCTCCCTCCGGCCCTCCATCTCTACTCCTCTTTCGCCTGCAGCCTCCACTTAGCCAAATCGCTTTTTCCTCCTCCCCCTCCAAAAAAATAAATAAAATAAAATCCAGCAGTGCGAGCGCAAACAAAGGGGTTGGTTGTCATGACGACCAGCCTCCCCTGCTGCCACCCTACCTGAGAGCGGATTGTGATTGTCTTTGTGCGCTTGTGATTGGTGGAGGCGGCCCGGGGGCTCGGAGAGACACTCTCAAACGACACTTTGATGGAGTTTTATTGCCGCTCCTTCCGCCTCTAAATCGCTCCTGCTGTCATCTTTATTTTGATTGATGTATTCCCTGATCTATTTATGCATGTGAGGGGGGGGGAGCAACAGATACAATGCTTGCTACTATGCTCAGGAGACCACCTGCAGAACATTTCCCTTTAAAAGGGCTGAACGCAGCCTTCTACAAAGCCTTGTCTATCCTCAGCTCAAGTCATTAGGCAGCGGGTATGCATGCTCTGAATACGGCGTAGAGAAAAGGTATTCTTTCAACTGCTTCCATCTGCCTCTGAAGGGGGTTAAACAGTGGGGCGGTGGGTTGTCTAGGGAATTACACACCAAAGCCCAGGCTCTGAGGTGTTCCTGCTACACTAGGAATGGACTGATGATCAGACAGACAGAAATTTCACACAACGAACAAACACACAGGCTTTTATCTGCTTCTCCTCTGATGAAGCTCAATGGAACAGGGAGGAAAGAAAACCTCAGCCAATACACTTCCTAGTTCCTATACCACAGGTAAATAGAGGGAGGGAATCAGAGGCAGTTGTAGCCCTGCTGCTTCAAAGGCTAGAAATCCATTAAGAGGAAACCTTCCTTGGGTAACATGAGATCCATGAACTCCACACATTTAGTCATGAATCAAACAGAGCAATATACTGTACTCTCTGGTACATCTCAATGCAGGTAAAACAAATGACCTTGTACCATCTAGCAACTGCCAATTTTGTTGGGTTGTGGTTATAGCGGTACATCAATAACAGTGCTTTTTATTACATGAAAGAGAACAAAGTTCTAGACTAGGGTTCCAAATAGAACTGACACACACATCCATTGGTCTGCTCTTAAAGAAATAAAAAAATATTTTCATGTCTTCTCCTCTGGAGCAACAGCACACACACTACTAGAATGTATTCTTTCAACTGCTTCTGTATGCCTCTGAATGGGGTTAAACGGTGGGGTGAAAGAAAATGTATTAGTCTTGATGTGATTTATTTGATATTCTAATCATGTAGGTTATTCCTGTGAGCTTTTGCACAGAACCATGAGCAGCAGTGTACTCTAGTACTCCACACTGTATACTTACGCAACATACAGTGGGGAAAAAAAGTATTTAGTCAGCCACCAATTGTGCAAGTTCTCCCACTTAAAAAGATGAGAGAGGCCTGTAATTTTCATCATAGGTACACGTCAACCATGACAGACAAAACTCCTGAGTGGCGCAGTGGTCTAAGGCACTGCATCGCAGTGCTAACTGTGCCACTAGAGATCCTGGTTCGAATCCAGGCTCTGTCGCAGCCGGCCGCGACCGGGAGACTCATGGGAGGCGCACAATTGGCCCAGCGTCGTCCAGGGTAGGGGAGGGAATGGCCGGCAGGGATGTAGCTCAGTTGATAGAGCATGGCGTTTGCAACGCCAGGGTTGTGGGATCAATTCCCACGGGGGGCCAGTATAAAAAAAATATGTATTCACTAACTGTAAGTCGCTCTGGATAAGAGCGTCTGCTAAATGACTAAAATGTAAATGTAAATGTAAAATGAGAAAAAAAAATATCCAGAAAATCACATTGTAGGATTTTTTATGAATTTATTTGCAAATGATGGTGGAAAATAAGTATTTGGTCAATAACAAAAGTTTCTCAATACTTTGTTATATACCCTTTGTTGGCAATGACACAGGTCAAACGTTTTCTGTAAGTTTTCACACACTGTTGCTGGTATTTTGGCCCATTCCTCCATGCAGATCTCCTCTAGAGCAGTGATGTTTTGGGGCTGTCGCTGGGCAACACGGACTTTCAACTCCCTCCAAAGATTTTCTATGGGGTTGAGATCTGGAGACTGGCTAGGCCACTCCAGGACCTTGAAATGCTTCTTACGAAGCCACTCCTTCGTTGCCCGGGCGGTGTGTTTGGGATCATTGTCATGCTGAAAGACCCAGCCACGTTTCATCTTCAATGCCCTTGCTGATGGAAGGAGGTTTTCACTCAAAATCTCACGATACATGGCCCCATTCATTCTTTCCTTTACACGGATCAGTCGTCCTGGTCCCTTTGCAGAAAAACAGTCCCAAAGCATGATGTTTCCACCCCCATGCTTCACAGTAGGTATGGTGTTCTTTGGATGCAACTCAGCATTCTTTGTCCTCCAAACACGACGAGTTGAGTTTTTACCAAAAAGTTCTATTTTGGTTTCATCTGACCATATGACATTCTCCCAATCCTCTTCTGGATCATCCAAATGCACTCTAGCAAACTTCAGATGGGCCTGGACATGTACTGGCTTAAGCAGGGGGACACGTCTGGCACTGCAGGATTTGAGTCCCTGGCGGCGTAGTGTGTTACTGATGGTAGGCTTTGTTACTTTGGTCCCAGCTCTCTGCAGGTCATTCACTAGGTCCCCCCGTGTGGTTCTGGGATTTTTGCTCACCGTTCTTGTGATCATTTTGACCCCACGGGGTGAGATCTTGCGTGGAGCCCCAGATCGAGGGAGATTATCAGTGGTCTTGTATGTCTTCCATTTCCTAATAATTGCTCCCACAGTTGATTTCTTCAAACCAAGCTGCTTACCTATTGCAGATTCAGTCTTCCCAGCCTGGTGCAGGTCTACAATTTTGTTTCTGGTGTCCTTTGACAGCTCTTTGGTCTTGGCCATAGTGGAGTTTGGAGTGTGACTGTTTGAGGTTGTGGACAGGTGTCTTTTATACTGATAACAAGTTCAAACAGGTGCCATTAATACAGGTAACGAGTGGAGGACAGAGGAGCCTCTTAAAGAAGAAGTTACAGGTCTGTGAGAGCCAGAAATCTTGCTTGTTTGTAGGTGACCAAATACTTATTTTCCACCATCATTTGCAAATAAATTCATAAAAAATCCTACAATGTGATTTTCTGGATTTTCTTTTCTCAATTTGTCTGTCATAGTTGACGTGTACCTATGATGAAAATTACAGGCCTCTCTCATCTTTTTAAGTGGGAGAACTTGCACAATTGGTGGCTGACTAAATACTTTTTTCCCCCCACTGTACAGTAGGCATCACAGACACAGATGGTAGAGACCATTCCTCAGATCTAACCTCAACCACAGCCATTCATAGGCTACTCTACATAATGTGTACTGTATGTACACCAATATACAATGCCGAGAAAAATTATTTGCACCCTTTGTGATTTTCTCTATTTGTGATACTGAATGTTATCAGATCGTCAACCAAAACCTAATATTAGATAAAGGGAACCTGAGTTTACAAATAATTAAATAAATATATATTTTTTGGTTAACAAAGTTCTGCAACATCCAGTTCCCCTGTGTGAAAAATTAATTGCCCCCTTACTCTCAATAACTGGTTGTGCCACTTTTAGCTGCAATGACTGCAACCAAATGCTTCCTGTAGTTGTTGATCAGTCTCTCACATCGCTGTGGAGGAATTTTGGCCCACTCTTGCATGCAGAACTTCTTTAACTCAGCGACATTTGTGGGTTTTCAAGCATGAACGGCTCGTTTCAAGTCCTGCCACAACATCTCAATTGGGATTAGGTCTGGACTTTGACTAGGCCATTCCAAACGTATACTTTGTTGCTTTTTAACCATTTTCATGTAGACTTGATTGTGTGTTTTGGATCATTGTCTTGCTGCATGACCCCCCCACTGTAACTCATAGCAGAATATAATTCAAGTGTTCTAGTCTGTACACTCACCTACAAAGATATGGTTATGCTCAGAGTATTCACAAATAGCAGACAGGTTTAGTATCTTAACCCCTAGTTCATCTGATAAGCCTTGGTTGAAGGGTTTGTGTGAGAAACAACAGTGCTAAATGGGTACCTGTGGTATTGTGCTTGGAGGAACTGGAACTCATCCTTGATTCGGTCACACGAGTCGGAGGTTGTGAATTTCAGCTGCTGCGATGAAGCCTGCAAGACGGACAGACAAACACCATTAAAACACATTAGTGAAATAAAACAGGTCTGGCCTGGCTCACACTAGGGTCGTTCCACCTCAAAAAGCACAAGAAATGGGATTGACATAAACCATCTAAGATGATCGTTTCTGTAGTTAGTAACAGATACGATTAGCATTCCTGAAACATTATTTTGTTTAAATATTTCGGAGAAATTAAGCGAATTGATAGCATCTTAATTTATAGGATTCTGATACAGTGCCTTAAGTATTCCCACCCCTTGACTTGTTCCACATTTTGTGTTACAGCCCGACTTCAAAATACACACAATACCCCATAATGTCAAAGTGGAATTATGTTTAGACATTTAGACTTAGTCAATAAGTATTCAACCCATTTGTTTTGGCAAGCCTAAATAAGTTCCAGAGTAAAAATGTGCTTAAGTCACAAAAGTTGCATGGACTCACTGTGTGCAATAATACAGTACCTTCAGAAAGTATTCACACCCCTCAACCTTTTCCAAAATAATGTATTTTACAAAGTGGGATTAAAATAGATTTAATTCTCAATGACCTACACAAAATACTTGAACGTCAAAGTGAAATAAAAAATAAAATAAAATGAATATACCTTGAATAGATAAGTATTCATCCCCCTGAGTCAATATATGTTAGAATCACATTTGGCAGTGATTACAGCTGTGAGTCTTTCTGGGTAAGTCTAAGCGCTTTGCACACCTGGATTGTACAATATTTGCCCATTAATTATTAAAACAATTCTTCAAGCTCTGTCAAGTTGGTTGTTGATCAGTGCTAGACAGCTATTTTCAAGTCTTGCCATCCGATTTAAGTCAAAACTGTAACTAGGCCACTCAGGAACATTCAATGTCATCTTGGTAAGCAACTCCAGTGTATATTTGGCCTTGTGGTTTATGTAATTGTCCTGCTGGAAGGTGAATTTGTCTCCCAGTGTCTGTTGGAAAGCAGACAACATGGTTTTCCTCTAGGATTTTGCATGTGCTTAGCTCTATTGTTTCTTTTTATCATAAAAAACTCCCTAGTCCTTGCCGATGGCAAGCATCCCCTTAACATGATGCAGCCACCACCATGCTTGAAAATATGAAGTAGTACTCAGTGTGTTGTGTTGGATTTGCCCCGAACATAATGCTTTGTATTCAGGATAAAAAGTTAATTTCTTTGCCACATTTTTTTGCAGTATTACTTTAGTGCCTGATTGCAAACAGAATGCATGTTTTGGAATATTTTATTCTGTACAGGCTTCATGCTTTTCATTCTGTACTTTTGGTTAGTATTGTGGAGTAACTACAATGTTGTTGATCCATCAGTTTTCTCCTATCACAGCCATTAAACTCGAACTGTTTTAAAGTCACCATTGGCCTCATGGTGAAATTTGCTTTCATGGAGGACTGGCTTGAATTGTGAGGATGAGCACAATTTATTTTCATCATGAGCCAAAGTTGCAAAGGAAATGTTGTGATCCAGTTAATAAACACATGAGACCAGCACAATGGATAAGAGTGTGGTGGTATAGCAGGAACAGCGGCATCTAGTGGTTAAAACCGGGTACTTTCAAACTACTTTATGATAAATAATTACTAATGTCTCGGAATAGGGTATGAATAAGCAATTCTCCAAGCCGCAGCATCATACTACTTGTCAAACAGAGAACTGATACTGTGGGTTGGGTTGAGCATTTTTGGGGGATCCCTCATCTTACTCATTGGTAGGAAGAAGCTGTCCAAATCGGATGTTGGGTACTATATTTATTGAATCTTATTTGAATCCTATAAATTAAAATGGCCAATTTGGGTGCAACCAATTAGCTTAATTTTCAGATTTAAAAAAAGTCAACAAAAGAATGTTTCAGGAATGCCAATCGTACCTGTTTCTAACTACAGAAACAATTTCAGAAAAATCTGCGATGGTAGGTGTCATGTCTTGCTGAAATGACTCACCAGTACAAGCGGGTATTGTATTGTCATTACACAGTCACTTTACAAGCAGTGGATACACTGAACAAAAATATAAAACGCAACATGTAAAGTGTCCCATGTTTCATGAGCTGAAATAAAAGATCCCAGATATTTTCCTATAGCACAAAAAGCGTATTTCTCCAAAATGTTGTGCACAAATTTGTTTACATCCCTGTTAGGTGAGCATTTCTCCTTTGCCAAGACAATCCATCCTCCTGACAGGTATGGCATATCAAGAAGCTGATTACACAGCATGATCATTACACAGGTGCACCTTGTGCTGGGGACAATAAAAGGCCACTCCAAAATGAGCAGTTGTGTCACAAAACACAATGCCACAGATGTCTCAAGTTGAGGGAGCATGCAATTGGCATGCTGACTGCAGGAATGTCTACCAGAGTGGTTGCCAGAGAACTGAGTGTTTATTTCTCTACCATAAGCTGCCTCCAATGTTGTTTTAGAGAATTTGGCAGTAGGTCCAACTGGCCTCAACCACGCCAGCCCAGTACCTCCACACCCGGCTTCTTCACCTGCGGGATCGTCTGAGACCAGCCACCCGGACAGCTTATGAAACTGGGTTTGCACAAGCGAAGAATTTCTGCACAAACGATCAGAAATCGTCCCAGGGAAGCACATCTGCATGCTCGTCGTCCTCACCTGACTGCAGTTCGGCGTCGTAACCAACTTCAGTGGGCAAATGTGACTAGTTTCAGGAAACTAGGCGTATGTCGCGCGTCACTACTTCACATGAGCACCATTTCAACGTAATTAATTTTTTTATTTTGATCAAAATGTGTTTTGGGGCAGAAATGCCTTCTGGAACATGTGAACTTGTATGTGCCTTAATAATACAATTGTTAAATGAAGAGCCTAGTTGGTTTAGCCATGGAAAAAGACAGCAACCTTCCCGCTAGCCATAATTGGCTGAGATGAGTTCGGATTGGACATGAAATGGCCTAGAAATGAGTTCGGATTGGTCTGCCATGTAGCACACTTCTGTACATAACATGAGCTGGTCAGTATGTGTAGTATGTGCTTTTTTTGAAAGATATCACGTAGTAGAACTGCATAAGTGTTGCTCTCCACTTTCTGGAGGACCGAGTTTTGAAATCAGTGGAATTAAAGTATGATAGTTAAGGAGATGGAGAAAATTCTGGCATTTGATTGCAAATATGCAGACAGGGTCGAAAAGAGAACACACAGAAGGCTGTTGGATAAAACACCTGTCTCCGGATTACATCTTCAAACTAAGGGCAACCATGGCATCCATGACAGAGAGTGAGAAGCATCCATCTATGTATACGGGTAAGATAGTCTAGCTAGCTACATTTTCAGATATTTCTAATTTTGTCAAAAAGTTGTTTTCATTTCAAGTTGAAGTGTACTGTTAGCTAGCTAGCTAACGTTAGCTGGCTGGCTAGCTAGCTAGCTAGCTAGCGTTACATGTATTATTCGTATCTCAGAGCCATTTGAATTGCTAGTTATAGCCTAATGTTAGCTAGCTAACATTGAACATGGTTGGTTAACTACCTGCAGATTAATGCAGGGTAGTAACGTTATGAGTTGGGATTATGGGTAATTGTTTAGCTAGGTAGCTACATGTCTAAACAAAAGACTCTACTATGCAAGTAACTATTTCAATAGAATGTTTATGATGTCACTGCGACAACTGTCGATAAACTTAGCTGGTAAATTCGCTCTGGCTATCTACTCCGATTTCAGAGCACTCGTCTGAGTGTGCCAGAGTGCAGAATAACTGACAAATTTACGAACGCTCAACACCCGTTGAATATGGCCGGTGTCAGTAAACGCTGGGAAAAAAGCGTAATTCAATTGTTGCCAGCAGCACAGTTGCAGTCACCAAATATCTGGATAACATTTTTTTTTAAACAGCCTAACCAGCTCTGCTAGGGTGAGTAAAATGGTCAGAGTGAGCTGTTCTCGCATTTGAGTCTGGAAGTAGCTAGCAAGCTAGCCAACGCTTGGGTGCTTGACAGCTGTTAGGTCAGAATGCTTGGATCAACCCTACTCCTCGGCCAGAGCGTCCAGTGTGCACTCTGAACGCTCCGAGACCGAAACACTCCGAATTTACAAACGGACAATCTGACAACACTGAGTTTACAAATGCCCAAAGCACACTGGCACTCCAGATTACAATTACGAACACACCCGTAGTATAAACCAGCCTTTAGTCCTGAAATCTTTGGTTGTTTAGTACATAGGCTCACATGTGAATCCTTAAAGAGATGGTTGGGGCTAAAGCTTAAGAGGGTGTGAACGATGCTGAATGGGTGTAGACAAAGAAGAGCTCTCCAGTAGGTACCAAAACATTCAAGGACCATTTTCTCAAAACTTTCAAAGCAGAATTACTTTCCCATTGTTCCTCAACTGTAGTGTATGATATAAAATTGTCTAGCTTTGAGTCTCTACTTTTATCCAATGTAAAAAACAACATTTCAAATTTTGCTACATAAGACCGAATCGAGCCGGTCAGTCACAAATGCTCACCGTCGGTGGCCACTGGCACACTGGAGAAGTGCGCTTCACGAATGAATCCTGGTTTCAACTGTACTGGACAGATGGCAGAAAGCGTGTATGGCGTCGTGTGGGCGAGCGGTTTGCTGATGTCAAAGTTGTGAACAGATTGCCCCATGGTGGTGGTGGGGTTATGGTCAATGTTCCCGCAAATGTTTTGGGGCACTGAGCAAATTTTAGGTCTTGTGAGTGTCAACTTGAATTTTGTGAGAACTTCCGGCGCGCGTTTACAGTGAACACTGAGGCTGTACCCCTACAGTTTTAGACAGTAGCCAATAGGCCATTGTGGCTATTTGAGCACAATGTAGGCCTTCCAACAAAACCAATGGAGCAAATCCCATAACATTTTCACATGGAAATAGCTTTTGATTTCTATGATCTAGCCTACAGTGAGGGAAAAAAGTATTTGATCCCCTGCTGATTTTGTACGTTTGCCCACTGACAAAGACATGATCAGTCTATAATTTTAATGGTAGGTTTATTTG